TGTCTTGTACCCCTAACCTGGGCTTTGTGTTGCCTCCTCCAAATTCAGAAGGGCATCTCATTCAAAACAACCCAGAGAGATTCCCAGTCATCAGGGGAATCACCTCCTAACTATTATCTCCCATTGCGGATATGCTGCTAAATTAATCTGCCTATCAAAACGGCAATGTGCCACCATGTTTAAGGAATTTTAACACATGCAAAAAGCAGTGTGTAGCAGGGAAGGAAAGAATTTGGTGTCATGTTTGCCATAAGGTACCCTAGCTGTTATGGCATGGCACTGCGGAGAATGTTCTTATTCAGCCCTCTAAATGTTTCCACTGGTGGAACTTCCAATATGGCTTCTTAAGAAAGGGAAATAAAATGTCAACGGTTCCAAAAGTGTTCCTGAACACAAACTCTCTCTCTCTCTCTCTCTCTCTCTCTCTCTCTCTCCTCCCCTTACCTGTATTCTGTCTCCAGTGGTAACTGGTGGATAGGGCCTACTGTGGTTTTCCAGAATTTGCTTTCACTTACAAGCAGGGAAGCCTGTTTCTAAGCCTTCTAAGTTCTAAGATGCAGGTGGCGCTGTGGGTTAAACCACAGAGCCTAGGGCTTGCTGATCAGAAGGTCGGCGGTTTGAATCCCCACGATGGGGTGAACTCCCATTGCTTGGTCCCTGCTCCTGCCAAGCTAGCAGTTCGAAAGCATGAAGTACAATTAGATAAATAGGTACCGCTCCGGCGGGAAGGTAAACGGCGTTTCCGTGCGCTGCTCCGGTTCGCCAGAAGCGGCTTAGCCATGCTGGCCACATGACCCGGAAGCTGTACACCGGCTCCCTTGGCCAATAAAGCGAGGTGAGCGCTGCAACCTCAGAGTTGTCCGCGACTGGACCTAATGGTCAGGGGTCCCTTTACCTTTACAAGCAGGGAAGCCTGTCTCTAAGCCTTCTAAGGCCACATCCATAGCATATATTTAAAGCGTGGGGATACTACTTTAAGCCAAAGAATTACGGGATCTACCATTACCAGAGTTGTTTAACAATCAATCCCTCTTCGCAGGGAACTCTAGGAACACTAGCTCGGGGTGGGTGGAATCGGGGCCTCCTAATGACTTTAAGCATCCTGAACAAACTACAGCACCCAGAATTCTTTGGGGAAGGCATGACTGTTGAAAGCGCTATCACAGTGCTTTAAATGTATGGTGTGAATGTGCAGACATAACGGTACTGTATGCACAAGACCACCGCTTTGTCTTCCATGTTAATCCAGAAAAAAAGGAACATACCTTGGTTACAGCTCCTGGTTTGTTTGGAGACTAACAAATCAGGAGCTTAGGATGTAACAATATGCCGAACCATGGCATAGCAACCACCATAGCAGCAGGTGGAGAGGAGAGACATCAAATGCCTGCAGTTTTAGCCCTGGGCACACTTCACATTCATCTTTAAACCATAACTAAGCTTCACTATGGCTTGAAGCAGCTTGCAAACTCAGTCTTTTTGCATGGAAAGGAGTTCTTGAAAGAGACACTGATTTCTCCATGATGTCCAGGCAGATGACAAATCTGAGTAGCCCGTACTCGGGGAAGGTGAATCTGTTGAGCTTCCCAGTCTCCTTGTGAGATTTAGGGCTGTTCAGGGATTTGAACCCAGTTTGGATCGAAACGCTTCTCTTGCCGGTCTGCCCTGGAAGCGTGGGAAAACGGGTCATATGAAATAAATGGGAGATTTGAGGTGTGGAAGCCTTTGTGTCTTCTGCGCAAGAGATTGGCAGCGTGGGAAAAGCAGGTGGAAAAGAGGTTTGAGCATCAATGTGCCAGAAATAGGTGAAGGAGGCACCCTTGTGGGAAGCGTGGGGGGAGATGAGCTGAGGTGGGCTGTCGGAGAAAGCTTCTTTGAGCAGGGATGTAATTGCCGGGTGGCGATAGCAGTGGGCTGTTCTCTGTCTCTGTCGCCTGCTACCCATGTAGGAAGCAGCCGCCTGCTTTCCACCATGTCAGCAAATTCTATGCCGGCTGCAGAGATGAAGGGGAAGCGTAATTCTTTACATTGACTGCGCTTGAGGGAAGCGGAGCAACACCTGCGATGAGGCTGGCTTTTTGGGGGGGGGGGAGAGCCCAGTGGCTATGTGGACAGGATAAGGCCATGGCTGTGCAAAGAGAGCCAGGGAGAAGTTTGAAGTGTCTTGCGTTTTCCTACAACTCCAGAGAGTACTTCTCTGTCTCCCCCTCCCCCGGGACAGAGTTTCTGTTGCTTCCATTTTGCACATCCTACTGTGTCGGCATCCCGAGGGACTCCTTGTTTTTGCAGAAAGCTCAGCTGGATCCTTCTAGGCCCAAACATCTCCCTGTTCCAAACCACTGACTTATTAGCAAAAAAAGTGGAAATTAATTTTAGGCGGTGTACAAGGTGAAGAGTCAATAAATGCCAAGTTGGATGGTATGCACTCTAATTGGGTACAACCCAATTTGGCTTCTATTGACTCTTAAGTGCAACACCTAAAATTAATCTCCAGCTTCATCCCATCTTTTTCTTCTTGTCTTGTATTCACAAGGGAACTGTGTGCTGCGCTTAGCACTGGAACAGTTAGTTTCCTTGCTTTTAAAAACAATGGAGAAACAGACATTATTGCGTCTTATGTCCTGCTAGCCCTTAAGATTGCATAACACCTGCACTCCACCATAAAACGTGGCACATGCAAACTTGGGGCCATTCCATCATGCTCACCTTTTGCTCCTGTCCCCGTTGTATAACATGCGGCCTGAAGAAAGCTCTCTTAGAGTTTGAAACCTTGCTCATTGTTTTGTGACATTTTAGTTGGCCCCAAAAACTATCATTTTACCATGGTTTGGAGCAGTGATGGCCAAACTTGGCCCTCCAGCTGTTTTGGGACTACAACTCCCATCATCCCTAGCTAACAGGACCAGTGGCCAGGGATGATGGGAATTGTAGTCCCAAAACAGCTGGAGGGCCAAGTTTGGCCATCACTGATTTGGTGATTCCCACCCATCTCTCCGCTATTGGACTGACGTGGCTGCCTGGAATTTCTAATCTTGAAACACATGTATATATCTGAAGCATTTCTGTTCTGCTGTTCAGCAAAAAGCAAAAAGGGGAAACAGCTCCCAAGCGGCTTTCAAATATCAGTAATAAGGCAGTCCCTGCCTGCAGGCTTTCAACCTGGGGGACATAGCACAAAAAGAAAAAAGGATTGGGAAGGAGGACGAAAAAAGAGACGAGTTACAGAGTTTGTGTAATGCCCACCTGGAATGGGAATATTCCAAGGAGGAGGAGGAGGAACCCAAAGGTGCTGGTTTTTCAGCAGAGCTGATGAGGAGGTCATGCAGTTCCATCTTTCTCCCTCTCCTATTGCCACCCAATCATGGAAGTGGCAGAAAGGTGGGTGTTCCTTTTCTCTCGGTGATTTGATTCTCTGGGAGGCTGGCAATTCCAATCCACATGTGTGGCTGGTGATGAATCGCTTTAGCCCAAACTTAATTCATCACAGCCACATATGTGCAAATATTGTGAAAGCAATATCCACAGACTCAAATTGAAGGCCACTCCACACATTAGGGTTGTGGTTTTTTTTAAAAAAAAAGTGAGTAAACTTCACATTTTTAAAGTGTGTGCTTAAAAATTCAATGCGCAAATGAGAGAGAGAGAGAGAGAGAGAGAGAGAGAGAGAGAGAGAAGTTTGGAAATGTGCAGACAGTTAGGCTGGGTACACACCATATGTTTAAAGTAGCCCCCCCTCCAAAAACAACAACAGAATCATGGGAACTGTAGTTCAGCCCTCAGAGAGCTGCAATTCAACACCCTTAACAAACTACTGTTCCCAGGCTTTTATTTTATTTTATTTGTGTGTGTGTGCTTTAAGTGTCTGATGCAAACACAGCCTTAGGATTGGTTCAAGATTCCTGACTAGCACACATGCAGTGGCAAAGGCAGGTTTGCTGCCACCACATCACGCATGGAAAGGAACGTAGGAAGAGGCAGATTGCACCAAAATTGAGGGAGAGGGTCCTCAGGACAGATTTCTTTTTATCACAGGCGGGTCACTCGAAGGCCCTCTGCTGCAAAATATTATAAACCAAAGGCAGGGGTCTGAGGGCCATATTGCCTCCATGGTAACCTTCTGGGGGCCACCTGTGGGTATGGCAATAAATGCAGATTGTACCTCTGAGCAGTAGGCTAGATTCTACATACAAGCGCATGCCCCTTTCTAGCCTCTATCCTGACAAGTATGAAGCATGATCAGAGCTGAAGAACACATTCCAGCTGGGCAAAAACACTCCGGGTACAAAGTGGGGCCTGGGAGGGATGTGGCCCAGGGAGAGAGAGAGACTGGGGAGATGTGCTTCCCCCTTAATGGTTTTCCAAGGCTGCCCCTGGGGGACAGCTGCCTTACTTCGCCTCATGGCCCAGCCCACTCCCCTGGAATTTTGAAGTGGGCAGGAATGCGCAAAAAGCTGGTCTGCAGCGGCTGGGGCAATAAATTATGGAAATCAGTGCAAGGCACCTGTCACTGGACTGATACGGAGAGGTAGTCCCAGTGTCCCAGTGTACAGTCTTGGTGCTTGTGGCTTTTGGGAGGTGCTCTAGGGACGGTTCATTTGCCTGCGTGGGAGAGATTTTAGGGTAAGAAAAATTCCCTTTTTGGAATAAGGGGTACTGCTGCCTGAACAGTAAAAGGCCTTGGTGATGTATTGGGTGGTGTGTGTGTGTGTGTGTGTGTGTGTGTGTGTGTGTGTTTTGAAGAGAAATATTGCATTGTGTGTAACACAACGTGCTCCCCGTCCCTCACATCGACTTCTTGGTTCTTCCCCGTGCTAATTTTTGCTACCTGATCCTGCTGGGGTTAAACCCAGGAGGATGAAATGCGACTGGGAGCCCCTCCTTGCTCCCTCGGCATTTTCCAGCTACAAAATGCATCAAGCTCATCAGTGCCATTCCCATGGCAACCCATTATGATGTCAAAGGAGGAGGGACAAATTACCAAGGGATTTAAAGGGACAAAAGTGTTCCCCAGGTGGAAGCCCCTCACATCTCCCCTTGCTTGCTCCAGCCACCGTCTCCCTCCCTCCTCCTACCTCCCTGCCCATCACCCATCCCCCTGCTCTGCTCAAGAGTATCCTGGCATCTTGCATTCCCTCCTTTAATTCCAGATCAATTACTTCTCATTTCCTCCTACCAGCCTGCCCTCCAGTGACTAATGTAGATTGCTACTCTCCTTGGGAAACATGGGCTAGACTTGCCGATCAGAAAGGTCAGCGGTTCGAATCCCCCTGACGGGGTGAGCTCCCTGCTCCTGCCAAGCTAGCAGTTCAAAAGCACCTCAAAGTGCAAGTAGATAAATAGGTACCGCTTTATAGCGGGAAGGTAAACTGTGTTTCTGTGCGCTGCTCTGTTTCACCAGAAGCAGCTTAGTCATGCTGGCCACATGACCCGGAAGCTGTACGCCGGCTCCCTCGGCCAGTAAAGTGAGATGAGCGCCACAACCCCAGAGTCGTCCGCGACTGGACCTAACGGTCCGAGGTCCCTTTACCTTTACCACTTACTCTCTTTGCGAAACATGGGCTAGACTTGAGGGGAGGGAATGGAGGTGGGGAAGGATTCACCCATTAAACCCTTGTTTAACCTTCTTGATCTTATGCCCCACAAGATCCGCATCCGCTTTACAAAAAAGGGAGGGTAGTGAATCTGGGTTAAGTGATCTTAAGTATGTTCCTCCACTAAGACTGCCCCTTTTATTTTACTGGCAACCAAAAGAAAAAGGGGTAGAATCTTAAACTGGCACACTTCTTTCAGGGCATTTGAATGACCCCTGGATGTTTCCCCTTCTTTGTTTGGCTCACCTTTCCCTCCTCTTCTTTTCCCCTGGCCCTGTGCCTTTAACGGCAGACTTGGCTCGCAAAAAATGAAGCCAGCATCACTTTCTCCGTCCCTTCGCTCCATGCCAGGAAGTGCATAATCTACAGGAAGAGCCTAATCTACTTACCGAGTTCTTTTCTTCTTCTGTTTTGCATGCTAGGCTACTGCTTACAAGGTGCAGGAAGTGGGGGCCCAAACCCAGTGGTAGCAATGGTCCCCCACTTGCAAGCCTGGATTCAAAATCCAGAAATGGTGATCTCCGAAACCCTTCCTCCTCTTCCTTCATCTGACAGCCTTGAAGTCTTGTTTTCAATTTCAACTCTTCCCAGGAGCTGCCACCAAGCTAGAATAGAGTTGTGCGGGGGGCGGGGGGACGGAGAGAACAATCTGGTCTTCCACCTCACCTTGAACAGAGGTTAGATGTACAGAAACCAGCCCAGGAAACTATTTTGTGTGTGTATTTGTTTGTTATGGAGCTAAAACATCAGCTCCCAATAATGGCTACCGTTTGATCTGCTCTTAGGTTCAAAGGTTGGCAGCCCTAAATTTCACACCCTCTGACATTTCTCTGATGAAAATAGGGATGTCCTTTTCAATCATCATCATCATCCCTCACCCATCTGACTGGGTTGCCCCAGCCACTCTGAGCAGCTTCCAACATACTGAAATGCATAACAAAACATTAAACATAAAAAAACTTCCCTATACAGGGCTGCCTTCAGATGTCTTCTAAAAGTTGTATAATTATCTCCTTGGCTTGGGGATCACATTGATCCATACCCTCCAACACTGCTACCATGAAAATAGGGACATCCTAAGGAAATGTGGATCATCATAATAATAATAATAATAATAATAATAATAATAATTTATTATTTATACCCCGCCCATCTGGCTGGGCTTCCCCGGCCACTCTGGGCGGCTTCCAAAAGAATATTAAAATACTATAATACATCAAACATTAAAAGCTTCCCGAAACAGGGCTGCCTTCAGATCCCAGATCATTCTGGGATCAAATCATAAATTGGAACAGCTTCTGTAAATCCGGGACTGTCCATGGAATATAGGGACACTTGTAGGGTCTGAAATTTGTGGGCAGCCTGGGAGCTACCCCACCTCTCTCAGTCTGTATTCTACAGAAGGGATTATATTGCATACTAGAAAGTCAGGTTTGCACAGTTAAAGAGAATTACAGTGTTCTTGGCTCATCTGGAGTGTTGCTTTAATGGGGTTCAGTCACATCCCGACAAATTCAGGTTGTGCAGATGCAGTCGATTGCACAACTAACCCATTTCACCCAAAAGATCAGACTTTTTCCAATAAGGAAAGTGATGAGGAGATGCACCCGAAAGTGTGGGCTAATGCTTGCTTTGATGCAATGCCATTTAACTTCTCTACAAGCAAATCAGAACAAATGGGCACTAAATAGCCAACCTTGTTAATCTCCCTCAAGAAACCAGAAGAAGAGGAGAAATGTTTTTAAACAGGATACCTGGGAGTGCCTTAATGTAAACCCACTTAAAAAAAAATGAAAGAAAACCAGGCTTCTGTAGGTAGGAAAACACCAGAGAAATGCCTTGGAAAGTGTAGAATGAATGAATGATTAACGGGATGGCATATAAACACAGCGCACACAAATCAGGGTGAATGCTTTGTTGCCATTTCACCTCCCCTGTAAAACAAATTGGAACAAATAATAAAGACCAGATATAATCTGTTTTAAAATAAATTTTATTTTCAGTTTTTCATCATTAACATCAAACTTAAATTCAATAATATTTATACAATTGCGGGGTTCCCTCCTCCTCCTCCTGGTTTTCCACAGATATATTTTTTAAATTTTAACTGCATCTAATTACATATATCCACTTTAATTAAATCCTTATTTATTCCTTTACCTATTAAAACATCACAAGTGCTATATCAATCCTGCTATCATCTTTAAATCTTTACATTGTTCCTTAATGTACTCTATAAATTTATACCATTCTTTTTAAAATTTACTGTCATCTTGGTGTCTGATCTTCCCAATCATTTTCGCCATTTCTGCAAATATAATATAACCTTCAGATCAGCTTTGTGCAAGCAAATCAGGATGGATGCTTAATAAGACAGGTGGCCAGGAGGATTCCTGACAGACCCTTGTAAATAAGTCCATGGAAGTTACTAGCCTGCAAAAATGCCTACCAGACAGCTTGTGGATAGAAGAAGAGGGACGGAGAGTTCACCCGCCTTCCCTGCATTGCCATCTGCATTTCTATGCTGAGTGCATAGCTCTGCCAAAGGGCAAACTCTAACATAATGTTTCAGGGAAACATTTCCAGTGGGGATCCCTTCCAAGGAAGCATGCATAGTCTGGTTGGAAGCAGAATGGGTTAGCCTCATCTGGGTCTTCTCCGCTTTAGTTTTACACCCTTCTTCTCGTTACCATTGCTTTAATTAAATGATGTTTCAATTGTTTTAATTGCTGCGAATCTGGTTGCTTTCCTGACGTCTCTCTTGTTGTGTATCACTTTCAACAATAGAGCGAGGAGATGGCTAAATACTGGAGTGTTTATTTACGCTGTTGAAGGGAGCATGCAAGAACATAACATTTGCTAGAAAGAAGCAGCTGCTCAATTGTTGCAAGAAAAGGTCATCTTTGGTTTTTTTGAAATACTTGTTACACTAGAAAGAAACATATCAAGGACCAGACAAACTATTATGATGCAAGAAATGTGTGAATAGTCTCCTGGGGTGTTAGGTGTGTGAAAAATATAGGAAAGAGGAACCTATGGCTAGGGATGGATGAATCTGGCTGTTTCGGTGTTTCTCAGTTTCTTGTTTTCCCAAATCAGTTTTCAGATCCTTGCTTTTAAGTCCTCGTGAAAATTCACCAGCATTTTAGTGCAATTCTTTTCCTAATACACACGTTTTGGCATGCCACACGTACACCTTTTTGCAGACCCGTTCCCCTAACGTAACACATCTTTATTTGTTGATTTCACTAATTTGTGCGTTTTTATGCACACTTTCCGCCAATATACAATTTCTGTGTGCACATTATTTGTTTGGGTTACAAAATCTGAAGAAATGTGAATTTTGAAGGAGGGATGCCTTTTGGATTGCATGTTGTTTCAGAAGTGCATAAAGGTGTGAAGTGAACCATATTTCTCCCCCTTCTCTACTTGTGCCCCCCACTCCAACTCCCATCAGCCCCAACTAGCATGGTCAATAATCAGTAACAATGGGAGATGTAGTCTAGTATCATCTAGCGAGCCACAGGTTACCTGCCCCTAGTTTACTAGCAAACAACTGCTAGAAGCTAGGGGCTTCTCCATACTTCCTCTTGTTCTGCTGCTCTCCACTAGGAAGAACTGCTCTTTAGTGCTAAGTCGGAGCAGATGGCAACTTGGGGTTTCTCCAGATTGACATTTGCTCCGATTTAGTGCTGAAGAGCAGGTATTCCTTGGGAAAAGAGCAGGGCAAGGGGAAAGCCACTTGGACCCATGCTTTCTAGACAGTTTGAGCTGCAAAGCAGCAGGTCAGGAGTGCTTGACCCTTTCTCTTCTTGTACTTTATCCGCTGAAAACCACCCTCCTCCATACTTCTTTTCCGGCCATACAGGAAGAGATGCCAGGATGTTACTGGAAGGGGGGGGGAGTAGATTCCAGGGGTGACCTTTAGTGGACAAGCAGAGGAAAGGGAAGCTCCACCTCCACACCCACCCTCAAATCTCTTAGCTCAAAGTAATTACCCTCTATGGGTTTTTAAACTTGGAAAGTTTTGCCACGAGGTGGTATATAAATATTGGAAACAAACAAACAATAAAAAAATAAATGAATAATGAATAAAAATAAATGAATAAAAATAACAAAGAAACAAACAAATACAGTCATACCTTGGATGTCAAACACCTTGGCTCCCAAACAAATCGGCTCCTGAACGCCACAAACCCAGAAGTGTTCCGGTTTTTGAACGTTCTTTTGGAAGCCAAACGTCTGATGGGGCTTCCGCAGATTCTGATTGGCTGTAGGAGCTTCCTGCAGCCATTCAGAAGCCGCGCTTTGGTTTCCAAATGTTTTGGAGGTTGAATGGACTTCCAGAATGGATTCTGTTCGACTTCCAAGGTACGACTGTAGTGATAATGATAACATTTTCCTGCAACCCAAGAGTCCATCATTTAGGAGCCACCAAGACCCTTTGTGCTTTGACTCCTGACTGGATGCACATGTACAATATTATTCTCCTCACCCCCCAGGATTCCCAGAAAAGCATCCTGGGCAGTATGTTCTTCCCTACTCGCCTGCCCTGTGCGTTGGTTTCTTGCTCCTGTGCTTCGCAAGCTGCGCCTGACTAATGAGCCAACACATGCAGGCTCCCGTTAAGCGGTTTGGCGCATCCAGGACTTTTAATACTGCATTGAGTCCCAAGCATAGATCTGTGGGCAGGAGAAGCCCAGGAGCAAGTGGATCAGACCTGCTACCTTGCTCTCTCCTGAACCTGGGTCATGGTAGATGCATCTCCGTCTGGCCACATTATTCCCCCTTCCCCTCACTTCTCTGCCCACAAAGGCTTTGTTTGCAGTGTCTCGTGCATCAGGGTTAGCCAGGAGCGAACACTCCTTCGGATACATGAGGGGCCCATGGCATAAGGTTACCAGATTTTTTTCAAAGAATCTGGGGACACTTTAAAAAAAAAAAAAGAGAGAGAGAAAGTTATTTTAAAAAGTATTTTTTAAAAAAATTAAGAAGTAATATATTCTCTTTTGTGGTCTCCTCTGTCACGCAGCCTTCTTCAGGGCCCCAGCCTTCTCTCTTGGAGCACTAGCCTCTCTGGAGTAGGCTCGGGTGCTCTCTCCTACCTTTCTTCCTCAGTGGCGGCAGCAGCGTGGCAAGGTTAGGGTTCCCCTCTTTTTTCTCCTTCCTCTTTCTCTCTCTTCCTTCTCCTTCTCCTCTCCTCCTCCTCCCTGTGTTGGCTCTGGGGTTTTCCCGGCCCCGGAGCACCACTGGGCCGTCGGCTGGGTGCTCTCGTTCCCAGCTCGATTTGAGTCACGGGGGGGGGGGGGGTAGCGGTTCCTCCAGTTGATGTGCGGGGCGTCCCCTGTTCCCCCTCAGCAGTGGCGGCAGCAGTGGCAGTCTCAGCAGCCCGGAGCCAGCCTGGTAGTGCAGTTGGCTCTGGCTGGCTTCAGGAGCTGCTCGCTGCCATGGCACCCACCATTTTGCCTTGCCAGAAGTCCCCATATAATGTGTCGTTTGCTGTTGAACCAATCACGCAACATTCATTCCCTACTAATAAATCTACAACACTTAAAATATAAATCCGGGGACATTAAATGAAATCCGGGGACAAATTTTGTCTGGGGACAGATTTGTAAATCTGGGGACTGTTCCCAGGAAACGGGGATGTCTGGTAACCATACCATGGCAGGCATACTGTTCAATAGATGTCCAGGAAAGGGAGCAAACGGCAGCAAAGATCAGATTGAGAGGGTGCCGTTGCCACACAGTTTTGCGCGAGGGAGTAAAGGGTTGAAAGCAAGGGGCAGGGGCGTGAAGGAAGTCTGCACCAACAGATTTCTGGGCTGGTGGGAAAGGAGTCACCAGGAAGGAGGGAAGGGGTACCATGCCAGCCCAATTTAATCCAGCACCAACCCTGAGTCCTGTTGCCAGCCACCTGCGCTTCGTGCCGCTAGCACTCATATGCCAAGTAATGCAACCACACTAATTCCCTGGGGAAGGGTAGGGAAGGAAGTGAGTGCAGCTGCTTCCACCCCGGGGAAGAGAGGGTTGGAAGAGAGCCTGAATGCATCCATCCGAAGCATGCACAGTTGACTCCAGAGTCTGCAGATGCACATGGAAAACAAGTCCCCCATCTAAGCCGAAAGGCTTCACACATCCGGGCCAGTCATACATTGCAGAGGCTTCAGCTGCTTTCTGGAAACTGGGTACCAGCTGGCCTCCACGCCCAGTCCAAATGGTTGATTATCATCGCCTTTAATCCATAGGCCAGACCCGCCAAATGTAAGAGACATCCAAACCCCATGTGAATGTCCCTGTTCTCTCAAGAATTGCTGGAGCAGCGAAGGAGAGCCTTTTCAGAAGTGGCACCAGTTCTTTAAACTGGCCTTCTAGGCCTCCTTGTTATTGTGAATTCATGATGATTTCTGCTCCTGATGACCATAGGGTGGTTTTACATAGTCCTGCTTATGCCTGCAAAGGTTTGGGAGTGGACATGCCACCTGTGTCTGATTGGTGCGTGCTTCAGTTGTGATTCCTGCATTTCAGGGGGCTGGACTAGATCAGGGACATCCAACTCCCAAGAGACTGTGATCTACTCACAGAATAAAAAACTGGCAGTGATCTACCCCTTTTTTTGTGGGGGGGAGTTCAGGTCAAAGTTGTTGAGCTTTTTTGGAGAGGAAAATGTTGGAATTTATTAAAGGGGAAAAGTTGCTCACCAAAATATCACTAAGGAAACAATCAGCCTCACAGCAAAAACTCCGTCTTCCATTCTAGCGATCATGCGTGAATGGAGGATGGGCCAAGGGGGCAGAGGCGGATGATCTTATACTGCCACAAAGGAAAAGGAGCCTGCGACTGACCGCGATCGACCAAAGCCTCCTGGGGATCGACCTGTTAGACATCACAGGACTATATGATCCTCACGTTCCCTTACCATTCTATAGTTCCTGTTGCTTCCTGCTGAAATGCTCAACTTTCATATACCAGAAGTGTTCCACTTTATTTTCCTCCTGTCCCGACTTTTGTTGCACGTTAGCATCAAAACACCCCCTCCAGACAGCAATAATACAACAACATTGGGAAGGGGGAGGATTGCAGGACAACTAATAAATTGGAACAGGTTTTGGGATAGTCCAGTATAAATCCACCACTAATGCGCTGTAATTGCATCAGTGACACGCTGCAGAATACACTCTTTAAAAGAAGAAACAATCTGGAGGGGCCCCAGGCCACCTCAAGTAGTTTCCCTGTTGCTTAGAAAGGCCATTTTGGGATCTGATTGCTCAATAGATATATATTTAATGTTGCTGTGGTTGTTTCACGCTGCTTCTTATTACCGGCTTTTAGTATTTCAGTTGTGTGCTTGTAAAATTTTGTATGCTGCTTTGGGCAATGATGTTCCAATGGGGGCCTGTAACTGATGTGTACGAATGAATGCACGCATTCATCTGATACTGGCAATTTTCAGTCTTGGCGTGAGAGATGACCCACATCTGCCCTCAGTCTCCCACCATTCAGCTTCACCAGGTGGCTCCAGTAGTAATGAGAGAGTGAGAAAAACTCCTCCCTCTCCACTTATTGACTGGGACCAGGACCCTGAGGTTGCTGGACTCCAATTCCCATCATTGCTGACCATTAGCCATACTGACTATGACTGATGGGAGATGGAGTCCAACAACATCTAGAGATGCCTCAGTGCTGCCTTAGTGAGGTCCCATTGTCAGAGTACAAGACCTCCCTGCTGGGCAACTGCAGGGTCCAGTTAGGACAATGCAGGGTCCAGTTAGCGCAATGTTTGTGGATCCAGCCATGGCCAGGCCCTACACCTGTGGGAACCTAACAAGCACAGCGTGAATTTGATGGCCCTTTCCTATTGTTGTCCAGCCTTTGCTAACTTGCTTGGTAGCCGTCAGCTTTTGATAACTGGCCACAAAAGAGACTTCTCCGCAAAGCAGTTTACCCTAACATAATGCACGTTTGCTTATTTTCACTCTTGCATGCATTCATATGCATGCTTTACCCTGGTATGTGCAGTTTTGCGTGTGTTACTCGACCAGAGAATTGCATTGCAAAATTGGGAGAGGTACAGATTTTGAAGGACGACTGTGTTTTCAGTTCACATCTTGCTTCAGAAAATGTGAATTCGGAAAGTTTGCCTTCAGATGTGAACTGCGTTGAATTTCTCACCTATTCCTGCCCATAGCTTAGGGCTTCCAACTTTTGAAAGCAGCCCCCGCCCAATGTAGCAGCCCCTGCCTGGTGATTTATTTTGGTTTAGATCCCACGCAGGGCAGGGCGGATGCTGGTTTGTGCATCTGAACCATCAAAGGGAAGGGGCAAGAACTGCTTCCCCCCTCCCTCCCACCTTTTCTCTCTGGCTAGTTCCCAGCCCAGTTGGCCTGCAAATCCTGGTGTGAGATTTGGTTCCTCTGACACCATCCCAAGCGGGCGCTGCCCAAACTAAGGTCCCCCTTTCTTTGCTGAAAACACCTGTGCGTTGGTGCTTAAAATAGCACCAGTCTGAAGAGGGGATAGCTCTTTCTGCTTTGGTTTATTATGTTAGGAAAACAGCAGGTGTATGTGTGGTGGTGGGGGGGGGAGTGTGACCCTTTCAGAGGAGCGGAAATGTCAACCTTTGCTTGTGTCCTTCCGCCTGCTTGTGTGTGGTCGCATGTGAATCATCGGGTGACCCAGCAAACAAAACGGAGGTCACCAGCCATTCATTGCGGCCTGCCTGGTGTTTTTCAGTGTCTCTCTTTCCCCCTCCTCCCTCCAACCCCATTTTGCAATTTGCAGCTGGTGGAAAAACTCAGAAGTTTACCTGAATGGGTGAAGTTGGAAGCTTGGTGGCTGGGTGGGGTCTCCTCAATCCTAGTCCAATACTGTAGCCACTGTACCACACTGCCTCTTATATGTTTTATGTTTGTGCATGCATATCTATATCTATAACTATATCTATATTTATATATCTGTGGGTGTATGTGCTAATGCGTGAGATTTTGAGCCTTGAACCTAGTTTAGAATTTAATAAAGGGCAATGAATCTGAGCATGTGTGGAGTTCTTTTCTCCCCCTACTGTGTAACCACAGCCATGGTTCATGCACCAAGGTTTCTCCAGGGCACATAACTGAGCAATGTTGCAGTGAAGCAAAAGCCCATGTTTAAATACTGGGAGTGGGAGAAGGAACTGTTTTGGTGCAAGGCAAACCGTCCATTTGTAGACATTGCAAGCTGAAAGCATTCAAGCTGTAGCCAGGAGTGTATTCGCAGCTGAGTGGACATTACTGACGAATGGAGATCCTGGTAGATCCTCAGGAGCAAAAGTGAATGATAGAGGGAGGGAGGCGCTGGTCTCCCTTGCCTTAACTCTGCTTTGGCTGAGCATGCCAGGCACCCCGGATAATGGCAGCTTCCACCTGACGCCTGTTGAACTGAAGCCGGTGGGATGTCCAAGGGCAGCAGATGGTCTTCATCCAGGGAAGAGTCCAAGACCCATTAAGGGCGAAGGGGGCCTGCCAGGGCTTTATGGGCATGGGCTGGTTCACTGTTCAGCACAGTATGGCTCAGACACAGCTGCCAGGACCAGCCAACCAGGGATGCAATGAGGTTTTGTATTTTAGTGCCTTGGCCAAAACATATAAAAGTAATGCCTTGTGTCTTGCCTCTCATTTTCCCTAACTGGATTGTGGAGCTCCTGCTGCTGCTGTGCTGCTCAGCTGCTTCCCACTGGCCTTCTCCATCTCTTGCATGCCCTTTGAGCTGTATGATGGACTGGAGAGGCCTAGGAGACAATCTCCACTCAGGGCCCATCCACATTTTGGTTTGTTCCATGATGTCTAGGCATGGGTCCAAAAGGTTCTGTTCTGTTCTGCTTTCCCTGGGAAAACCCACTGTTTACTACTGAATGGAAACAAAACATCAATTGGGTTTTCCATGGAATGACATTTGTTCCGATTCAGCAGCAAACAGCGGGTTTTCTTGGGGAACAAAAGAAAAACCTATTGGACCCATACCTAGAAGTAATGCAACAAACAGAAGAAATCACAGGACGAGCAAAAGTGTGGATTGAGCCTGTCCGCCTTGAAGTTCCTTGGGCCATCCATCCATGATAAAACCAAGGAGAGAGAAAATACCAGTGCCTTGTACCCTGAGTTCCTTGGTGGATGGGCAAGGTATATATAAACCGTAAATTGGCATTTCTCTTCCATTTTCTCTGAGGGCTGGCCTCTGGCTCCTTCTCTCTTTGAGCCTGCACCTGTCGGCAACATCCCTCATTTTGCTGCCCAGCCCTTTCCTTGAGCCCTTGATCCTCCATGGAGCAGCAAGATCTGAATGCATCACAATCTGGGTAGAAGGGAGGGAAGGAATTGCAAGGTGTTCCCCCTCCAGACTTGTGTTTCATTGCAGGTATATTTCCCAACATGTTCTTGGCACAAGAATTAGCGGTGGTTTTAGTCTGCTTTATTAGTTGTTGCAATGCTTCCCCGAGGCTACCGCATTATTGCTGTCCAGAGGGGCTATAGCACAAACGTAGCAGGACAAAAATAAACCAGAGCATTTGTGGTATAAAAAATGATGGGATTTCAGCAGGAAGTTGTGGGATATGCATTGACTGGAAATGAAACACTGCAACTGCCCAAAAGCCTTTGCCCGCACTACTGAAAGTGGAATTGCTTGTGACTGCCCCAATAGCACCGAGAACACAAATCATCATGAATGTGCAATTAGAAAAGATGTCTGGAGTGGTCCTAATTCTACTGGGTGGATTCAACTTTTACCCAATTCCTTGGAAAACCACAAGATGTGGTGCCCATGGTACTTGCTCAAAAACCCATGTGTGCTCTCATTCCTAAAAAGGTCAGTGAACCCTAGAAGGTGACTAGCAGAAGTATAAGCATAGACAACACCCGCTGTTTTGTGTTTTGTTTTACTGCCCAGAATTGCCCAACTGTTCCTTACTCGCTCACCCTTAAGCAGTGTGACCACCCCAAAACATTTGTGGGTGCAAACAGTATTGAAATTGGATTGCGGGTTTGACCACTCCGATAGCATCAGGAACACAAACCATCATGAATGTGCAATAAATAGGACATCTGGAGGGGCTCAAAGCTGTAGTTTCCTGGTTTCAGAGGAACAGAAATAGAAGTGCATAGAGCAGGTATGGGGAACCAGTTGCCAGGAAGGATGTTAGTTGTAGTTCATCAACACCTGGAGGACCACAGGCTCCCCACACCTGGCTTAGAAATATCTCATCCAGGTAGTACTGCAGCAGAAGAGCTGTCCATACAAAACGGCTGCCCTAGGCTGTCCCCTATGAGAATCTTCTATTCTTAAATCCGGGTTTTTTTCTTATTGCCATGTATAAGATGCAAGGTCACTGCAGGCCAAATGGAGAGTTGTTCCTGGTGTCCTTTCCTTTATTTGGCTTGTGCTTGGGGCTGCAAATGCATCTGCAAGTCCAGGGGGTCGGGATGCAGTGCCAGGACGTGCCCCAGCAGCAGCGCGATGCCAGCTGCCCGACAAAACACTCCCCGTGATGGATGGTGCCAAGGCCAGGACAGAACAGGACCCATTGTTCCCTTCTGGAGTCAGACGGAGGGACGTCTGCAGATGCCCTTGTTCTTGTTTCCCCGAACACTGTTCCCCTTAACGCATTGATTCAGGTTGTTTTGATGTATGGCCAGTCCTCCTGTCCTAGGGGGCTTTCAGGCAGGATCGTAGACTCGCAGAGGGCAGGGAAGGAAACCTGAAGATCTGACTCTCCAAAACTCCTGCCCAGAGCCTTCTGCACTAACCCTCCTGTTCCCCATGTATCAAGACAGCAGTCGTAAACAGAGAAGAGAAGCCTCTGTTCCCAGAAGACTCGCAGTTGAAGGGCACAAATGACTTTATGCCCATCTGCATGCTACAGATGGGAGACAGTGTGTGCGTGATGGCGAGCTGAGCTTGGGTAGAGTGATCCACGCAGGCAAAAGAGCATGATGGGGCGTGGTGCTTGCAGATGTGGACAGTTTTGCAGCCATCAATCATTGGGGTTCTGCTTTAAGCTGCAAGTGGAATAGTCACTCTTCTTCCAGACTTCTGGAATCCTGAGTGACATCCTTCAGCCAGGTGGGTATTGCCGCCTTTCCCTGTCCCCATCTTCTGTGTGTGACGGAGGGATTTTTTTAAAAAAGGGACCATGTTGTGCGTGTGTGTGTGTGTGGCAGGGGAAGGGTTGTTGCACTCCTAATCATGATTGCCCCTACCACTTCAGTTGGGGATGGGGAGAATAGATGTGGATATAAAGATAAATCTGTTTAGAAAGGGAGGGTTAATTCCTAAAGAGGAGAGATGATCCAGAGAGAAGGACTTGGCTAGTGCCATGTATACAGGCTCTAACTGCCCCCTTCCCCACGCTTGCAACTACTATAAAGCTACACAACGGATCATCTACACCTGACATCCATGCCATTGCGGGGGTTTAACGTTTGGTTTTCTCAGCAGAAGCAAAACCCGGAAGTTCAGCAGGGGGTGGGGAAATGTGGGAGGGAGAACGTTTTGCTCACATAAAAAGTGAGTGAACAAAGCATGGCTATTCTGTAGTAAATGCTCAGTGTGGAAGCTGCCTAAGAAGCTGAATCACTGCGGGCAGTTTTTGCTGGACCAGGTAAAACCCTATTGGCCCTTTGTACCACCCAACTCTGAGCCAGTAACTGCAATGCCACCACCTGGTCACCCACTAGTGGTGGTGCTGAAGAACAGCCAAGAGAGAGCCAAGTGTGTGCGTCCTGCTCCTAGAGTCCTCTGGCACAAGTCTAGTTGAGAGAGAGAGAGAGAGAGAGAGAGAGAGAGAGAGAGAGAGAGAAACTTTTAGAGAACACTCTTAGTTTCTGGGTCTTACCGGAAGGGATTTGAAGCCGCACAAAGGCAGAGGGCATCTGAGCTTCAAACCTTTCTGGGACTTGCAGAGCAGAACTGAGGAGTCCTGTCCAAACCTTTCCTCCCTCTGCTACATTGAAAGTTTGTGACCCCTTTCAACTCCGGGGAGGGGGGAAGGATTCTGCCTGCCTCGAGGGGCTGAGGGGAACACAGTGCATTGAATGCCAGAGAGGAGGGGGGACATATTTTCAAAGCTAAGCTCTATCCCATTGGCTGGTATTGAACTATGGTTGCCTGCCAGGGACTCCATTCTGCCCCCCATCCGTCTCGGCACACACAGTCCCCGTGGCAGCCTCGTTCCCATCAATCAGCTGCGGTTATTGTCACCGAGCAAGCGTGGAGTTGCGGGGCCGTGGTGGGGGGAGAGGCTGGTAGAAGGAACAGCGATATTTCTGTAAGATGCCTAAGAGTGCTCGTGTTTGTTCCTCAGCTGGAGCAAGAGCGAAACCGTGTGTATCCATGGTGCTAAAGTGGAGCCATGTTGCTATGGATAGAGGCAAGAGGCCCTTTTCTTTTTCTGTTTTTGCTCAGGTGGTTCACACAGCGGCCATTTTTGTTGCTCAGAGCAAAACGTCGAAGGGTAAGCTTTTATTTTCCCCTGGCTGACTTTGTTCGCCGCTGAGCCGGGTCAACCACCTTCCCACAATGCACAGTTCTGCGTTGCTGAGGAGCAACCATCTTTGTTCTGCCACGGAAGACAGTGGAGTGGCTGCCATTTTGATTTTCGCTGTCAGAAAGGGCAACAGTTCCTTACGTTGTGAATCACAGATCGACGCAGGCGTCTTTCTTGTGGAAACAGAGAAAAAGATGCCTCTTTTTTTCCCCTGCACAAGATCAAAGTAGCCATTTTTCCTATGGAGGAGGAAGAATTGTCAGAGCTGCCAGACTGCAGATGGTGTGTTGGCCATTTATTTTTGAAGAACAGACATGCTAGTTGAAGTTGCTACCTGACCTGATATTCCCCGCTCAGCCCATTCAGTGCTGCTGCTCGTAATATGTGAAAATGCCTGTTAAAGAAATTAGCAGTTCATAGTGCCACTGTATCAAGTAATAGTGCCACTGTATTCTGCTCTGGTCAGACCTCACCTGGAGTACTGTGTCCAGTTCTGGGCACCACAGTTCAAGAAGGATACTGACAAATTGGAACATGTTCAGAGGAGGGCAACCAAAATGGTCAAAGGCCTGGAAACGATGCCTTATGAGGAATGGCTAAGGGAGCTGGGCATGTTTAGCCTGGAGAAGAGGAGGTTAAGGGGTGATATGATAGCCATGTTCAAATATATAAAAGGATGTCACATAGAGGAGGGAGAAAGGTTGTTTTCTGCTGCTCCAGAGAAGCGGACACGGAGCAATGGATCCAAACGACAAGAAAGAAGATTCCACCTAAAGATTAGGAAGAACTTCCTGACAGTAAGAGCTGTTCGACAGTGGAATTTGCTGCCAAGGAGTGTGGTGGAGTCTCCTTCTTTGGAGGTCTTTAAGCAGAGGCTTGACAACCATATGTCAGGAGTGCTCTGATGGTGTTTCCTGCTTGGCGGGGGGTTGGACTCGATGGCTCTTGTGGTCTCTTCCAACTCTATGATTCTATGATTCTATTTGTCAGGTTTTTTGGTTTCAGTCCTGTTGGTGTACACCAAAGCAGATGATGTAGAGTCCACTGCACCCATCTTGAGAATCTCTGGTTTGTTTGTTTTTAAAGCACATTTCTAGTCTTTGTGGAGGAAATCCTCAGTAAGGCAGAGCTCAACCAGACTTCCTTTTGTGCTGCACTGTTCAGGCACCTTAACGCTCTGTGTTCAAGTGGTTTCCCTCCCCCCTTTTCCCTGGTGCACATTTTACAGCTGAATCGGAGCACAGAAGGGACACCAAGGATCATCTAGTCCAACCCCCTGCAATGCAGGACCAGCGTGGAGCTTGACACACACAGCCCTGAGATTTAGAGTCTCATGCTCTGCCGACTGAGCTATCTAGCAATGCAAACAGCACTTCTCTGAAAACCCAGTTGCTGTTCCCTCTGATTCAGCAGTAAAATGCTGGTTTTTCCAGGGAAAGTGCTGGGACAAAACAAAAACCCAGTGCTTGGACATCAAGCTTTCAAGCCCAGATCTGTGCCTAGAAGTGCTGCACAAAAGGACATCAGGATGTGTAGAGTCTGAAGGTGAGGGGATGAAATTCTATATTATGCATACTGCCGAACATATCAGGTTTATTCTGCGGTGGTGATATTAAGTTGCTAAAAGTTAGTAACCCACCACATTTCCCCCATCTGCTGAAACATACCTTTGTTATTTTGGGGGGCCTGAAATGTTGGGGCTTGAAAATCAGGGTGGGGAGAAAGAAGAATGGTGGCCTCTCTTGGACGCTGCCTTGTCAGTTGGAGAGGATTTTTCCTTGCCTCAGATGATTGGCCAATGGCTGTGTACAAACCACCATTATGTGCTCAACTTACATAGCATGGCTGGAATTACTGATGGATGGATCACTTTGTGTCTCCAGACTTCATCAGTTTTGCCCGAGTTCATTCTGTTCTGCCTCATGTCCACATTAACCTGCAATCTTAAGAAGGGGAAAGGGAAATCACAGAAAAAAATCTCTTTTCGAAATATGTATTTTTGAACTTATAGGGTAAAACACATTTATAAACATGTATTTGGTGAGAAAATATGTAGATGTAAATGCAATGTGTTTATAAATGTGTTTTACGTTTTTCTATTATGTATTTTGTCCTAAAGTTACATTTTTATACACGTTTTGGCATGCAGGTTTTTTTATCTGAGAACTGCATTGCAAAATTCAGAGAAGCGCAAAGTCGGGAGAATCGCAGTCTGATCCAAACATTTGGCTGGGAGGTGTGGATCAGGCTGGTTTCCTTAGAAAGGCAGATGTAGCTAAATCCCTAAGCTTCCCTTGGCGGAAATGCTTTGAGTGAATTTTTGCTCATGTGCTGCTGGCGCTGAATGGCGTGTGCGTGTGCGACCACAATCACTTAAAATCAATCTGAGAAATTTGATAGATTTATTAGTTCGTGTAATAGAGTCACATTTGCCTGGTGCATTCTCCTTGCGGTGAACTTCCTAAAGCGGGCTTTGCCATTTGTAGACATTTTGGTTTTTTGGCTTGCAGCTAAACTGTCCTCCCCTCCCCTCCCCTCCACCCCCTCCCCTAATAGTGTTGGCTTATTAAGAAGACAAGGATAATTCAGGCACATAAATCTCCGCATAGCCTGTATTTTTTGCCCTGCCAACTGCGTTCCCTTCCATCAAGCTACGTCTTCGCTTTCCTTATGCAACAAATCAGCTCCCAAAAGGCACAATCTGTCGGAAGTTCTCTTCCACCGGCCCCACCGAAATGGATTTGCATGACCTATTGTTAGCTAGCTTGGGCTCCTGGGACGGAAACTCGGGGTAGAAGTATAAATAAATGAAGATTAAACTGTCCCCAGCCACTTCAGTGCAGATCCAGCGCAGGCAAAGTAGCTTGCATACCCGCCAACATTTCTCCAATGAAGCAGGGGTCAGCAAACTTTTTCAGCAGGGGGCCGGTCCACTGTCCCTCAGCCCTTGTGGGGGGCCAGACTATTTTTTTTGGGGGGGGGGGAATGAATTACCACAAATAACCACTGGGTTATTACCACAAATAACCCAGAGATGCATTTTAAATAAAAGCACACATTCTACTCATGTAAAAACACGCTGATTCCCGGACCACCCACGGGCCGGATTTAGAAGGTGATTTGGCTGGATCCGGCCCCCGGGCCTTAGTTTGCCTACCCATGAAATAGGGAGACGTCCTATTCCATACCCTCCAACATTTCTCCATTGAAAATACGGACGTCCTCCAGTGTTTCGCCACTGAAAGTAGGGACGTCCTAAGAAAAAGCGGAACATTCCGGGATCAGGTCAGAAACCGGGATGGCTTTGGTAAATCTGGGAGTGTCCCTGGAAAATAGGGACACTTGGAGGGTCGGCACTTGGAAGAGGAGGCAGGCAGTGCATGCGTCCGAGAGCTGGCATGATGGTATGAGGGCATCTCTTCCTACCACGCAGGTGCCAAGGGCAGGCTCTGCCCCACAGCATGCACCACTGGTGTAGATTAGACGGCTGGGGCACACACATCCTTGCCACCTTCTATCCCAGGGGTGGAAGGTAAGAAGCAAGGAAATGGTTGGATCTTAGCGGTGTTGGACTCTCGGCGCTTATTTGCTTTCCGGGCTTTGAGTTCCACGAGGGACCCACTGCAGCAGTGGGGTTAATTCCTCCACCCCTGGCACAGGGCCCTGATGGATGGGCCGGCATTTTCAAGTCGTGACCTTTAGTGAGCGGCACATGGTTGGAATGCGTCCTCAGGAATCTCAAGCAGGCTGGGGCTACGTGTGTGCCGCAAGAGGGAGCGAATGGTGCCAGCAGGCGGGAGAGGGCAAATGGGGTGGGGTGGGGAGGAAGGGGGAGCCGAGGAATGTATACAGGAGCAGAATCTCACCACGGCCTCTATCGCTTGCCATTAAAAATTCCTCCCACCTCTTGCTTAACTCCTCCAGCCAGCCGTCTTCTGTGCCTCTATTTTGTTTGTTCGTAATTTCCATCCCACCTTTCTCGTCGAGGCCGCTGGCAATTTTTATAATAAACAAATCAACCCGAAGGACGAAAATAACGGAATGCAAATCCCTCCCACCCTTTCATGAGTGCCCCTTCTTGTGCATGCATTCCTGGCACCCACAAAGCGACAACTCGCACAACTGCTCAGTTGGCTGGGAGCGTGGTGCTGATAATGCCAAGGTTGCAAGTTTGTATGGGGCAGCCGCATATTCCTACATTGCAAGGGGTTGGACCAGATGATCCTCAGGGTCCCTTCCAACTCTACACTTCTATGATTCTGTGAACTGCAAGGATTTCACAATCAAACTTTTCTGGGTACCGACCGCTTCAGATGACAGGCGGTAGCAGGAAGCTTCATAGCTGAATACTCTTGCCATGGCACAACCAGAAAATGTGTAACACATGAGGCATTCAGTTTTTCCTTCTCATTGACTAGGCAATGTCTGAAGAGCCGTTGGGCCCGAGACCCGGGTGGAGCTTGTTTTTGCCCGACGGATGTCTAGCTTTCACACCTGTCAATTTGCGGTTTGTAAAGACGTGGGTCATCCGGGGCTCTCTTCCCTGTGTGTTGTGTTCGGAATGTGAGCCGGCAAAAGTAAATGTCAAAAGTGAACTTGGATTTATGGATCAGAGCCCAGGGCATGTGCTTGTGAATTAATTCCTTTCGGGGCACGCGGATTCTGTGGCCTCCAGGGAAAGCGCGTACGTATAGATGTGCCGGGTCATGTCCACACAGGGGCTTCTGCTGCTCCCGGCTCTGAGATGTTAGCATTCCGCTGGGAAGGCAGGAAGCAGTGCTGGGGTGAAGGTTGCAAGTGCCAGCCCTGTCCGGCCTGTGTGCAATGTCAGCCTGCCGTGGCGGACAGGTGGGGGGATCAGCGTGGGTGGCATACAGGTGCCATGTGGCTTTCAGAAATTGCTGGAGAGCAGGGCTAAACTCCCATGCGGCCAGATTCTGCCTTTTAAGGCTGTGCATTTCTTGTAGGCATTTCCAGCGCCTCTCGGTGTATGCCTCTGTGATCTTTTGTCTCTGCACCTGTGGGATGTTTTTTGCTTTTTGTTTTGCTGCGCATTTGTTCACGTCTCTGCCCATCCCTCCGCCGCTTTGAGAAATCTCTAAATAACAGCAGACGCAAAGGAGAGCATTACTGAGCATTACAGCAACGCTCTTTGCCAAGGCGTGCATTCTCTTGCGTGTCCAGGCAGTGATGGCTTGCTACAGGGGAAAGCAGATATCGCTGAGGTTCCGTAATGGATTTAAATATTAGCAGAAGGTATGGGGAAGGGAACACATGTGAAATGATTTTAATGCAGGAATTTTGCACATTTGTTTAATATGCGCAATTTATTCCCCTTGCAGAACTCGACTCTTCTTAATGCAGGGTGTATTTTTTTTAAGGGTGTTCTCAAGGGCTCAGTAAACCCTTTCAGGAGATCTAGCCCTTGATATATTTACAGTCAGGGCTAGCTGAGGTGGAAAATCACACATGCTTAGCACACAAGGCACACAGCTTCCATTCATCCCAGTGCAGCTTGTGCAGGAGAATTTCCCAGCGGGTCATTCCTGATGGGTTGGACCCATCTATCTACTCTGCTGCCATACCTTGGAGCACAAGATCTATTGCCTGAGATGGCTGCCCAGAGTAGCAGTGGTGACATTCAGAGTCTTCCGTTCCTGCAGGATGGTGGTCACAGTCTGCAACGAAGGGCGTGGAGGGTGCACAGGAGCAGCACTTCTGTTAGAAAAAGGGGTTGGCAACCTCAGCCCCAGGGGCCAAATGTGTCCCTCCGGGTTTCTCTATCTGGCCCTCAGGCTCCCTCCAGGCCCCACCCTTCAGGGATCTTGCTTCACGCCCTCCTTGGTTGTTTGGGCCTGGCTAGGGGGATCACATGTCGTTCTTGACGGGATGGAGGACAGAGAGGAGTGCATCAGTATGTGTAGAAACTAGCCGGCTGCAGAATGGGTCCGCATTTCATTGCCCTACCCACTCAGTGGTGTAGTGTGGGGCACAAAATTTCAACACCTGGTGCTGCCTCAATACAGCTGTGTGCTTCCAGGAAGTGTCCTCACCAGGCAATGGAATGACTCTTTTTTTCTTATCTCTGTTGCTGTGATCTCCTGGGTGATGTGGACGCCATTGAATGTGCATGCGTACTCCTTCTTTTTCTCTCCCTCCCTCCATGCAGCCCTAGGCACTGGCAACCCATGCTATGCCACTGTATCCACCTTTGTCTCTGGCCTGACCCACCCACGGCACATGACCCCTCTGGAAGGATGTCCAGAAGGGAATGAGGTCCTCAGAGAGTGTCCTGGATCAGAACGTCGAGCGCTTGGCCAGAACCTTTGTCAGGGGGCCTCCCGTCAGGGGGAGACTGGTGGGCCCAAGCTGCTAGGTCAGGGTGATCTCTGGACAGGCCTTCCTCCATTGGAAGGCCTGGCCTCGCCACCCTTTATAACTCCTTCGTTTCGGAAAGAGGGAAGAGAGCAAATTTAGCTAATGCGTTTGGAGAAGTGTTGAATGTAAAGCTCAATTTATGTAAAGCTTGCATTGTGCGGGGCTGTACGTGGCGGTGTCTTATGCCGCTCCTGGCGTTTCCGTAGCACGGATAATACTTATAAATCTCTGAATCTTATTACATCTATTAGCGTTCGGCTCTCCCTGTTTAGCATTCATTTAACATGGTGTTTCGAGGAGCTGCCGGAAAGACACGATACTGACCCCAGGCACTTGGATTTCGCGCCCGCGTGTAAAGCACCCCTGTCATGAGCCTTTTGTCCTTTGCCTTGAGCACCTCTGGGCTGGAAAGGTGACTTAGGAGACCTGTACGTAACCAGGCAAAAGCAAGGAGACGGTGTTGCCCTGGATGAGGCTCTGCTTCTCTTGGGAGGAGGCAATCACAAAAAAACGTACACATGATGTATGGTTGTATTTCCTAGCCCTTGCCATCTTCCTCTGCTTCACACGCCCTGAAAGCCAATGTTCCTAAAAGGTTTTCCCCCTCCCATAGTAGCCCCTCTGCTATCTTCATTTTGTTTTATTGCCTTTTCCATTACCACAATATCCCATAGTTTATGACTCTGTAGAATAATTGGCTTGTCTCTTGCAGGGGTGTCGTGTGTTGTTTTTTGCTTCTGATTAGACAAAGGGCTGTTGGTTGAGCATCAAAAGAGTTGCAGGGGACAAGAAGCCATTTATTTCCGCCTCACCTGCTTGGTAGGGGTCTCTTCTCACAGGCCATTGACTTATTGTCCTCTGGTCCACAGTCTAGATCATTGGGGGATATTTTTCAGTCCAGGCCCTCAACCTTCGAAGGAGCAACAAATGTCAATTTTATCTTTGTGCATTTGGCTACTTTCCGTGCACACTCGCACAGCCTTCTCTTTTTTTTTATTATAAGATATTTATTAAGATTTTCAATGTTTTACAAAACACCCAAAAATAAAGGGGAAGAAAAGAAAAACAAGAAAAAATACGTAATAAAAATATTTAAAAACAATTCTTTACTTCCATTACTTGACCTTCATTTGCTTATTTCCAGGACCTCCTCACACCTTCCTTTTTTGTATTCCAGTTCAGTTATTTTGTTCAGCAAATCCCTCCCCTCTTTTAGTATCCTATCATAAAAATATTGTAATTTTAGATTTTTACATATTACATAATAAACCCTCTTTTCATCTTCCCTTGTAACCTTTCAGCTAAAGACCACTTAGTTTCTATCCAACATCATTCTAACATTCATTAATTTTACCTTCTCTCTACCCTCCGTCCAGGAAAACAAGAGGCTATGGTCAGCGCTCAATGGCATGTTCCAGTCAGGCAAAAACTCTCAGGCTGTGAAGCAAGGCTAGTAAGGGCTGTGGCTCGGGAAGAGTTTCACAGGCCAGATTGTGAGGCCTGGGGAGACACATCTGGCTCCAGGCCTGAGCTTCCTCAACCCTGTTCTATATAAGCCAGAAAAGTACAGTGGTGCCTCGCAAGATGAAATTAATTCGTTCTGTGAGTTTTTTCGTCTTGCGAATTTTTCGTCTTGCGAAGCACGGTTTTAACGGGTATTAACGGTTTTAAGAAAAAGGAAACAAACTCGCAAGACGTTTTCGTCTTGCGAAGCAAGCCCATTGGGAAATTCGTCTTGCGAAGCAACTCAAAAAACGAAAAACTCTTTCGTCTTGCGAGTTTTTCATCTTGCGAGGCATTCGTCTTGCGAGGTACCACTGTAGTTGCTCCAGATGACTCAAGTAAGCAAGCCAATCAGCACACTTTGCTGCAAACGGTTGCAGTTTGTTCAAGGCAGTGTCCTCCCTCCCGTACCCGCACATGCTAGATTACATAATATTGAGTTGATTGTATTTTAAAAAGTCCAATGATACAAGAGTAGACGTGAAGGGGGGCACATTTTAATGCACTGACTAGAGGTTCTTAGTGGTTGTGGTGAAGCCTCAAGACTGGCTGAGATGCTCTGATGTCACAAAGAGGTTGCACAGATAGGAGTTTTCGGCTGCCATTGACCAGGTTGCGTTTATGTGAGAGAAGGTCATAATTTTTTTTAAGCAGAGGGCTAATGTTGGAAGAGAGAGCAGGACAGATAAACATGGGTTGGAGGAGAGGATCAGGAGAGAGAAAGGGAAACTATGCTGAGCCAAGGAGTAAAGATTGCCACGGCCAGCAGCTGGAAAAGTAAGAAGGGATGAAGGTTATATATTTGATTTGAAGCAATCGGTCAACTCTTCTGCCTCAGGCCTTTTGCGTAATATTGCACAATTCCTACAGCAAGACACCTCTGTGCCCCTTGTGTCCTTTTATAAGACCATATAACACTGGTCTTGAAAGACCTACACTGGCTCCCAGTACGTTTCCGAGCACAATTCAAAGTGTTGGTGCTGACCTTAAAAGCCCTAAACGGCCTCAGCCCAGTATACCTGAAGGAGCGTCTCCACCTCCATCGTTCTGCCCGGACACTGAGGTCCATTGCCGAGGGCCTTCTGGCGGATCCCTCACTTCGAGAAGCCACGTTACAGGGAACCAGGCAGAGGGCCTTCTCGGTAGTGGCACCCGCCCCGTGGAACGCCCTCCCACCAGATGTCAAAGAGAAAAATAACTACCAAACATTTAGAAGACATCTAAAGGCAGCCCTGTTTAGGGAAGCTTTTAATGTTTAATAGGTTATTGTATTTTAGTGTTTTGTTGGAAGCCGCCCAGAGTGGCTGGAGGTCCCAGCCAGATGGGTGGGGTATAAATAATAAATTGTTATTATTATTATTTATTATTATTATTATTTCCCTGGTGGCATGTGAGGGTGTGGCCCACTCATGTGATTATGTTTCCCCATATAAAGCAGGTGTAGGGAACCACTGTCCCTCCAGATGTTGCTGAGCTGCAGCTCCCATCACCCTGTCCGTTGGCCATGCTTCCAGGGGCTGATGGCAGTTGTAGCAGAGATTTCCTGCATTGTAGGGGGTTGGACTGCATGACCCTCAGGGTCCCTTCCAACTCTACGGTTATATGGTTCAATGAATCCCCACACTGGATATAAAGACTTTGACCTCCCCAGGGCTGAACTTCTAAATCCAGCCAGGAAGCCACAGTCCCAGGCTTGCCCCCAAACCCTGCCCACTCACTCATCTCTGACATAAGAAACGAATTGTGACAAGGGCTCTCCGTACATGCTCAGGAGCACTCCTTTGCTCAGTAGCACAGAAATATGGCGAGGTGGAATATGTTCATGTGGCAGCTCCAACATCCTCTGTCAATGTTTATAATTTTGACTACTTATGCATGAGTTTTCCTGCCAAGCTAGCAGTTTGAAAGCACGTCAAAGTGCAAGTAGATAAATAGGTACCACTCTGGCGGGAAGGTGAATGGCGTTTCCGTGCGCTGCTTTGGTTCGCCAGAAGTGGCTTAGTCATGCTGGCCACATGACCCGGAAGCTGTATGCCTGCTCCCTCGGCCAATAAAGCGAGATGAGCGCCGCAACCCCAGAGTCTGCCACGATTGGACCTAATGGTCAGGGGTCCCTTTATCTTTATGCATGAGTTTATTCTTCACTGGTATGCAAAGAGGGGCTTGGGTGCTGATACTCAGCCCAGGCGAATCCCTGCTCACATTAAAGCCCCACTCGCCTCCCGTGAACGTCATGGTAACCCATTTTTTCTTTCTCTCCTTGCACTAGCCAGAGCTCAGGAGGTCCAAGCTGAGAATGTGACCGTGGCAGAGGGTGGCCAGGCCGAGATCAACTGCAAGCTGCACCAGTACGATGGCTCCATAGTGGTGATCCAAAACCCATCCCGCCAGACGCTCTTCTTCAACGGCACGCGGGGTAAGAATGGGGCTTCGGGAATGGTGGGGTTGTAGGCTGGGCTGAAAAGGTAAAGGACCCATTGAGGTGGGGCTGGACGAGAAATGCCACCCACTCAATCCCAGGCCTGCCATCTGGACCAGCACCAGCACCCCCTACAGGTCAGCCCACTACAGTGCAACCTGCTGCAAGAAGAGAACAAGTATATCAGAGGTGCTTGCAGAGCACATGGATCGAGGCAGGTTAGCCAAGCCAGATGCCTCATGGGGAAGCAAGCACGCAAACTATGTTCTTCCTTTGGGTCACTAGCCAATCTGACCTGGGCAGTGGGGAATTGATTGGTTACACCCTGAACTTAAGAACAACCCGGTCAGAGTCCAGGGCTGACCCAAGATAGCTTGGTAACTGAGGAGGAAAGTCCGGACAGCAACCTCCCTATGCTAAGTGTATCCTACTACACACTAGGGCTGGGCGATATATTAATATATTGTCCAAAACAGGTTTGAAGTCCATATCATGATATCGCTTTCAGAATTATTGACCTGTCAATATATTGTGAATATATAGTGTAGGTGTGGGTGTATTGTGCAAAAATCACAACGTGGGAAATACCGTGAAGCCAGCCAATTCTTCTCTCGATTCCTGCAGCCCCTGTTAACTCTGCCAGCTCAGCTCTCCCCTGCCTCCTGCAGGGGGCAGCGAACCACAAGATCCGGCGCCAGCAAAAATCCCAATATGGGAAAAACCGCGAAGCCAGCCATTGCCTCTACGTAGCTCCATCCTTATTTCAGACATTGTGATATATCTGTATATCATGATGTCTCACTGGTGACATATCACTATGTTGAAAACCAGATATCGTCCAGCCCTAGACACTTCTGCAGCTTTCGGTAGCAGCCCTAAATCTTCCTGCCCCAGAGATCTGCGGCATTTTGCGTAATGGTGGGGCTGGCCTGGGCTGAGTGATCCTCACTTAGAGAAGCCATGAACTGCACCTCCGTGCCACCTGGCATCTTGTCTCAAATAGAGACAGTCCCTTGTACTTGAGAGAAACCCCCTCCCCAAGATTGTATTTTTGTTGCTTCTTATGTATTTGAATTCTATGGAATGCAAGTTGCCGCACGAAATAAAACATAAGAAATAAAAGAAGCAATGGAAATACAATTGAAAACCGTACAGCATCACACCCTGATGACCCTCTTCTCATTTCACTGGTTCATAACATGAGACACCTTTTCCTCACCCTCCTTACAGCCCTGAAGGATGAGCGGTTCCAGCTGGTGGAGTTCACCCAGAAGCAAGTCCGCATCGTGCTCTCCAATGCCCGCCTGGAAGATGAGGGCGGCTACTTCTGCCAGCTCTACACAGAAGACACGCACCACCAGATCGCCATCCTCACCGTGCTGGGTACGTGCCGCTTTCCCGCTGCCACCACCTCTGCCTTCTCTGCCACAGCTGCCGCCGCCCTATTTCGGGATTGCAACATAAACTGGAAGAAAGAGGAGTTACAGTACCATATCCATGAATAATAATAATAATAGTTGTTATTATTCCTAAAGCACCCTCTTCGGTCCACCCAGATCCTCTGGGTCTTCTGCAATAATCAAAACACATCACTGATACATTAAAGCCAATTAAGGTTTTTTTTTTAATAAAAAAAAAAATACTAACAAAACCCACAAGCACAGTTCTCAGAGAATCATGGAACTGGAATGAAATGGGGTGATCCTCTAGTCTAACCTTCGACTGGGCTCATTGCCAGAAGTGTTGGCAGAGGAGATGGCTAAGGGCGGATGGAGCCACTCTAGGTCTACGTGGAACAACAGAAGCCTCAGAAAGCACCTCTTGCGTATATATTCAGCTTGTTAAATCCAACTAAAAAGTTAGTGGAATTGAAAGATGTGGCAGGTGTCCAAATAGTTTTTCATCCAGCCCTGGTACCTTTGTGACCTTTGGCCAGGATGCTGGAAGGTGGGAGCAGGTTAGCAAGAAGGTCAGTCCGTTCTTACCTTGTGGTGTTATGATGAATTAAGGCCAACGCAAGTCTTGTGCAAAATTTATTTATATCCTCAACCTTCCAAAGGAGCCAAGGCAGCAAGGATAAAGCAATCAAAACATATTTTTAAAGAAATCCAAAATTTTGGATTTTTAAAAAATATATTTTTTGAGGAAAAAGGGTCCCGGAACTCTGTTCCAGAGAGTTCTGGCTGAAAAAAAGCCCTGGTAATTATAATAATCTCTCTCACACACAGCTTTCATAGAAAAGCATTGGAAGGGACCCCAAGGGTCATCTAGTCCAACCCCCTGCAATGCTGGAATCTCAACCAGATCATACATGACAGATGGCCATCTAACCTCTGTTTAAAAGCCTCCAAGGAAGGAGAGTCCACAGCCTCCCGAGGGAGACCATTCCACTGTCAAACAGCTCTTACTGTGAGAAAGTTTTGCCGAATGTTTAGTCGGAATCTCCTTTCTTACAACTCGAAGCCATTGGTTCGAGTCCTACCTTCGGAGTAGGAGAAAACAAGCACACTCCCCCTTCCATGTGACAGCCCTTAAGATATTTAAAATGGCTATCCTGTCTCCTCTCAGTCTCCTCTCTTCTCTTATCAAGTAACTCTGTATGTTGTCCTGTCGCTTGAGGTGTGGCTAGGCGGGCCTCAGGTTGCTGCGCCTTCTCTTCCAGCAAGACAACCAGCTTGCACTTGCTGCAAGTGTCCTTCTGCTTGTTCTCTGGCAGAATAACAAACAGGGCACAGGTGTCACTGTAGGTCACTGCAGCAGCTCCCTTGCCCTCCATATCTCTGGCCCTTTGCCCACCAAGAGACAGAACTCTGGGCCTCCCCCTTAAACACCCTCACAAACACCCCTGCTTGTGAGGTCTGGTCACAAGCTCCCAGGACTTGCACTGAGCTAAGTTTGACTTCCCCCAAGGAATCCTGGGAAATTTCATTTGTTCAGGGCTTTGGGAATTGCAGCTCTGTGCACGATAAACTAAAGTCCCCAGGATTCTTTAGAGGAAGCCATAAATATATGGTGTGGTGTGGATGTGGCAGAGATGGAGAGGGAGACAGAAAGCTGCCTCGTCGAGTCAGATTGCTAGTCCGCCTCGCTCAGTCTCCCTAGGCTTTCAGAAAGGAGGCTTCCTGCAACCTTAACTGAGACCTCCTCCTGCATGCAGAGACCTTCTGCATTCCCCAGCCTGTAATTTCAAGCGCCTACCTAACCTCCCACACAATCACTAGACATTCATATGCTTCTTTTAAGGCCAAGCATTGACAACTCGTATGATCATACTCCGAATCAGTATGCTGTATAATTTACCCAAAGGAAGGGGTGGGGAAGCCTCCACATTCTGCACTAACAGAAGCTAAATCAGGTATTCTTAGGAAATTATGCAAATGTCTGCTTCTTTTCCATAATTCTAATTTTGCAACTGGGGCTGGGCGGGGGGTGGGGGGGGTGTCTGTGACAACGAAGAGCAATGCAGAGCAACAAAATCCCATTTCCTGACTCTCTGATATTCTGTTCACTCGCTTCTGAGGTGTTATTTTTTTCCACCCTAATTTAAGGCCTAGCAGCTTTTGTTTTGTTTTTGACCTGAAAGTGGAATTTCCCAGGATGCATTTGTACTGGTGATCTTGAGGAATCCTGGAACAGTCACAGAGGCCCACCTGAAGAGCTCACTACCCTTGCCATTGGACCCCCTAGTTCAGTGGTGGGGAACTGGCAGCCTTCCAGATGATGTTCCGTCTTCTCTGACCACTGGCCACACTGGCTGGGGCTGGTGGAAGCTGCCACTGGGGGTTACCTGCTTACCCAGTGACAGGGCCTTCTCAGTGGTGGCTCCCCATTTGTGGCATGCTCTCCCTAGTGAGGTGCATCTGTCTCAGGCATTGGGTGGCTGAAAGGTCTGTTCCTGGAAGCGCTGGAATTATTAGCTATGAGAGTGTGGGTTATTGGGTTTCCTAAATAAAATTTTAAGTGGGATTTCTTTTTTGAAGGTCTTGCCAGTTTTAAAAAGATGGTTTTGAGATCTTTTAGTTCAGGGGTGGCCAACTTCCAAGAGACTGCGATCTACTCACAGAGTTAAAAACTGGCAGTGATCTACCCCCAAAGTTTCTGGGCTTCTTTGGGGGGAGCCAGTGATCTACCAGTGATCTACCACAGACGTCCACTGATCTACCAGTAGATCTCTGTCTACCTCTTGGACATGCCTGTTTTAGTTGTATGCTATTATAGATGCATGGGATATAAATTTAATAAAACATTTGAAGAACCACAAGTTCCCCACTCCTTCTCTGGTTGCGTTTACTAGATCTGAGACTGATTTGGGTGCCTGTGGAGGTAATGCTGTGTTGGGATCTGGTGCTATGTTGGAGACAACCCCACTGCCTGCCCCATAACCCAACTGCTGTTCTTTACAGTGCCCCCTGACAACCCCTTGGTGGAGATCAAGGAACAGGCCGTGGAAGGAGGAGAAGTGGAGCTCACCTGCAGCGTCCCCAGGTCACGCCCTGCTGCCACGCTGCGCTGGTACCGGGACCGGGACCGGAAAGAGCTGAAAGGTGAGGGAAGGAGGGAGGAAACCAGGGACTTAGCTTCCTGTAGGAGTTTGCTTTGGCCCCAAAGCTCCGGAGCTGTGAATTCCCATGCCAGCTGACCTTCCCAAGTGGAATGTGCGGAACGGGGCGTAGTTTTCCTTTAGATTTTTCTCCTACTTGGGTGAAGCAATAATAATAATAATAACCATCAAAAATGCACATCTTAGGGCGAAACAAATAATTTAGGGTGAAATAAATTTGGAAACGTGTGCACTGAGGTGAAATACATATTTAAATATTATTTTATGCACTTAAAAAAAAAATACAGTAGTGGAACAGGATGTACACATGTGAGCCTGGTAGGAACTGGAAGTAGACTGATCTGTCGTTGGGGACATGAGTTAGCTTAGTACTGGGATATCCAGTTAATGAACCTCTAGAAGGTGCTGCCTCTTTTCCAGCTTGGGATCGGTTTTAGGGAGCGTCTCCCCAATAAAGTTTGTCATCTCCAAACGCCTGAGGCTGAGGCTGCATCCATATGTCTCTTTAACTGCAGCATATACACGAGCTGAGTTTATTAGCAGCTACTCCTACTCTTCCCCCTGCCTGCCCAGAAAATACTTAAAATAGAAGGGCTTTTTGGCATCTTAAAGGCAGATGTTTCTTTTGGGGCTCCTTTTAGACTCGTAAGTAGGCTGCTTCTGGGTCTCTCCCAGCGCTTCTTGGCTGCCAGGAACAAGTTCTCTGCGCTTGCGTTGGAGGCAAGTAGGAGTAATGTTATGCGCTCCTACCCCTCCCGAGCACGGCGGTTGCATTTTAATTGTATGTAATTTAAAAATTAGAAAAAGAGAAAAGAGCCCCGCGGCAAGGCGTGACGCCTTAACTCAGCTTTAAAGGGACGTTTGCAGGCGCTCGGCGGGGTTGACCAGCGGGGCCGGTGCACATGTTCTTTGTTTCTCCCCCCCCCCAGGAATAGGCAGCAAGCAGGAGAACGGGAAAGTGTTCAGCATCACCAACGTGGTGCGCTTCCGGGTGGAGCGCAGGGACCACGGCAGCGTCGTGACGTGCGAGGCCACCCACCCCACGCTGCGGGGGCAGCGGAAGGAGACGCAGTACGTGCTAGATGTACAGTGTAAGTGACCGCAGGTGCCTTGCTGGCGGGGGAAGAGGGCAAAGGCAGGGTTGGCATCAAGTGGCAGGTCTGCAGTGCATTCTGGGCCCAGCTGGGCCCCTTTACCCTCCCCTTTTCCTTTGGGCAGGGTGGGCAGAGGTTACGGAGCTGCGGGCCTCTGGCTCTAAACCACTGGGCCTCTTGGGCCTGCCGATCAGAAGGTTGGCGGTTCGAATCCCCGCAATGGGGTGAGCTCCCGTTGCTCTGCCCCAGCTCCTGCCAACCTAGCAATTCGAAAGCACACCAGTGCAAGTAGATAAATAGGTACCGCTGCGGCGGGAAGGTAAACGGCGTTTCCGTGTGCTCTGGTTTCTATCACAGTGTTTCATTGCGCCAGAAGCGGTTTAGTCATGCCAGCCACATGACCTGGAAGGCTGTCTGTGGACAAACGCCGGCTCTCTCAGCCTGAAAGCGAGCTAAGCGCCGCAACCCCATAGTCATCTTTGACTGGACATAACTGTCCAGGGGTCTTTTAACTTTTACTTCTCTTGGAGGAATGAATGCCCAGGGCAAGAGAGTAGGGGGCTTCCAGAAGGGAATTTAATGGCTTATTTGTTGAATTTCTATACCACCCTTTATCCGAGGACCACAGGGACGGCTTACAGTATAAAAACACAAAAAACAACAACATCATAACAAGCAAAACAATAATGCCTCCCCCCTCCCCCCAGCTTAAAAGGCTGTAGCTTGCTTGATTAGCCCTAGGCCTGGGAGAAGAGGAATGTTTTTGCCTGGCGCCTAAAGATATGCAATGAAAGCACCAGGTGAGCCTTCCTGGGGAAAGCAGGGAGTCACCACAGAAAAGTCCTGTCGTCTCCCTCCAGAGCTACCATGGAGGGCACACATGAAGAAAGGCCTGAGATGTTGGTCACAGGCCGGTTCATATGAGGAGAGGCGGTCCTTGAGGTATTGCTGTCCTGAGCCGCTTAAGGTTTTATTGATCAAAACCAGCACTTTGAATTGGGCCCAGAAACTAATTGGCAGCCAGTACAAGGCTGGTGTAATATGCTCAAGCCATCTTGCCCCAGTGAGCAAGCAACCTGGCCACTTCATTGTGAAATCAGTGCTGTTGATGACCCTACATTTCTTTCTCAGCAATCTTCCAATGTCATCGTCATCTAACCGCCAGCCCATACCTTTATTTATTTTTACATTCAAAACGGATTTCCCCTTGCTGTGGAAAATCCAATAAGTGAAAATAACCTGCTCTACATCTGCAGACACTGCTAGTGAATGTGGAGTGTGCAGGCGCTGACAGAGGAGGTCATGGCTGCTTTGCTCCTCCCTGGTCTGCTCTCTGCAGGTTTGTGGTTTAGCTCTTGCCCTCCACATACCACAACCTCAACCAAGGTTTGCCCTTGGGAGCTGAACCATGCGTCTTGAGTTTGGACTACACACTTAAGGCAAGCCATGGCTTAGCTCAGTGCAGCAGCTTAAACCCCAAGGAGGGGACCAAAGAGGCTGCAATTTCCTCTTTGGGAGCCTGCACACTCACACATGGTTGGCTCCATGTGGCATGTGGACCAGAACTCAGTGCAATGCAGGCCTGAGCCTAAACCACGTGCCTTTTAAAATCAATGCAGAAAAACCCTGCTTCAGAGACCCTGTTCAGTAGTGTGGTGGGCGAATTCAGATCTCTTCTGAAATTTCCAACACGTTTTCTTCAGTGGGCTCTCAATTTACTTGTATGTTCAATTTCCTTGTAGTGTAATAAGTGTCATTTTGGTGTTTCTGTTTATATAGACTGGATATATAGATCTCCTTACTTTTTATGCATACTGTTTTCTATTGCTCGTTTTTGTGGGTGATGCAAAAATCCAGGGAAACTGTTCCAGCCTTCCTTTGCAATCTAACATTCTTTCTATGGAAAGGCAGCTCTTTTAGAAGGAAAAGACAAGGAGGAGGGATGCATGTATTGATATCAGCCACAATGCCAGCGAAAACCTTAATTCCGGGCTTCTAATGGCTCTGACGTCTGAAGGAAGCGTTTCCTCTCCACGGCGAGGGTTGCAAATTGTCGGGCCTTGCTTGAGAAGTGTGACTGTTCTGTGCACGGGCTGATTCATGACCTCCTGTTTATTCTCTCTATTTCCACCCCAGTCGCTCCCACAGCCAGGATCCATCCGTCTCAGGGGGTGATGCGGGAAGGAGACACTTTAGTTCTGACTTGTGACGTCAAAGGCAACCCGCGGTGAGTACTTCCACAGGATGGGGAAAGCCATAATTAGAGGAGAGGCTGGAGGTGGGGGTGAGCAGGGGAGGGCAGGTTCTGGAATAGAAACATAGGAAGTTGCCTTGGACTGAGGCAGACAGGTCCACCTGCCTCCAGACTGCCTGTCCTATCAGACAGTCCTATCTCCTAGGTTTCAGGCAGAGCCAGTCTTTCTCAGCCCTACCTGCAGGCCATTTTCAAAACCTACTTGACCACAGGCAAAAGAAGTGGGCATAGATGCTTCTCCGAAGCCTCTTCTGCTCTTATTTAAAAAACTCCTGCCTGTCTATTTCAGGAGAATCTGCTTTGACTCTCCAGAGTCCACTTCCATCAGGCCCAGCAACATGCTTGTAGTCCAGCAACATCTTGGGGGGCTGGGCGGGGGGTGGGACGCATCAGGTTAGCCGCCCCTCATCCTCAGGCCCTGCTATTGGGCAGCTGGAAGAAAAGAAGAAGAGTTTGGATTTGATATCCCGCTTTATCACTCCCCTTCAGGAGTCTCAAAGCAGCTAACATTCTCCTTTCCCTTCCTCCCCCACAACAAACACTCTGTGAGGTGAGTGGGGCTGAGAGACTTCAAAGAAGTGTGACTGGCCCAAGGTCACCCAGCAGCTGCATGTGGAGGAGCGGGGAATCAAACCCAGTTCACCAGATTACGAGTCCACCGCTCTTAACCACTACACCACACTGGAGAGGGGCCACATCCTTTGAGCAGTAGGCATAACAGAGGGCATTTGGGGCAGGCTTTCCTTCTTCTGCGACACAACGAAAGCGGCACCTGCTGAAAACCGCCCCCCCCCACTTCATAAGACCCCCATCCTTGCCCTGTGGCACCTCTTCCCTGTACACGCGGGGCAAATTGTCCTTGCCTTTCTATATCGCTCTGACTGATGGATACAATTCCCGAGCGGAGTTATTACTCGAGCGCCCCTTGATCCAGCCGCTCAGCTCCATGTCCCATCCATCACGGGCTCTGGCAGCGCTTGCCGCAAATAACCTTGATGGAAGGAAGGAAAGTGGTGTGTGTTTGTGTGTGCTCATGTGGGGGAGATGAGGCGCTTGTGACCCGCAGGGGCCACCGGAGACGGGCGTTGGGAGGAGAGGGGTAAGGTTAACGCCGGCTGTCCTGACTTCCGCCCTCAGCCCCACGGACATCAAGTGGAGCCGAGCCAACGACTCGTTGCCAGAGCGGGCCTTGACGGAGGGAGAGGTGCTGACCATCCCCAGCCTCAGCATGCTGGATAACGGAACCTACCTGTGCCAGGTGGCCAACAAACATGGCCGCTCGTCGGACCAGTATGTGCTGGTGGTTTACGGTAAGCAACACGTGTTCTCTGCTGCTCCAGAGCTCCCCTCTCCTAAGCTCAGCCCAGAACCTCCGAGTTCACTGCTGTCCTGATGTTCACATGCAGTGGGCGAGGACTTAAAAGTCTGTTTCAGGGTCCGGGGGAGGCGGGGGGGGTGTCACATGACAGAACGCTTTTAAAACTCCGCACATAGAAAGTTAGCCTGTCAGGGAGAAACCTTTCTGCTTGCCAAATATTTTTTTTCCTTTGTTCGGGTGATGCACTAAGTCATGTGAGAGTTATAGTTAGCTGTTTCTGATGACCAGACCCCCCCCCAAACCACACCCTTTCTTTTTTTCCCAATTTTTTTATTGATTTTCCAAATATATAACAAACAAATAAGAAAACATTACAATATAAAACAGAAAACAAACAAACATTTATCCTCACTGTTAATATCCCAATTTTCCTATCATTGTTAAGCAACTTCCTTGAATCCCCCTAGCTGAGTTTCCATATAGGTCATTGTAGCAGTTTTCCAATACTACTTTCAAATAAAATTAACTTAATTGGTTAACATCTGTGGAACCACACCCTTTCTTCCTGGTCCAGATTAAGGGTCTTAGGTGCTGTCCCCGAATGCCAGGGGTGGGGGACCCGTGGCCCTCCAGATGTCGGTGGAGTGCCAGTCCCATCACCATCCTGGCTGGGGCTGGTGGGCCACCAGTTCCTTACCCTTGCTCATATGGCAGTGTCTCTCAATGGAGGTGTTTGCTTTCCCCCTGCCAGGAGGGCAGCCAGAAATAGGGTAGGCTCGGGTCCTCTGCCCCGGCCCATACCAAGCTATGAAGCTCGCGGAGGGCACCCCCTCCAGCCACCCACCCCGCCTCTCACACCTTAACCTTTCCCTGTCTTTGGCAGACCCCGGGGCCATTGTGGAGGCCCAGACTTCAGTGCCCTATGCCATTGTCGGGGGCATCCTGGCGCTCCTGGTCTTCCTCGTCATCTGTGTGCTTATAGTCATGGTGTGGTGCTCCATCCGGCAGAAAGGTCAGTGTCGCAACCCTGGTGCCAGCTGGGCAGATAAGAGACACGAGTGCTGATTTATAGAAGGAAAGCTGGGTTGCTCCATCTATCTCTCACCACTGATCTGAGAAACTGCCTTGCAGCACAGTCATCTCATGTGTGTGTGTGTCTCTGTGTGTATTCAAAAAGCATATTTCTAGCCTTTGGGGTTGGAGTGAGGAGCTTGAAATGATAAAAGCAGGGAGACCCCGCAGGGCTTGGGAGTGAGGCTTCCTGCCACCATAGGAAGGACTTTGTGGCTCCTAAAACCAGCCTCTCTCACAGTCTTTCCCAATCCTCTTTGTACGTGGGGAGGAGAATGCTACGGCTGTGTACACAATTGCCGGCTTAAAACACAGCGAGGTGGGGTTTTTTCTCAATTCGGATCAAAGGTGGTTTGCGGAGAAATGGATCCAAGCTTAGTATTTCAAAAAAAAAAACACCAAATACCTACAGGATGCAGAATGTACAGGATGTCTGTACACCACCTGCATTTTTCTTCTAGCCACTCATGGCCAGCTGCAGATTTCAGAGAGGAATTCTTGGGCAAGACACTCAAAGGCTTCCCATTCTCCTTGTTGCCTCTCACTTGCTTGCCTTCTCCCTCTGACCCCAGTCTGCACCTCTGCCCCCAAAGGAAGAACGAGAAGCAGAGAAATCTGCTCCTTCGGTTCCCACAGCTAGTTGGAGAGGGCAAGCCAGCCGCCCATGGCAACAATCAGGAACGTGAGATCTTGGGGCTCAGCCAGTGAGTGATGGTACCAAGCCCTGGCGCCAGCTTGCAGTGTAACCACCTGGCCACTTTGGGATGCATGTGTTCGGATGGGGGAACGTTCTGCTCTCCTCCGATTGCCGCTGCACACACCCCCTTGTACACTCGCTAGAGAGCAGAACCTGATATTCTCTGCCTTCCAGAATTCCTCTTCCTTGATCGTAGCTGTTGCTGAAAGTTAAGTCCAGTGGGGACGTATTTGTGACTAAACACCCGTGAGGTCCCATTGCACTTGCATAAGCTGGCAATGTGTCTTCAAAGCCATTCCAAACTGAGGGTGATGAATGTGGCTTTCATACAAACAGAAATAGTGCCAAAGCAAGGATCTGTTCTCTAGTTGTGGGATGAGGACCAACACATGTAATTAGAGGTGTGATTCCTGCATGGCAGGGGGTTGGAATGGGGGACCCTTGGGGTCCTTTCTGAAGTGAAGGACATGAGGCAGGAGTTGATAATGCAGGTGAGCTGCGCACAGGTGAGCTGCAAGTAAGCTGCCGGCCAGCTCTGTGGAGGCTCCTTTTATTGACACAATATGCAAACCCAGGCAGATACATTTTGGGCTGTGACCTTTACACATCGTCCAGTCCCGAGATCATGGGGTGGTACAAAGTTATTTTGGCCCCTGTTTCCACCGCGTCATTTTCCCCTTGCACAATTTATGACGAAGGAGACAAAGGTCTCAGAGACAAAGGTCACAGACAGGACACCGCAGACTACTGAGACCGCAAAAGGTTAGACAGAGGGGAAGATGTTCAGACAGCTGTGGCTTTATCTGTGAGGGAGAGTGCGCTCCAAGGTCATGCCTGCAGGCAGCTGAGGCTGCCCGTGGGCAGGGAGTGGGCTCCGCACCCAGTGATCATTCCTACACCTTTCCAAATCTATGATTCTATGAATGGAGTCGCCTTAGCAAGCTCTTGAGTCTCCTCCAGGGCCCTGTGCGCCGCACTTACCATTGCTTGTGCCCAGTCTTCTCCTCAACTCACCCCCCCCGTCCTCTTTTTACAGGCTCCTACCTGACGCACGAGGCAAGCGGCCTGGACGAGCACGGAGAAGCCCGCGAGGCCTTTCTGAACGGTGGCGACGGCCATAAACGCAAGGAGGAATTCTTCATCTGAGCCTGGGAGAGGGGAGGGGGAAGGGGAGGGGGGCTGAGCGCTGGGGGCAGAATGGCCGAGGAGGGGGAGCGCTGAAGGCAGGGGGGGAGAGACGTTTATAGAAAAGCTGCCACTCTTGCTGGGGGAGGGGAGGGAGGGGAAAAGAAGGGTTGGATTAAAAAGAAAAAAAAAAGCTTAAAAAAATATCCATTGTGTAAAAAAAGGGGGGACACACACATGGCCACCACTTGTTCGGTTTTATTTTTGAAACCGAGGACTTTAGCCCCACCCCCAGCTATGAAGCTCCGCCTCCTGCCATTGGCTGACTCCTCCCCCCTACATGCCCTCTGCACCAGAGCTATTTCCTGTTACTTCTGGGGAGGATGTTTGTGTGTGTGTGTGAGAGAGAGAGAGAGCGTGTGCGTGTGCATGGACCCACTTCCATAAAAAAGAGCAGGAGGCTGGGATAGCCGCAAACCTTTTCTCTTTGGGGACAGGCAAAGCCCTGGGGGAGGGCTTGAGTCTCTTTGTAAATAGCGTAGAAGCCACCCAGCGAGGGAGGGGGAGAGGACACCCAGAGATCCAGGGCTGCTGAGACTGCGAGGGTAGGTCACGGTGTCAAAGGGCCCTTCCCCTTGGAGGGACTGTGGCCCGTTAGCTCTGGGTTTGCTTGTTTGCTTTTCTTTCCGATATTAGCACTGAGTTTCAAAATATCTGGGGAGGGAGATGGGGCTAACATATTTTGCTCTGGAGCGCCAGGATCTTCCCAGCAGCCCTGGAGGAGACTCTCAAGTTCAGGGAAGGCGGCCGGGGCGGGGGGGGAGAGAGCCATTCTGTGAGTTGGGACCCCCCTCGGGTGTGTTTTGCCCCCAGCCGCTGAGGAGGGGAGCCGCCGGGTCGGAGTGTTTGGCGTGCAGCATGACAGGAGCGTGAGGCTGGGAGTCGCCGGGTCGCCTTGAGTTCTCTTCAGGGCGCCTGGCACCATATCTCTCTCAGCCGCACCTTTCCCCCCACTGCTAAGCCCAGGGCCGCTCAAGCCGTGTGGGGCCTTATGAAGCAAGTTGGACTCTTTTTTTTTTCTTCCTTCAAAGCCATGATAGTTTGGGGAGGGAGAGGGAGGGTGGGAAGAGGAAAGGGGGTGTCTCTGTCTGTCTCTGTCGTCCTTGTTATGTGATTTGCCCAGCTGGGGACAGGCGATGGGACTACAGAGCCCCATCGGCGCATTGACCCCCCACAGCCCACACTTTGTCCTTGACAGCCAAGCGTTGCCCCCTGGCCCACAGCCCAGCTTCTGCAGAGAGTGGAGGACATTGGAAAAGAATTTGCATCCGTCTGAATTTGCCAACATATGCAGATTTGACTGTGGCCAGTTTCAGCTCCTCCTCCTCCTCCTCGCCTTTGGGCCTGGTGGCCACGATGTTACGCCATCCCGTCCCCAGACCCTGAGAGAGAAACCGCTGTGTCGCTCGCAAACCCCCTTGCCCCTCCCTCCCTCCCTCTCCGCTCGGCCTCCCTCCCCGGAAGCAGCTGGGATCGGTGAAGAAGAGCAGGACGAGAGGCTCAGCAATAGGCACCCCTCCCTCAGCACCTGTCTGGATGTTGCTTTCATGGGTTCAACCTCCCCAAAACACAGCCGCGATAAAGGGTCATTAAAAAAACGGCTGCTATGCCCCAGAGGTGGCTGCAGTGCACTGCTGCAGGGTGCAATGCTGGTGACTGCCAGTGGGAGGAATCCCCTGTGGAAATGGCTGCTCCAGAGGCAGTTGCCGCCTCACCCCATGGTCCAGCCCCATGATTGAGCGTTGAACCACAAAAGGGGGGTGCTGAACCCCGTCTCTTCCCTGCTCCCTTCTCCCCCGCCCCGCACTCCACTCCTGATCTTCTTGGTTCCTTCCATCCTTGCCGACGTCCCTCATTTTGTGCAGGTAGATGCCCACTCCTCGCTTTCCCTCGAATTTCCATCCCACCCCCTTTCCCTCTGTCTTTTGTCTGGGGAACAAAACAGAAGAAAAGAAACCGACGTGTGATTCTGTGTCCGTCTCTGGCTCGCGGTTTTTATTTTATATTGTTTGTGTCTCGGAAGGGGAGATTAAAAAAAAAATGAAAAGAATGGAAAATATAATAATTAATATATAACTGGGGGTCGGGAGTATGCAGGGGGGCTTGTTCCTCTGCAGCCCAAGACTGTTTCCCCCACGCCCGAAAGTTAATATATATGTAAATATCTATGTCTGCCTTTTAACCACCTTTGATACTTCAATAAATCCCCCTGATTAATTCTTTTAACACCAGTGGTTGTGGTATCCTTGTTCATGAGTGCGTGCTGTGGAAGCGGTTCTGGCTCTGCAAATGCAAAGAACATGAGAACTGTCCTGGATCAGGCCAGGGGCTCATAGAGTCCAGCAACCTCTTTTCCCAGAGGCTAGCCAGACTCCCATGACAGGCCTAAAAGCAGGGCCTGAGCCGCGCAGCCCCCTCCCCTCCTGCGGTTTTCAGCAACTGGTATTCAGAAGTGGAGGTAATGATGTGAGCTCTCTTCGCCTGCCCAACTCCCCAGTCCTTCAAGAGTTGAAGCAGACAAACTGGGAATTCTTCTCCACTGCATCCATCTCTAGCCAGGTGCCCAGTAAAAGTGGAGAGGAACAGGGTGGGGTGGGGGCTATTATTTCCCAGTCTTGGAACCCCAGCAAGCTGCCCAGCCTCAATGTCCTCTGGAGCGAACCCCGTGCAGGAGATCCAACTTGTTTTCCTGTGTCGGGGATGCTACTGACAGAGCTTAAAGCAGCAGCAAGCAAATTCGGTGCTTTTGCCGTCACAGTCTTTCTGCTGCAAAAGCGGGGGTGGGGGGGCGAGGACAGACATATGAAGCCGACAGGGACAGCAAAGCCCCATGGGGGTTCACTGCCGTCGCTCAGCCAAACGCCAAAGCCACTCTCATCTGCGAAGGCGCGGAGGCTCCCATTTCACAGATAAGAAATGGAGGCTGGAACAGCGTGCTTTGCCCCCAACCAAGGCTGCACAAGCATCTGTGCCAAAAATTGGATTCGAATCTCTGTTTTGCCGGATCCCATTCTGTCCTCTAGATCGGCCTCCTCACGTTCCCTCTCTGAGGGCCTTGAGGAAATGCCTCCCCAACCCCTCTGATTTATTTTCACGGTTATGTTGGGGCCTGAGAGATGCAGCCATAGCCCGGCTCGTCCTGCAATCCCTAACGCTCCGTGGCCGTTCTGCCCCACTGCTGTCCCAGTCCTGGATTCTTGCTCCTCTTGTCCACGTTCTTGCCCCATAACATGCTACATGCACTGCTCTCACATCTTTATGCAGCATCTATACTCACACACACCTGCTCTGCCCTGGTCTTCTGCTGTGCCTGTTTCTAGTCCCTGAACAAATGCGCTAAGCCCCCATTTCGGCTGAGGACGGAGAGCCTTGCACATTAGTTCCTGCTTTCCCTTCCATTTCTCTCCTTCACTCTCATTTTTATTACTCCGCCGGGTCCCTCTACGCGTCCCCCATCTGTCATTCTGTACAAAACTCTCTTCTCGTGGAAAACATTCCGACTGGGAGCTACCGGAAAAAATATTTTAAAACAATTGCAGGAGTGGGGGGAATTTAATGTTCAACAAAATGGCATAAATTCTGGGTTTGCGGCACTTTCTGCTCGCGCTTGCCCAAGAAGCTGGAGTGGCAATCTAGGTAAAAGCAACGGACCCAGCACTCCATGCAGTCCTCGTGCCTTGGACTCTGTTACTCCTGACCTATGGCTGTGGTTTCCCTGGTCAGGATCAGGCCAAGAAGCCCATCTGGCTGAGCCTTTTGGATCATGCCCATGACCTCATCCATTGGTGTGGTCTCCGTTTGAGATCCCTTTTGCACCCTCTTGGCTGATACTCTCCAGCTCTCGTCATGACACCCCCATGATTTTGAGTGAGGAAGACCAAGACGTGCCTCCCAGCGTGATGAAAACAATTTGGACAGATGCACACTGCATTCCAAGGCATGAGGGGGCCGGAGAAGAAATAATATATATCCAAATCACCAGCTCCAGGTTACATAAGAAGAGCCTGCTGCTCTCACAGTGGCCAGCCATACCATTTTGAGACCCTGCCATGTCCTGATGTAGCATCATTTTGGGGCAGGGTACCCAGCAGGATTTCCTCCAGGTGTTCCTGAACTACAACCCTCAACATCCTTGGCCAGGGTAGCTGGGGCCGATTGGAGATAGGGTTGTCTAGAGAGCACCATGTTAGCTATCCCTGGTCTGGGGCATTGTCGGAAATTTAAATGGCAGCACTCCTTCCAGGGGGTGAAAGGGGGGGATGGCGCACCATGTTAACAATCCAAAGTGACTCGCAGTGGAGCATTGTGAGAAATCGAAAGGGAGGCACCCAGCAGTCCAGTGCTCATTGGGGCAAACATTGGTTTACTGGGATCCCAGTGGCTGCCTGAGGATGCCCCATGCTGCCATTCAGGGCCGGCCCACCCATGAGGCAAAGGGAGGTGACTGCGTCGGGTGGCAGGATCTACAGGGGAAGCAGATCAGCCTCCAAGGAATGCACCACCCTGTGGTGGCATCTAAGGCCGTGGCAAGGCTGTATCTGCCTCTACAGCAGAGTCTTGGTGAACAGGAAGCCCTGCTGGTCTCTTTCCACCCTTATTCCTCACTTCTCCTTCCCTGTCTGGGGAAGGGCGCACCATTTTGTAGCTTGTCTCGGGTGTCAAAATGCCATGAGCCGGCCCTGTTGCTGCCAAGGCTGTCACTTCCTCCTCCACACATAGGCTAAGGATGGTGGAAGCTTTTTAATAAAAAATGCATTTATAAAAGATCCTGTATCAGAATATAATAAAACTCCAGTATAGTCAATTACTACCCATGCTGTACAACAAATATCTTCTATTTTAGTTGCTAATAAAGGGCTGCACCATTAAATAAATAAATAAATAAATAAATAAATAAATAAATAAATAAATAAATAACATAGGCTAAGGATGAAGGCAGGTAATATGGTAAGGAGCACAGCAGTTTAGAAGTGGAAGAAGTGTCTCTGCCCAGAAAAGAGAAGCCTTGGGCTGCCGTGTGTGTGTGTGTGTGTGTGTGTGTGTGATGCTCAGACCGCTTTCATTGCTCTTAAAGAGTTTCTGTTTGCCTGCCTCGGTGTGCCCTTTCGCCTGCCTTTTCCCCGTTCCGGGTCACAGTGGTGAACTCTCTTAAGCTGGAGGCAGGCAAAGCTGTCTGGGAATCACATCGCTCCTAATGAGTCTTGCTGTGCTCATTAGCGGGCGAGTGTCTTCCCATCATCACAGTCCTGGGCTTCGCTGGGCAACTAATACGACCAGATGCCCGGCTCCACCACCGCAGAACGGCGAGTCCAATGCTGAGCAGCCGAGAAATGAGGGCTCTTGAAAAGTGGAGGAGGAGGGAGAAAAATTTGCCTTCTAGAAAAAGAAAAAAGAAAGCGCCCACCCACCTCTTTTCAGGCCCGGGCCCTGCCTGGGATTGCAGTGTTCATCTCCCTGGCCTGAATTTACCTGCAGCGCTTTCTATGTTGCTGGATCACAGCCATATTTCCACTTAACCTAACTCTGCCCCTCTCCAGAGATTGTTCTCCACAACAATGGACCCTTTTTCTATCTGCCTCGTGCTTCCAGGTCATCTTTGTGGCTTTGTCCATTCTGGGCCCTTGCTGCAGCTCAACCACTTTGGTGTTTCTAGACAGTAGCTGTTTGAAGGCCCTTGCCATCGTTCTCACATCCAGGCTCTCAGAGCATTAAGAAGCTCATACATACCCTCCAGTATTCGTCAGGTGAAAATAAGGACATGTCTCACTCCCCCCAACTGACCCTCCTCAGCCCCCCAATTTTGGTCCCCCCACCCCCACCCCACAGAGCATTTCCTGTCCGAAGAAGGACAAGTGCCACCACACCTATGGGACGCAGCACACATGTCCTGAAAAAACAAAACATGAATCCAGATTTTATTTTATTCTCTGGTAGATTTACAAGAAGAAAAACACACAAATAAATTAATTTTGAAGAAGAGGAGTTTGGATTTGATATCCTGCTTTATCACTACCCAAAGGAGTCTCAAAGCGGCTAACATTCTCCTTTCCCTTCCTCCCCCACAACAAACACTCTGTGAGGTGAGTGGGGCTGAGAGACTTCAGAGAAGTGTGACTAGTCCACGGTCACCCAGCAGCTGCATGTGGAAGAGCAGGGAATCGAACCCTGTTCACCAGATTATGAGTCCACAGCTCTTAACCACTACACCACACTGGCTCTTTTGGAAAAGGGGAAAGATTAGATGCGGACGCACAAAGCATTTTTATTTTTAAATCAAGACTCCTTGCATCCTGCTCTGCCCCCCCTTTTTTCCAACCCAGCCCTGCCCTCTGCCTTCCCCTCAGAGCCAGCGCATCAGGCAGCAGCCTGTCCTCTTCCTCGCCTGCTCTCCAGCATCCACTATGAGCTGCCCAAGGGAGGAGGCCGGCAGTGGCGGCCACAGAGAGGCCATGGAATTCTCCCTCACAGCCCCCACAGCCACAGCCACCATCGCTTGAGACAAGCGCTGGCTCTTCCTCCGCCCTGAGCTTGGCACTGGTGGGGGAAACAGGCACATCCCTGCATCAAATCAGAAACCGGGATGGCTTTCGTAATTCTGGGTCTATCCCTTGAAAATAGGGACAATTGGAGGTTATGGAAGCGCCCCCTAATGGTTCCAGCCAGTGGCTTATTTAGTCCAGCATCCTGTTCTCACATTGGCCAGCCAGATGGTGACAATGATGATTCCTTAGAGCATTTGTACCCTGCTCTTCTGCCAAAAAGGGGACGTGGGTGGTGCTGTGGGTTAAACCACAGAGCCTAGGGCTTGCCGATCAGAAGGTCGGCGGTTCGAATCCCTGCGATGGGGTGAGGTCCCGTTGCTCGGTCCCTGCTCCTGCCAACCTAGCAGTTTGAAAACCCGTCAAAGTGCAAGTAGATAAATAGGTACCGCTTCGGCGGGAAGGTAAACGGCATTTCCATGCGCTGCTCTGGTTCGCCAGAAGCGGCTTAGTCATGCTGGCCACATGACCCGGAAGCTGTACGCCAGCTCCCTCAGTCAGTAAAGCGAGATGAGCGCCGCAACCCGAGAGTCATCCGCGACTGGACCTAATGGTCAGGGGTCCCTTTACCTTCTGCCAAAAGGCTGCCGGAGCAGCTCAAAGGCAATCAAAACAAGGCAGTCTCTACCAGCAGGATTACGGTCTGAAAAAACAACACCACAACACACAATGGGACAAGGAGGAAAGAAGCCAGGGCCCCAAAAGCAGGACCTATGCACAACGGTTAAGAATCACAGAACTGTAGTGTTGGAAGGGACCATGGGGGTCATCTAGTCCAACCCCCTGCAATGCAGGAATCTTTGGCCCAACGTGGGGCTCAAACCCACAACCCTGAGATTAAGAGTCTCACACTCTTCCAACACAGCTATATCCCTACTTGTGATTCTGTTCCACCGGTACTCAAAGACACTCTGCTCCTGCCAGTGGAGGTGGAACATGGATACCATCCCATTTTTAGCGCAAAGTTTAAGTAGCCCCTGCTTCTCAGTTTTGGTTAAAAAAAAACCTGCCCGCACTCTTTTACCTGGCTTCTGTGGTACGAAATAAAAATACCTACCTGTCCCTTGGCCCTTTTTATTAGCCTTCCACCTGCGATCGTTTGAGAAGGCCTCACAGCCCTCGTGCAGCTCTTCTGCAGCCCCTTCCGAATCATGCCGCTGGGCCCATCTGTCCCCGAATCCCAAATGTCACGGCGACCGGCAGAACAAAGATGGATGGTGCCTGATCGTTGGGGCAGCAAACTCATCTCGGAATCAAATTGTTCCTAACGAGCCTCATTCTGCTCATTAGCAAGGTGAGTGTCTTCCTGGCCTCTTGGTCGAGAAGGTTTCCTTGGGTGCCTAATCCAATCAGCCCCCAGCCACTGTCGGGGCAGGAGCAAAGCGACCGGTTAAGATGCCGAGCGGATAAGAAGACAGGGACGTTTTACCACCTGAGGCAAAGGACAAGACGCACCCCCCCTCCCCATGTAGAGAACCTGACTAGACTGAATAGTGGCTATGTTGACATACCCTCCAATATCCCTCAGAGAAAAATAGGGACATTCTATTCTACAGCAGCATCACTAGGGAAAGGGGGCTTTTCTCTTTTGCACGTTAAGATTTTTATTCAAGTTTTTCATGCTACGGACAACCCCCCCACCCCACCTATGAAGCCCAGTTAGCTCCAGCTCTCACCCTTGACCCCATAAACCTCCTTGACCCGCCACACCTCTCAAACTCCAGCCCCCTACGGGCCTGCCTGCACCCTACAAGCTACACCCTTCCCCACCCAGAGTCTCTTCCAGCCGCCACCTTCTCTTCAGGCCTGTCCTGGATCACTTTCTCCTCGTTTTCATTTGACATGGCTGGCAGGATGGATGTCTGGAGGCCCGCTGGGCCAGAGAGTCACAGCCTTCTATGGTGGGGACATGGATGGTGATGGTGGCGACCCCATTGCCTTGCTCCCACTTCCTCCTTCGCCTCTTTCTGCTGCTGCTGTTAAAGGTAAAGGTAAAGGACCCCTAGACAGTTAAGTCCAGTCAAAGGCAACTATGGGGCTGCGGGGCTCATCTTGCTTTCAGGCTGAGGGACCCGGCATTTGTCCACAGACAGCTTTCCAGGTCATGTGGCCAGCATGACTAAACCGCATCTGGTGCAATGGGACTCCATGACGGAAACCAGAGCACACAGAAAGGCCGTTTACCTTACCGCTGCAGCAGTACCTACTTATCTACTCACACCGGTGTGCTTTCGAATGGCTACGTTGGCAGGAGCTTGGACAGAGCAATGGGAGCTCAACCCGTCGCACAGATTCGAACCGCCAACCTTCCAGTCGGCAAGCCCTAGAGGCTCAGTGGTTTAGACCACAGCACCACCCGTGTCCCTCCTTGACCCTGCACAACCCTGGACCACTGCACCATTGGGTATAGCAACATGCTGCTTTTTAGTGTTGTAGTCCAGGAAGAGTCCTGAGATTAGAACCAGGTGCTGCCCAGGGAGAATGGGCAGGACATGATGGGATTATGCCACGGAGGGACAGAGGGCTCCCCGGCCTCTTTAGGGTAGAGACAACAAGAGGCCATAGCTGTGAACCGAGAGAGCTGCAAGGAACGAGATTCTTGGAAAAGGAAAAGCAGGCGGCGAGTGGGACCTTTCTGCCGCTTCCTCTTCAGGAACATGTCTCTCGAGCAAACCTAGAATTAGGATGGTAATTGGTTTTCTGTGTTTTCATTGATTTGCACGCAGAGCTCCATCAGAGCGTAGGCTGCATGGCACAGAGACGCACAGACAAAAGGCAGGTCCCTGCCCCGAGGAATTGGCAGCCTAAATTTAGACAGTGGGGCAGGAGAGGCAAGGATAAGGAGAGGGCAAAGGCAGCCTTCCTTGCATTTCCACTTCTGTATCAGCTGGCGATGAGGGATGAGACTTCATGGAAAAGTTGGGGCTGAACTTTGATAAAAGGAGAGTGACAGGGATGTCAATGGCACAGGGGGCTCGAACCCCAGGTCTTCTGTGCCAGGCCTCCGATAAGCCCCTTCCTCCCCGTTTTGATGAAAAAATAAATAAATCATAGAATCTTAGAATTGGAAGGTACCGAGGGGCATCTAGTCCAACCCCCTGCAATGTCCCTTATTAAAGCAGTAGTGGGGAATGGTCAGCCTCTGTGCCAGATGTGGCCTGCCAGACTTCCCCATGTGTCCAATGGGACTGTTTCCTCCACGCCTGCCCCACACTGGACATCCTGCGCAATGTCTAGTGTGGAGCATATAGACATGCAGCCAGAACCTGCCCTTCAGAAAACAGGATTGAATTCTGTATCCCATCAACTGATGCAGGGAAGTTCAATGCTGCTTGGCGGCTTGACTGGGATAGCTCAGCCAGGAGAACACGAGACTCTTAATCTCTTAATCTCTTCGAGCCCCACGTTGGGCAAAAGATTCCTGCATTGCAAGAGGGGTTGGACTAGAAGACCTTTAAGGTCCCTCCCATCTCTACAATTTTATGATTCTCAGGTGAACCAGAAAAAAATAAAGTAGCGATACTTATTTCCCTGGGGAAGAGAAGAGAGATAGAAGAGCGACTGAGGGCTATACCACCCCATAGAGAGGGCTGGGGTAGGTTGGGCCTTGCAGAAACAGGGTACAGTGTCTGAACAAAGTGCAAGGGGATGAGAGAGACGGAAGACCTCCAGGAGAGCTTCGTTAGTAGGAAGGAAGCGAAGCATGGGAGAGGAATCTGCTGTGGGTTATCTGGCATTATAAATTTGCAGCCTGCCCTGGGTATGAGCAGTTGAGTCTACTTTCTACCAGACCCTCTTTGGGTTCAGTATTTGGGAGGGAGTGTAGGGAGAAGGGGGGCGGCGTTCCTCTTGTGTTTCCAGCCGCATGTAATTATTCTTCAGGATCACGTCTCTCTCTCTCTGGCGACGATGATGATGATGTAGCCACATCCTCTTAAAATGCACTGCAGTTTTGCAATCTAATCTTGAATACATCCAAGAGAAAATTGAGCCTTGCTGTCAATCACTCCTTTCCCCGCTGCTGGAAGCTGAGCGCACTCCACTCCACCCCCCACCCCATCCCTCTTTCCTGAAAGCTGAAATGGTGCCTTTTGGTGGAGAGGGAGAAGGGAAGGACCGGGCTAGGCTGAATTGCAAAAACAAGATGTTGATATGGCAGAGAGGAACGCTTCACCCGTTGGATGACAACCTGTCCTACAGCTGTCCAAAGCACAGGAAGCCCGACTGAAGTGGGAGGACATTTAGCAATGCAAACTGTGGGGCACAGCTCTCTCTCCTGCTTGCATCTGCAACTGAAGTTCCCTTTCTGCAACAAGCTGGCTTAGAAGGCTGCCTGGCAGTGCCGCCTCTGCCCCTTTTACAGAAACTCTGTTCTCTTTTCGCAGTCATGGACACCAACTTTCATGGCGGCCATCAAATGGCAACAGCTCATAAGACTGTGCTGCATGCATTACATCCCACATTAACTTTTACCGCTCTCTCTCTGCAAACAGCTCCCTACTGGGCACTGGGGGCAGGGAAGGAGGGCACCCACTGTGCTAATCTTATGCCCTCCCCTCTTCAAATCAACTTGTCATTTTCGAGGATGGAACTTGGGAGTTGTAGTCAGAAGGAAGTCCCAGTGCATTCCGTAGGGCTCACTCCCCGAAAAGTGGGGTTAGGATTGCAGCTGCTGGCACAAAACCCTCTTTTGTCTCATGTCCTGGGATTCAGCGAGAAATGAAATTACTGCAAGAGATAGTTGGGCAGTGATGACTGACGGCAAATGACTGAGGCATCTTTTAAGCTACACTGAGCATGTTGGCAATCTTTGTCCCCTATAGTAAAAAAAATTGTCTTTTATGGCAAAGCAGGATCAGCTAAGGGCTATGAAGTATCTTGGGGAAGATGCAGCAAGCTGGTTTTCTCGTTGCTCCAGAGGGACTGAAACAATGGATTTAAATTACAAGAAAGGAGACTATGACCAAACGTTAGGAAGAACTTTCTGATGCTAAGAGCTGTTTGACAATGGTATGGTATACTTCGGAAAGTGTGAGCTCTCCTTCCCTGGTGTTTTTTAAACAGAGGTTGGATAGCCACATGCCAGGGATTATTTAGTTGTGATCCATGCATTGCAGAGGGTTGGACCAGATGACCCTGCAGTTCTATAATACTTTGAACCGACATAGAAGCTGCAAGGAGCCTCCGGCTCGAGGGCATTTGTGCTAAGGTGTGATTGCAAGTTGCTGAGTAAAGCATGTTCCATTTGTCCCAAACTATTTTACAAGACCTCACACAAGTTGGAGAGAGAGGGTTATGGGAGGAGAAATAATATGCTGAGCATCATCTTACATTCATGTAGACCAGTGTTTCCCAACATTGGTTCTCCAGCTGTTTTCAGACTACAGTTCCCAACATCCCTGACCGCTGGTCTTGCTAGCTAGGGATGATGGGAGTTGTAGTCCAAAAACAGCTCGAGGCCCAAGGTTGGGAAACACTGATGTAGACAAAAACAGGAGCCTCCTCATTACACTGCTTAACTCTGCTTTCCTCAATCTAGTGCAGGCTTCCTCAAACTCAGCCTCTGGGTGTTTTTGGCCTACAACTCCCATGATCCCTAGCTAGCAGGACCAGTGGTCAGGGATGATGGGAACTGTAGTCTCAAAAAACATCTTGTAGGGCTGAGTTTGAGGAAGCCTGGTCTAGTGCCTTCCAGACATTTTGGACTACAAATCCCATCATGCTTAGCCAGTGTACGTGCAGTTCAAAGCAGATGAAGTGCACTAGATTGGGGAGAGCTCGCTGAATGCACTTTGAGTTTCTATTAAGTGACCAGCCCTAACAATTGCATTTATACTGTACTTCTCAGTAGATTGCATTACAGTTGGGATCAACACTCTGGGGAAGAGGTTTGCAATGTACTGTTTGCTCTGCCCTTAACCCAGGACTAGGTGGGGTGTGTTGCTTCAAACTGGATGGGGGACCCATTTGTTGAGATTCCTGCATTGTAGGGGGTTGGACTAGATGACCCTGGGAGGGTCCCTTCCAACTCTGTGAACACTATTTTTAGTCAATACAGCAACGGGGATTATACAAGGAGCTAGTTGAATTGGAGCATTAAAAATGTCAAGCCATTTCCTGCTCTGCCCCCTTTGATAAGGCTCATTGAGGTGGTTTGTGTGTGTGCAGATGTACGTAGCTGGGGCAACAGCGGCCTCTATGCAGAGTACAAGTTTTGAAGGTTGGACATTTCATTATTGTTTTTATATGTGCCAGAAGCTGCCCAGGGTGGCTGGGGAAACCCAGCCAGAAGGGCGAGGTATAAATAATAAAATGAATTATTACAAAGACCAGCACAGTACCATGCGCCAGAGCCAAAACAGACCAAAAGCTAGTTTGCCCCAGCAGGAAACCAGCCGCGGTCGTACAACCACAGAAAGCCGGCTGCAGGTCGGTTTCTTAACGCTGCAGCCACTGCACCATCCTGCTCACCCTTTGCCCAGGGTGAACGCGTTGACTGCCGATTTTGCATGATGTACAGCCTCCGCCTCTGACCTATATGCAGACACAGGGGATGGTGGTGTTTTTACAAGGACTTAATTTCCAAGAGAGGCCTTTTATGGCTCCGGTTCTGGAAGAAGTGGTGAGAAGCCGTGCCCGTCCGTGGCTTGGCTTGGTTTATATCCCCCCTGGGTCCCATGGAGAACACTGGTGATAAAAGGGGGAGGAGGGAACCCCGGCGCCGCACGCTCCAAACAGCCACCGTTGCAAGATTTTGTTATTTTTTATTTTGATGAAAGGAAGTGCCGGATAGGGGGACATTTAAACTGCGTGCTGCAGAGACGAGCATGATATACACTCACTCCTCTTTACAACACCCCCCCCCCTGCGCGTGTTAGCATGCAAATAATAGCGAGGAACAACTGAAATTCCAAGGCACATCTTGCCGTTTCCTGGTCTCGGAACTAGCACAGAGCTCAAGCAAGAAGGCTCTGCGCGTTTTGGTGCAGGACTGCAGTGGAGGCCAAGGAAGGCACGGAAAGAAAGGACCCCAAGGAACCCTGAGCGGGGGTTACGTTTCGAAGCAAGGAGCAGAACCCCCCTCCCTCCCCCAAAGTGGGAGAACGCCTCAACAATCGCTACAGGAACAAAGTGACTACTAATTATTTAGCCTTGCTCTTTGCAGTGTCAGGCAGAAATCCAGAGTCTGCTGCGGAAAGAGAGAAAGAAACAGCAATGGCAGGTGCCCCCAAGACTCCAGGATGAGAGCTCTCAGAAGGAAGAAATGAGGGGAGACCCTCTTTGCTGCCTGGGGATTCTAGAAAGCGTTTAAACTTAGCTTAATATTATATTACATATATAATTTATACCCTGCCTTTCCTCATCAAGGAGCCCAGGAAGTTCCTGTCCTGGATAGAATCTTTAAAAAACATTTCAGCCACACTCTTGTGCCGGTTTTCCTTCTTGGCAAGCGAAACAGTCTGTGGGGAACTAGGGGGCAAGTTCTGGCTTTGAGGGGCCAAGTTTATTTGTTTTTAAATCCCGCAGGGCACAGACCTTCTGCAGTGGCGCTGAGCCTAACTCTCGCCAATCGACCGAAAGCAAAACCGCTTTCCGAGGTGGCATGCGTCCCTCTGAACCGGAAGGGGCCAACACTTGCGAGGACAAGCAAAAGGTCGAAAAGCAGTCCGCTGGCAGAAAAGAACATCTCAACCTCTAGAAGGGGAGAACTTCAGGCAAAGAGGAAGTAACCCAGAAAGGGAGGGGGGATTCACACACACTTCAGCATCACCATCGCCCCTTACATTTTTGGTCTCGATAGCTCCAACCTCCCTCCTTCCAAAAATACACCAAACTCAATGACTGCCCCAAACATATACACAAAAACAACCGCTGTACATTGTTAGCATCCCCACCATCCCATAGTTTCCGAAGAAGCTGGATCTTGAAAGTGACAAAAGAAAGGAGGGAGATCCATTTCACCCTGGGAGAAAAGAAAAGAAAAGAGCTGAGGATGTTGTGAACTCTTACGACTGCGGGCTGAGCCACAGCACTGGCACCGTTCCACCCCACTTTGAGTGGCACCTCCCATCTCCAATGGAACACAGCAACCAACTGCAGGCAAATAGGGCATTCTCCCTTAGGGGGCCACATGGGGCTCGCACACACTTTCCTTTGTGCCCTGCTTAGAAAGCACACAGGCCCAAGCGGTTTCCCTCTCGCCTCACTCCTTCCCGAGGGAAAACCCGCTCTTTAGCGACTGATCGGAACAAACAGCAATCCAAGGGAAATCTGAACTGCCAATTGCTCTGACTGAGCACTAAAGAGTGGTTTTCCCCCAGGGGAAAAGAAGCAGGACAAAAAGAAGTGTGGGTTAAACCCAGGGCTTCTTTTGTGATGGTGTTTCTTTTATGACCAGTACAAATTAGCGGCTTCTCTTTCTTGCAGTCCACAGCAGCCATTTTATGCTGGGACCTACAACATTTCTATCAAGGTAAAAATACTGGCACCTCTTTTTCTTTTAACCCCCCCCCATAAAAAAAAATAGCTCTGGTCCTGCCACTTACACAAGGCTTGAGAATGAAAACAGTCAATGTCAGCCATGTGTTGCTCTAGACCTCCTCCCCCATGTCTACAGTGACTCCCCTAATTTTGAGCAGTCCTTCATTACATCTCCGGTTCTCCTATTATTCTGGATCTGTTTCTTCAGCTGCATCCAGCCAGCTGCTTAAATATTTAAACCAGAGCTGGAGGGTAAGGAAAAGTACCCCAAGGAAGTGATATTTTAAGTAGCAACGTGGTAAGTGAGTGCACGTCTTTTAAGCTAAAGTTGCTGTTACGGATTGGGCTGCTTGCAGCATCCATCTTAGTACGAGCAGCTGCATATGAGGTGAAGGTTTCTGTATATTTTAACGGTTCTACAGAAATGGGGGGGGGGGATTTCTGGCAAGTGCCGCTTATCACACAAGGGTGAAGCAGTCCTTGTGTGAGGCAAGCTGAGGCGAGCACCTCAGGAGGCAGATTTGGGGCAGTGGAGAGGGAGAAAGAACAGGGCACGATCCGCTATATCTGTCTGCCCAGGCTATACTCAGGAGGACAGGCCTGAGATGTTTTAACTGCCTGAGACGAACAACAAGGTGTCTTCCCACTGCCAAGTACAGAACTAACTGGACTGGAAACTGAACTTTACTTCAATGCTGACAACTGGATGGTGTCCTCTTATCACACCTCAGGGCAGGAGGGTAGCTTAGTGGGTCGAGGGTGGGGGTGTTGTGTGGCACACAAAGCTCCGACCCCTTGCTGCTGCCTCACCTCCCAGCAGCTGCTGCCCCATGTGGCTGCCTCACCCTAATGGTGGGGCCGGCCAACTGGTCTTTAAATTGGAGATTAGGGTATAAATGCAATTCCCAAACCAATATGCGAAGCGAATGTCTCCACATTTTTGACGCAGTTGACTTCAACGCTCCCCAAAGGCACACATGAAGAGTTAAGCCTACACAAAAATATATATATCCAGAGGAATAATATTGAAAATGCATATGAATTTCATGTGGGCTTTTTTTAAAAAAAAGTGTTCTAGCAGAAATGGGGGAAAAAAGGAAATTCAAGATGGGGGGGGGGGCGAGGAACGACGAGAAACCAAACTAGGCCGATTCAGCCATTCCTACTTCACCCTTGCCTGAAACCTGTGCCTGCATTACCCTCCTGTGTCCACACGGGGGAGCATTTGCACAGCTGTTACTTTCGGATGCCACGACAGATTGCCCTTGATAAATGACCAAGAGGCCGACTGCTTCAAATATTCTCAGGAGAATCCCAGATTTTGCGCTGCTTTCTAGATCCCCTACGGAATTCCGAACTGAGGAGTCGTCAAAAACAGGCAAACACCTGCCCCTACAGGACTTTGGACCTTTGGATTAAAGGAAGGGAATGGACAGGAAAGGGGATGGCGTCAGACATCCTTTGCACTTCTGCTGACCTGTGTCTTCTTTATTACATCACCAGGGGATGCGTATCTCCAACGGAGGAAGGCACAGACTCCAGGCTGCCTTTGTAGATTGGGGTACGCTGGCCGGAGTCTTCCCTGGAAAGAGAATGGTGGACAGTAGCATTCGGGTTTCATTTTCTCCAGCACTTGATAAGAGTGCAAAACGTTTTCTTCTTTTTTTCTTTTTTTTAAAAAGAAATTAAGCTGCCATAGAGTGACACAAAAGTCCAGTGGAGGAAGTTCATTTTTCAGGCTCATTCTACACGTACAGGTTTGTCCGTATGTGTATATTAATGGAACCAATTAATCGCAAGAGGCCCCGAGGAAGGAAGAATTAAATCTCCACTGTTTGGGCTGCAACTGGATTATCTGCACAGCCAGGAAGAGAGGAAGATGCTTGAGCTGTCCTTTCTCAACCCGAGGGCCACATTTCCTTCCTCCTGGGGGGGGCCGCACACCAGAGATGGGTGGGGCCAAAGGCAAAAGTGGGTGGAACTACAAAGGTAAAAGCTCCCCTTTCATAGCGTGTAAAGGTTCCATACACACAAACCCCTCTCTGTGCTCTATATAGAGGCAAGCAAGAGGTGTTATCAGAAATCGAGCACACATTCCATCCAGGCACGAATACTTGGGGTGCAAATATTTGAGGGAGCCTGGGGAGAAGGATCTGGCTAAGGAGATGGAAAACCCTAGGTACCAGAGAGAGAGAGAGAGATGGTTGGTTGGCTGCTACATTTGACCCTCTCAGCCTGATCTGTTCCCTGCTCCTGCTTTAACAGTGAAGTAACACCCCATCCCCGGGACACGGGTGATGCTGTGGGTTAAACAACAGAGCCTAGGACTTGCCGATCAGAAGGTCGGCGGTTTGAATCCCCGCGACGGGGTGAGCTCCCGTTGCTCGGTCCCTGCTCCTGCCAACCTAGCAGTTCGAAAGCATGTCAAATGCAAGTAGATAAATAGGTACCGCTCCGGCGGGAAGGTAAACGGCGTTTCCGTGCGCTGCTCTGGTTCGCCAGAAGCGGCTTAGTCATGCTGGCCACATGACCTGGAAGCTGTACGCCGGCTCCCTCGGCCAATAAAGCGAGATGAGCGCCGCAACCCCAGAGTCAGCCACGAATGGACCTAATGGTCAGGGGTCCCTTTAACACCCCACCCACCCATTGCAACAGGGTTACAGCAGACCATTAAGCTCCCCCAGCAATACAACCCCGCAAAGTACTCACAGGCCGGCTTTCTTCTTGGCAGCTGCCCGATGCCGGGGGATCAGGAAGGCAAAGACCAAGATCACCAGCAGTAGCAGCACTGCAGGCAATGCCACAGCCAGGGCCAGCATTGGGGTGCTAAGGGACAGCACGGACTCTGCAGGGAACAAGGCAGACACGACAAAGGCAAGCCAGGTCAGCACCTTCAGCGGAGGGTGCAAGAAGAGGCCTGCTGGATCAGGCCAGTGGTTCTTGGTAGTGAATCAGGTGCTTGTGGCAAAGTGGTAAGCAGGACTCGGGGCATTCGCCCTCCTCTCCTGCAGTTGCCAGAGGCTGGCATTCAGAAGCACTGCTGCCTCTGACCAGCAGCCCTTTAGAAAAGGGGGACAGGGAAGCTGTGGTCGTCTGGATGGGGGTGGACTCCAATTCCCATCAGCCCTAGCCAGCAAGGTCAATGGTCAGGGATGAGGGGACTTGTAGTAGTAGTAAGCATCATCACCAAGGTGGTTTTTTTTTAGCAGGAACTCAGGGGAACGGAGTTCCTGTACCTTAAAAAAATTAAATAATTCTGATTTTTTTTTTTGTCTGGAGGCTGGAATGCCTACACCCAATGCCTGAGCCAAAAAAAATCAATCTATTATCCATAATCACATAAAGTTGTGGCCCTTCCTAATCCTGATCATTGACTGCTTGAGTTTATTAATCACATGTTACATTTAGCCACTGCCTGGGGCGGGGTATGTGGAACTGTGACTGGGCCCCCAACAAACAAACAAACTTCTTGGTAAGTTTCCCCCCAGGAAAAAAACTAACAACAGCAATAATAATGTCCACCTTGACATTATTCTGCCCATGCCTTTGAACCTGCTTTTGCAGGTTGCTGACATGTGTGGACTCCTCTTAGAAACCACACTTTCCGTGTCTCTGTGTTGGGGAAACTAGCTACAGCTGCAAACATGGAGGCTCGGTTTATTTCTGTGGCTTAGCAGCTACCAATGGTCCTGTTAGCAGACATGCCTTTGCCCATGCCCTGTGTATATTGACTGGGACGAAGCCCCCTTGAACCGAGCGGGGCTTTCCTTTCCTACAGATGCATTTGGGACTGGGCTATGGTTGTATCAGTTCGTGATGCTACTGGATTAGTAAAGGGAGAATTCCTGCATTTCAGGAATTTCCATGCCCTTCCCGCTCTGCAATTCTATGATTCTTTGAGAAAGAGGACTTGGGGGGTAAAGACTGAAGACGGCCGAGGGAGGTGCCAGCTGCCTTCAGGAAGGAAGTGGGAGGGACAGCCCAGGGTGGTGGGGTGCCTGGGGTTCACCCTCCGAAACGTGGGCTCAGGGAGGGCTCAGTGGGTGAAGGCGAAGGATTGTTCTCACCAAGGGTGAATCCGCGCTCGCTCCCCTCCACGTACAGACGGATCGACTTGCTCTTGGTCAACTGGGGCAAGGTGGGGTGTTGCGCCCGGCAAGTGTAGGTCCCGGCTTGCTCCCGGTTCACCTTGGAAATTGTCAAGTCGCTGGAGACCAGAACCCAGTCGTCTCCCTGCAAGAGGGGGTGCAGGGAAGGGGGGGAAAACCCTGTTAAAATTATGAGCACTTTTTTAAAGATCCAAGCCTCCAGCCATTTGCAAACTCAGCACTGAACTAAGAGAAGCGGATGCTAAACAGTGAAAACCTAAATCCTAGTCGAGTGCAATAGGTTTATAAAGTTATACCATTTAAACAAAACAACAAAAAACAGAAAGATTAACTTGCCTATCAGTTATTGCAGTATCTTTACATTCGTTGACACACACCCTTTAACAACACTGGGAACACCCGAGTCAAATACTGCCTGCACTCCCCCACCCCCTCTTCCGCAATTAAATTTCCAGAAATTAGTGTGTGTTTTTTACTTTGAGGGTGTGTGTAATAGTTTTAGGGGCTGGGGTATCCCTGAGGAGCCAGGCGTCCTAGTAGATGAGGAGCAGAGAATGACGACGTAGAAGTTTGGGTTGCAGCCAATGCTAGTCCTACTCAGAGTAGACCCACTGAAAACAATGGACGTGACTAACTTTAGGCCCAGCCTGAGTAGGATTTAACTGAGACAGCCCTTTTGTCTTTCTAAGAAGGAGTGTATCCTTCCCCTTCAGCTCCCCTCAGCACAAAATGTCTGCTTACTGGACTCGCCCCCCCCCCCAATCGCAAAGTGAGGGGGGAAATGTTGGCCGAGCACATTTGGGGATCCATCTTCGAATCCCCAAATATGTACGACCCACACTTTTCTCCTCACCTTGTGATTTTGGGGGGTGAGTCCTGTTAACGAAGAGCAGGACAGCCTGTTATGACGATGAGGTAAACACAGGCTTCCTGGATCTGTGTTTTACCTCGCAACGCTAACATGGGCACAAGGCCAAGGGGGAGCTGAGGTGGCTATGAAGGAGCAAAATTCACAGGTGGAAAGCCACTGTGTTTGGACAAGAAGCCGGTTTCACCTTGAAATGCTCTCCCCTGCGTTCGCACAATGGCTTTAATAGCACTCTCCATCGTCATGTCGAACTATGTGCAAATAAGGCGAGGGCGGAAAAAGACAATGGACTTGGGTTTTTGACAAACATTGCCTCAGCAGCAGTGAATGATGGTGTGTGTGGGGGGGTGCAGATTCCAGGAAATGCCCTGTTTGTGAAGAAAAGGGGCAAACATTTGACGTATGTGTTGGAGAGTTGGGGCTGGGGGGGTCCCTTCCTTCCCTGTGGGGCGAAAATCTCATTGGACTGCCTTGGAATGAAAGAGCGGGTAGGTTCTTCAAAGCACAGAGGGGTCAGGATATTGCAAGCCCACTTTTAGTGGGGGGAAACGACTCCTTTCTCCAGGGTTGCTAAGTAGCCACACTGTTTGCCTAGGACAAAACCCAACAGGGTGCATCAACCTGAACAAACTTTTATTTTACATATATATATGTGTGTGTGGGTGGGGGTGGGTGGGTGGGTGGGTGTGTTTTAAAACTATATTCTCCAATAGAAGGGGTAGGTGTGCCATTTCAGCTGCCTCCCTTTTCAGGATTAGTTCTAGTGTAGCTCTGAGTCCTAATCAAGCATTTTAAGGGAACATGCGAGGGCTTAAACCCAGAAGGGGGACATGTGTCCTTGCACATGCTTCATGCATCCGTTTCTCCCTGTTCTTTCTGGACAGGTCTGGCTGCATCCCCCCCCCCCCATCATACTTTTAAAACACATGGATCCCTCCCAGAGAATCCTGGGAACCGTAGTTCACTCAAGGTGCTGGGAACTGTAGCTCTGGGAAGGGGGGCAAACTACGCCTTCTCATGATTCCTTGGGGGAAGCTACGTGCTTTAAAGGCCTGGGTGCAAAAGCAGCTTCTGACAGGCCACCTATATGCGTGCAGCTGGCAATTGCCCTCCTCCACGCAAAAATCGTAATTGCCAGCCTTTAATCTTAAAAAAAAAAAAGTTTACAGCATTTGCAAAACCTGAGATATGAGGCAAAATATTCAGGCGCTTTTCTCCCCAGTTTTTGGGTGAGAAACTAGCTTGCTCCCAACATTCAGTGTTTTACTTTGGCCTCCGCTGGAAAAATCCCCCATAAACACCCATGGGTTGGGGGTGGAGTTGGTGCACCCCACATGTGCCCAGGCACTCCCCTCCTCTACATTAAGCCCCCACCCTGCCCCAACCACATATTCTTGGCTAGGCCTCCTCTTGGATCCCAATAGGAGCAGCGAAGGGTTGAAGGGGCCACAGAGTTGTAGAGCTGAGGGTAATCTAGCCCGCCCACCCCAATGCAGGAATCTCAACGCGCAGTCGCCCATCCAATCTGAAACCATACCGGAGCCTGCTTAGCTTAGCAAAGGTGCTGGCAGCTTCGCCACCGCGCCGCTCTCCACCTGGCAACCAGCCCTGTGCTATTTTTCTTACGTGTTGCAACATGTCTTTTATAACATAAGTAACTGGTCTGCGGGCCGCTGGGCCTTGGCAGAGATAGATTCCCTGGCCCTGCTCTAAAGATCTAAAGGTCTTCTCACCTCTCGGGTCCATTCGTAGAGCGGGGGCTTTGAAGCGCCTGCAGAGCACCGAAGGTGCAAGTCGCTGCCTTCAAGCATCGTGACAGAATCTCCTACTGTCCCACACCAGGTGTTTGTACGAGCAAGGAGGATGCTGTGCAGGTCTGGAGCAGGTGAGAGGTTATAATAATAATAGTAATAGTAATCACCATCATCATCATCATCATAATGCCACCCCTGGGTTTTTGTCACCTAGATCCTATTGCTGCTGTGTAAACAAGTAACCTGCATTGATTGATTGGTTTAAACCGTTAAACATTTTTTAAAAGTTAATATATGTTGTGGTCTTTGAATGAAGGGTAGAACACAGATTTAACAAAATGAATAAACATTCAACAAAATAAATAACAAATATCAGGGCTAATATTGACACATTATTGATATTTTATCGTTGTTGTTGTTGTTGTTGTTGTTGTTGTTGTTGTTGTTAATATTCCATATCACAATTTCAAAGCATTTGCTATAAAGATCTCCAGCCTGATCGGATTCAAGCAACTTTTATATGAAGGCATAAACTTAGGAATTCCAAGCCTGGTTAACCATTTAAATCTTTTGTTTTTCCCTAGCAAAATAATATGAGCAGAAGGAGAGGCTTAAGCAGATGTGCCTGCCTGCCTTCCTTCCTTCCTTCCTTTCTTTCTTTCTTTCTTTCTTTCTTTCTTTCTTTCTTTCTTTGTCCCTTCTCTCTCTCTCTCCTTCCTTTCTTGATGTTTTTAGTAGGTGGTGCTGTGGGTTAAACCACAGAGCCTTGGACTTGCCGATCAGAAGGTTGGCGGTTCGAATCCTTGCGACGGGGTGAGCTCCCATTGCTCGGTCCCTCCTCCTGCCAACCTAGCAGTTTGAAAGCACGTCAAAGTGCAAGTAGATAAATAGGTACCACTCTGGTGGGAAGGTAAACGGCATTTCCGTGCACTGCTCTGGTTTCGCAAGAAGCAGCTTTGTCATGCTGGCCACATGACCCGGAAGCTGTACGCTGGCTCACTCGGCCAATAAAGCGAGATGAGCGCCGCAACCCCAGAGTCGGCCACGACTGGACCTAATGGTCAGGGGTCCCTTTACCTTTTTAACCCCTTCTTTACTGAGTTTTAGGTGCAAGTTATGCAAAACGAGAGTTTGTGCTGATTGAGCTTTGCTGGTAGAATCTACGTATAAAAACTCTGTATATGCCAACGTGGCATTAAACAAACAAACAAACACTACCAGGGCAGCAGCATACAACAAAAGAAAAAGAGTACAAAGTAATCATGAAAGTGAGTAGCTAAATCAAAATGCTATAAAACAGTTGTGTACGGTAGGTTTTAGGTCCACTATAACTTCCTATGACTCCTGCCCAGTTCAATCCTTCGAATTTCTCTTTAGCAAGGGTGCTGCTAATGAAGCCTTGCAAAACTACATTTCCCAGGATTCCCTGGGAAGAAGGTGATGCTTGTTTGTTGTTGCTGTTGTTTTAAAAAAGTCTGCTGCAGGGATACGCTCCAGAGAGATGTTTTAGATTGTGAGAGACAACTTTTAAAAGGCTTCCCCATTCCATTAAGAGCTGCGACAGCCCATGCAGAAAATGCCTGAAGGTTTGATCTTCAGTATGTGCTGTCATTTGATGACAGGTCATGCGTGCCCGGAAATACAGAACGTGGGTAATGAGCCGCTGCCTTTACTGTTCCGTTGGGACCAAAGTTTGTAGAATTTGCAATCCTGCACACATATGCACCAGTCTGTGGTTAAATCAAGCAGGCACAGAGCACCAGCACAGACTCTCGCTGTGGCACAAGGGTATCGCAGTAAGCCAAAGTTCGGGAACCTGTGGCACTCCAGATGTGGTTGAGCTCATCACCTCTCATCCTTACTGACCACGCCGGATGGGGCTGACTTTATTCAGAGAGGATTTCCGTACCACTTAATCATCAAAAGCTCTTCAGTGGTTTGCATAAAACATGCATGAGGATTGCCAATAAAAACTAGATATTTAAAAACAAGCTGGCTTAATTAATTTCTGTATTTAAGATCAGCAGTTTTAAAAATATGCACGGTTGAAATAAAATCAGCGTATTAAAATACACACGAAATCTACATGTCTGGAGGCGCTCAATTCAGCAAAATGTTGGCAGGCGCCAAAAGCAGCCCAACGAAGTCACCTGCCCGATATCAATGGGCAGGGAGTCCCAAAGTGACACCACACTGAGGGATCAGTTCCTTGCAAGTGCAGAACATCATGTGGCACTTGTAAATGTGTCAGTTCCACAGATCAAAGTAGTTGAGTGGGCTTTATACGGGGGGCAAGTAATCTGATGGGGGATTGGAGTTCAGCAATACTGGTCCAACTTGCACTGGCTACCAATTAGTTTCCAGGCAAAATCAAAGTGCTGGTTCTGACCTATAAAGCCTTAAATGGCTCAGGACTGCAATACCCCAAGGACCACCTCTCTCCATATGAACCTACCCGGACCCAGAGATCATCCTCTGAGGCCCTTCTTCATGTGCCTCTTCCTCGAGAAGTCCAGAGGGTGGCACCACGAGAATGGGCCTTTTCTGTGGTGGCTCCCCATTTGTGGAGTGCTCTTCCCAGGGAGGCTGAGACGGGTGCCTTCATAATACACTTTTAGGCGCCAGGCAAAAGCGTTCCTCTTCAACCAGGCCTTGGGCTGATTGACATCTAATGCCCCTTTAAAATGTGTTGTTTTCATTGTCATTTTTATGATGTATTTTATGTTTTTTTATATTGTGGTTTTATGTTTTGAACTGCCCTGAGATCCACAGGTATAGGACGGTATACAAATTTAATAAGCAATAATAAAATAACAACAACATCTGTGATGTAGGAGGAGGAGGAGGAAGAGGAGAAGAAGAAGAAGAAGAAAAGTTTTGAAATATTTTATGGGCTCAGGATGCTGTCAAAAGAGGGCTGAGCATTTCCTGTGTCCTGAGGAGAGTGCAGGTGGCGTTCATATTCTAAATGTGTGTTGACAAGTTGCATGTGCTCAGGATAAATTAGAAAGCACTCTGTTGGTGCTCAGGAGTGCTCTTCTTTATTACTCTTCCATAAAGAAAGGCCATGGCCACAGCTGGGGTGTGTGTGGCTAAGGGAGCAAGGGCAGGGCTGGCATCAACAGTCCCTGCAAGAGGTTACACTCCTGCCAGTTACCTACAAATTGCCAAAGGCCAGTTGCAAGGGCAGCCCCGCTAATCCTCCCCACCTGCTATTTCTCCATCACCCACTAGGAGCCAGAGGAAGGAAGAAACTTTCCCACGTACATTCCATCTGCAGGTCCAGCTCATTGGAGACAGAGGCATTGTTGGTGCCGTTGGAGCTGGCGCAGCGGTAAGGTCCAGCGTGCCAAGATTTCAGTCCACTGATGGCAAGTTGGAGGCGGCCGTCATCGTAGCTGACGCTGACGTCGTAAAACCAGCAGCGCATCTCGCTGGCTTTGTCGAGGGAGATCCAGGAGTGGAGCCACTGCAACAGGGAGAGGAATGTCTTGCATTAGTCAACGCCCTTTGCAAGATGGCGCTACCCGAAATGCCAACTGGCGGTGGCACAGGTCCCCTTCTGAGCACCACTCCACTCAAGCCACACCGACATGGGCTTCAATGCACTCTGGGGCCATTCAGTGAACGTTAAGGCATTTTGGTTGGAGACCTGACCATTGTTAAGTGTTGCGTTTGGAGTCTAGGGTGGCACATGGCAATCGGAGCAGCTGCACCGCGGTTGAGTGAGGAAGCAAAGGGAGCCAAAAATAAGGTTCCTTTAGTTGGCCTTTAGTTGTCAGGAGCTTGTCCTACACTCGAGCAGGACCCTGGCAGAGACACATGCCCAACTGGCATGTTCTCTCCCTCTTGGTCGATCATTCGGGAGCTTCAAAAGCTTTCTTCAGCCTGAACATCACAGCAACCGATGCCAACAGACATCGGCACACTTAGGGATCCGCAGAGTCTTTGCAGCTTGCGTAACAGACCTCAGCAACTCAGCATTTTGGCTAATCTACTTTATTTACATATAAACACACGGAGCACTGCAACATGGCTCCCTCTCTCTCTAGCATCAGACAGCAAAGAGAAAAAACAAAGGACTATAGTCCCACTTCACGGAACACAGTAACACAAACATCCTGTCTCTGTCACTTCCCACTCTGTGGAGTCAAAACATACACCGTCATGTGATAGACAATAATCCCATGACTGCAATCACGGAGCAGGAATTCCAACAGTGTTCCTGCCATGTATGTCGAGTCTGTGGCCTTCTAGATCATGTTAGACTCCAGCTCCCATCAGCCCCAGCCAGCGTTGCCAACAGGCAGTCAGGAAATAAGAGAGTTGTCATCCCACAGCATCTAGAGGACTAAAAGCTCCCAATCCCTGCTCTAATTGCTGCCATCTTGACTCCCAGCAGCTGCAGGAGAATGGTTCTACATCCTGGAAACAGTGCCCCCTAGTGGCCACTTGGTGGCCTTGATTATTGTTTTCCCCAGACACTCCCTAATCCTGAGCTGTGGCCTCCCCATTTCTCCCATCTCCTCCCAATCCTGCTTAGAGCAGCCTCCCATTCCCTCTCCAGTCAACAAAACACCTGTCCTAAAATACCTCCTCCAGAACTCTTCATTCAAGTCTACATGTGAGCAGCTTGGGTTGAGCAAAGCCTTTCTTTAAAGACCTTTCCTCCTCATGAACAGCATGTTCACACAACAAACCTGTTTCACTATAGGCGCTGCGAACCAAGAGACTTGAGTGGGCTGGGTAGAGGAGAACCGTCGTTCAAAGAGCAGCATGGATTCTGGGACAAGTGATTACCAGCCGCACTGCAAATGTACAATTTCTCACGTTCTGTGAGGGATGTTGCTACAACGAAACTGGGTCCAGACCAATTCTGAAATATACTTGTCCATGCTATCACATGGTTCTTATCCTACCAAATCCTTGCTAGTAAGGCTGCCCACACCACACATTCAAACCACAACCCCTCAAAAAACACCACCACCAAAATCCTGGGAACTGTAGTTTGGTAAGGGTTCAGTACCACAAGGGGTAAACTATTGTTCTCGGGAATCTTTGCAGGGATGGGAAACGTGCTTCAAATGTATAGTGTGTGCTCAGCCTAAGTTACCAATCTCTGTCCTTAGCTTGTTCTTGCCTGAGTCAGAGATGGGCAGATGTCACATTTGGGGCAATCCTTTGGGGTTGGCGGTAGAGTAGACATTGGCAGACAGTAGGGCTGGAGCCTAATGTGGGCTGGAGCCCAGTGTAGGTGACATCAGAGCAGAAGATAAGTGGGGCCATCCCTTTGTCTCACTTCCTTTCTGTTGCCCTTTTCTCTCTCTATCTCTCTGCCATTTCCCACCCCCAATTTACATTCTACCCACCACATGAAGTTAGGCTGAGAGTTACCTGAAACTTGCCCACCTGAGGCCTAGCAAAAGGGTCCTGCCCACATAAGAACCACCAAACTGTAGAATTGGAAGGGACCTCGAGGGTCTAATCCATCCCCCTGCATTGCAGGAATATTTTGCCCTGCATGGGGCTCAAACCCACAACTCAGAGATGAAGAGTCCCCTGCTCTACCAACTGAGCTATCTAGGATGTTGCCTTTTATACTGGTCTTGCCGCGGTTGTGCCCCAAAGAATCCTGGGAATTTTAGCTGAGTAGTACTGAGAATTATCAGGTCAGGATCATTATCCCTGCATTGCAGGGGGTTGGACTAGATGACCCATTGGACCCCTTCCAACTCTACGCTTCTAGGATAGCTAATACAACCCCACTCCCAGATTCCCTGAGAAAAAGGCCTGGCTGTTACAAAGTCCAAAAGTGGGGGTGTTGCAGAATGGAGTTCTGCTGCTCAGGAGCCTGTCTGCTACATTCCAGTATTATAATTTCTTTTTCTCTATCTCTATCTCCAGCCGCAAGTGAGTCAGCATTCGGCAGCCGCAGCACAGAGCATGCTCAGCCTCCCTTGCGCTGCCCTGGGATTTCCCCATCTCCTGCCCTAGGCTTTTTCAAAACAACAACGTTCCACTTCTGCAAACCTTGCAGCCACTCATCCTACTTGCATCGCTCCTCCGCTGTGCGTGGATGGGGCCCACTTTGGATGCTGAAAAGCAACAGCACCCACACCTGAACTTAGGAAATAACTTTGGATGCCCCTCTGGGTGCTGCCCATTGTACTATTTGCAACCAAGTGTTCTGCAACCGCAGCACAGCGCCCCCTGTTGAGCAAGCCACCCATCTCCCTCCTCGCTGCTTTGTCTTGCAATTACATCTGTAAGTTTATCCTGACCTTGCTGTATTTCTGGAAAGTGAATCCGCTCATCTCCTCTCCTTCATTGCCCAGGCACTCCAGAGTCACGTTCCCGCCCTCAAGGACAGGACCCTCCTGGTCGCTGCGAAGGACGATGGAGACCTCTGGAATTATAAAAGAGGGGATGGCATGAGACAGAGGCCGCCACCCACACTCTGAGCCAAGGGTCCCCCAAGCTCGTTGGCTAGATCAGCTCCAGCACCCACTTCTTATTTCTCATCTTCTACTTTTTTATTTTTTTAAAAAAATGTATACGGCCCTACCACATAGGTCTCAGGGTGGTTCACAACACAAAATTACAAAACAAAACAAAATACGTGTCAAAAATAAGAACGGAAACAAACCAATAGTCCTCTGTTCCGCAGCACATTTAAAAGGGCATCAGATGTCAATCAGCCACAGGCTGGGTTGAAGAGGAACATTTTCGCCTGGTGCCTAAATGTGTATAATGAAGGCACCAGGCAAACCACCCCGGGGAGAGCATTTCATAAACAGGGAGCCACTGCAGAAAAGGCCCTTACTTGTGTTGACACTCTCCGGACCTTTCGTGGATAAGGCACATGAAGAATTATGTTATGTAATCCTTGTACATTTTGGGATGGCGAATCTAAGCCTAGGCTTCCCCCAAAGAATCCTGGGAACAGTAGTTGATTGTGGGTCTGTGAGGGTATCCTAAAGACTTTCAGTCCCTGCAACAAACTACAGTTCCCAAGTTCCTTTGAGGTGGGGGAGCATAAGAGTGATTTAAATGTATGGTGTGGACTTCCTTCTGTATCATCCTTCCTGCTCTCTTAAGGTGGGAAGGAGAGGCTTTTCCTTCTGTCTCACCCATGGTCGTAGTGCGTCTGGATACAAGGGGTGAGAGGGAGATTATGGAACTCCTTGCCCCATGAAGTTTGGTCGGCTCCTTTCTTGGTTTCTTTGTTGCTAAAGGTCATTTTTCATTCTATTTTTGTTCTACACTGAAAACCTTTTTGTGTCCTTCATTTTGGTTGGGGAGGGATTATGGGTTTGTTCTGGTCTTTATTATGTGCTTTTGTTTTGTATTTCTGTGCTTTGAACCACCCTGAGATCTTTGGCTGAAGGGTGGTGTACAAATTTAAAATCATCATTATCATCATTATGATGAAACTAACATTTAAATGTATTGAGCAGCCTCAATTGGTGATTTTCTGCTTGTTTTTCTGCTTAGGTTTTTAACTGTCAACACTTTGCCCCTAAGAAACTTCACGCTTGAGATATATACTGAAACTGAAACCTTTAAATGTCTTAAGCAGCCTTGATTGGTGCTTTCAGTTAGGAAGGAAAATGTTTATTTATATATATGCAAACATTTCTACACCTTTGTGTCCCTTTCGCCAAACCATATCTTTATTATTTATTTATTGCATTTCTGTCCCACTCTCTTTCTCAAAGGAGCTCACAGTGGCATACATGTTTCTCCCCGTTCTCCTCTAATCTCCACAACAGCCCTGTGAGGTAGGTTAGCCTGAGAGGCAGCTAGTGACTGACCCAAGGACGCCCAGTGAGCTTCATGGCCGGGTGGGCATTTGAATACCTGGTCTCTCCCAAATCCTAGTTCGACACTCTAACCACTACCCCACACTGCCTCCTAATCTTACTGATTGCGGAGGCTCAACCTCAGAACTTGTCCCATAGGCCCTTGACACAACTCCGGGGGCAAAACAAGCATGCACAGAGCACCTTCTATTAAAAGATGTGGTCGCAGCTTGCGGCTAAGAAGGCATTTTGAAAGCAAAAGGTTGCAGGTATCTCAAAAGTCGGGCAGTGAGAGAAGAAGACCCCTGTAGAAACTGTGGACATAATACTGAGACAGACAGACAGATGGCCTGACTCTGCAAACACTTCCTAGATCTGTTCTCCAAGAACCCAAAGCCAGCCCACACATGTCTACAAGCACCCAGGCAGGCCTGAGACCGAAAATCTCTTTCAGTAATATTTAGCATTTGCATCCAGTTGTAGTCTTTACAACAATCCTGCAAAAAAGGTGACCTCCAAATTTCTAGAGAGGGTGGCTACAGTAGGTGGGACTGACTGGCTTGTCAAACGCAGTCAAAAGAGTTTATGGGTATATAAATAATACAATAATAATACTTATTATTAAGATTCAAGTGGACCTTTCTGAGTTGTAACACAATCTGCATACACACCACACCTCTAAAACACACTCAAAGGACATTTCCCCTGCTTGCCACCACAACAAAATCCTGGGAATGGTAGTTTGCACCTTACAGAACTACAATTCCCGGCCCCCTTAACAAATGACGTTTCCCATGGTTCTTCAGGGGGAATAGCGCTTTGAATGTGCTTTAAAGGTATGCTGTGTGTGTTAAGTCTCCTGGCCACTACACTGGAGATTTCCAAACTGTGCGTCGTGACGCATTAGTGTGTCGGCTGCAGTGTGTAGGTGACCATACAGCTGGCTCAACAAAACACTTCTTGTTCATCTTCTCGCCATCCTTTCATTAATTACAAACTCTGTTTTTGATGCAGATTCTGGGGTGGACTGGCTCTTCCCTTGCCTCACAAGATCTCCCAGCCCAACTGGTCTTACCACACAGAAGCAGAACTAAAGCTTCGTGAGAGTGGGAAAGAAGATTGCCAGCTCTTTCTCACAAGGCCTTCGGCAACAATGTGAAATGCAGAAATCGAGCCAGAAAAGCTTCCAGGCGCCCGCTATTTCCATGCTGGATTTGGTTACCCACCGGCAAATTCTGGTTGTACAACTTAAAATTAGATTAGTGCTCTTGTGCAACAAGTCCAGTTTCCCAAAACTGCAGTGTGGAAAAACACTTGCAGAGCGAATGCTCAATTAACAGGAAGCAATCAAAAGGTTTTGCCTGCAAAATGTCAAGCTGCTACATATGTGTCCATCTCACTCAGCGCTGCCCACTCTGACTGGCAGCAGCTCTCTGGGGTCTGAGGCAGACATGTACAACCCATCAACTGCTCTCTGATCCTTTTAAATGGGAGATTCCGGGGATTAACACACACCCCCGACCTTCTGCATGCCAAGCACCCGCCCTACCACCCTGGCCTGCCAAAGCAAAGGGGCAGGAGGAGCACGGGGCAGTTTTAAAAAGTGGGCCAGCGAAGTGAATTCCGCACCGGCTCCTTGTTTTCGAGAGTGTTGTGCCATTCGACTCACCTGCCTGGCTGGTGCGCAGGGTCACAGCCAGGCCAGCCGCCACCAGCCAGAAGAGCTTCTGTTGAAACTGCGCCATCATCGCACTGCTGCCTGCTTGCCTTCTGTTTTGGGTAATGAGAAAGTTCCCTCCTCCGTTTCCTGGTTCGCCCTTAGAGAAAAAAGAAGCGAGAAAGCCACCGCGTTAGCAGCCTCGCACCCGCGCGTGGGAAACCGGCCGTGCTTAACAGAAGAAGGAAGTGGGGCGCTCTGGCTGCGACCCCGAAACAAACCGTCTCCCCAACCTCTGCTTCCCCTGCGCACCAACCTTTCTCTTCCTCTCTCTCTCTGTGTCTCTCCCCCCACGAGACCGAGAGGCGTCTCTGTACTTGTTTGCCCGCGCCAAAGGGGTGGGGGAAGAAGTTAATAACAAACTAAACCGGAGCGGCCAGTTGAGGAACTGAAGACGCAGCTCCGTCGACGCGCACGCACAGAGAGCCGTCAGGGTGTATAGAAGTTCAAGCACCAAAGGCACAAAGAAAGTGCGACGGGAAAGGGGGCGGGGGGGGCAAGGGGCGGGGATGAGGTAGAGAAGGCAGCCGGGAAGTGAAAGGTAGCGGGGCAGGGCGCCCTGTGTCTCTCTCTGCCCCAGCACCAACTCACCCGCCGGCGGAGCTGGTCTGCTGGCGCGTCTCTAACCGAAGGCGCAATTCTAAATTCTAAGTTCTTGCAGACGCGGGGGAAGATAGTCGCGCCACCAGAGCGCAAAGGCGGCTGCGGTGGGTGAAAGTTCCCTCTCCTACTCTTGCGGCCAACCGCAACTTTCGCAGCCGGCCGACAGGAGAAGGAGCTGAATCTTAGGGTCAGGCATGATGGGTCTGAGAATTTGGGGAGCCCCACACGCGCGCACACACACCAGGAGAGTCCGATGGTGCCAGCCGTAACCAGATCGGGCGGCTGTTCTCCGCATGGGAAATTACGGAGTGGTGGGGGTACGACGCAAGGTCTACGACTTCTTGTAACTGCAGGCTGTTAATTTTTTTGCAGTCTATAATAATTCCCCTGATGGGCTGGGCCTGTTGGAGATGGAGTGGGAGGACACGCTTCGGAACCGAACCCTCGTAACAAATTGCTTTGTTTGCCCGTTTAACTTTCGCAGACGCAGCGTTCGCATAGCAGAGCAAGCAGATAGGCCCGGAATGCCCTCCTCCAGGAAAGGGCAGGGGGTCTGATTATGACAGCCCCTCTCAAGAAAACTGGGCAAAGAGCGGTGAGATAAACAGAGCAGAATAAATTTGCGTGGTGGGGGGCAGAATCTGTGATCGTATCTCAAGGCTTGAGATGTTGAGATCTTGGCAGGAGTCAGACCCCTGAAGCGATGTGAAGATCAGGTTTCTCCACCTGGGGAATTTCCACTTGGACCTTTGGCCTCGCTTGCCGCAGGGAAGCTGCTGAAGTTTTTGCGCAACCTGACTCTTCGTGCACGCACATCACACAAAGGTTTTCCCCTCAAGTGTTTCTTTGCTTTGGGGAACAAAGTCCGCAGCTGTGCAGAAATGAAAGTAAAACTGGCCCAGCCTCTCACAACAAAAACTTTCAGAGCCGACATTTCCTTCCCAACCTTTACAGGACTCTTGCATTTTTGCCAGCAGCCGGACCTTGGTGCGATTTTTTTTCTCATACTGAACACTGGACGAGCCAAAACAGTCTTCAGGGGAACGAACGATTTTTCTTTCTTTCTTTTTTTTAAGCATTAGGTACTGTACTCGGGAACAGATGCCGTGTGTTTCACATGTTCATTTTACAGAAATGCGTTCCCCTCCATCATAAGCGCAACAAGGGAGTCGTGTTCTAGAAAGTAATGTAAGCCCATTGCGACCGAAAAGTCACAAATGGGCTGTGCTTCTGTATTAAACAGAGAGCTCCCCTGATTCTCAGCAGAGTGGTATTGCTGGTACAGTCTAGTCCCTAGTGTCTCTATAGTTAAAGCCCTCTATTGGGGTGGGGAACGTTTTGCAGCCCAAGGGCCATATTCTCTTCTGGGGAACCTTTCCAGGGCCACATGGCAACGGTGGGCAGGTCCAGAGACAAAAGAGGAGCGGGTGCACATTTTCCCTTCGTAGAGTAGACTTAATTTCTACACAAGCTCGCACACCTTTCTCCTTCAAGAGGCACTATCACAGTTCAAGGACACATTCCAGAAAGACAAATAGACCCAAGGGGTGAAGCAGGCCAGTGAGGGGTGGGGTCTGGCGGGGAGAAGGGATGTGAGTCACGTGACCTGCAAAGAGTCCTGAGCAAGTCCGGACCAAGATATTTTGGCACCTGATGTGAACCACAAAATGCTTCTCCTCCTCCCCACAAGGGAAGGAGGGAAGATCAAGGGGATAATAAAGGAACAAGGGGGTAATGAAGATCTGCATTGAGATCTTCTGCCTCCATGGATCCTGCCACCCGAGGCAGTTGCTTCACCTTGCCTCATAAGTGGGCCCTGGTTCCGAGAGCCAAATAGAGAGGCCTGGACCCCAGGCATGACGTTTTTCACCCCTGATCTAGACCTGCGTCACTGAATGGTTCAATTCAGACTCTTCAGTGCCCAAAGGGTTGTCCCATTGCGAGTCCTAGAGGAAAAGCAGCTTTCTGTGGTGGACAGAGGCATTATGGAAACAGGCAAAGCTGTGCTAGCTTAGGAACATTAAGAAATGTAATTTATGTTTCAAAGATACAGTATTGCCCCGATCCTGGACAGCCATGCTGGCTAGAACTGATGGGAGTTGGAGTTGTAACAGCATCCGAAGGTCCACAGCTTCCCTCCATTCCTAATTCAAGGACTGTTTTGTCCCCAGATGAGGTGATGGCTGGTGGCTGGGATGGGGATGGGTCTGTTTATGGTTCTTACCAACAACAGTCATTTGGAGTTCCCATGTTCAGAGGCCGTGTACCACTGAATTAGCTTAACTGGGTGCAAAAGGAGACAGGACTTTGGCACTTTGAATAGCTGCATAGTAGAGGAAACTTCAGCAGGTTTAAGCATGCACAGCAAGCTCTCCCTTCTGAAATCCCCTCTTCATCACAACTATTCAGGGCACAGGAACTCTCTCCCCTTTTGCACCCAGCCGCTCTAGGTGGGATGCAAACTTTGACCAAGCCAGGAATCCAAGTCACTTCACTCTGTGCCCGAAAAGGTAAATAATTATAATTATTATTTATTTGTACCCCGCCCATCTGGCTGGGTTTCCCCAGCCATTCTGGGCGGCTTCCAACAAAGATCAAAAATACACTAAAATGTCACACATTAAAAACTTCCCTAAACAGGGCTGCCTTCAGGTGTCTTCTAAATGTCAGGTAGTTGTTTATCTCTTTGACATCTGATGGGAGGCCGTTCCACAGGGTGGGCGCCGCTACTGAGAAGGTCCTCTGCCTGGTTCCTTGTAGCTTTGCTTCTCACAGTGAGGGAACCGCCAGAAGGCCCTCGGAGCTGGACCTCAGTGTCCGGGCAGAACGATGGGGGTGGAGACGCTCCTTCAGGTATACTGGGTCGAGGCCGTTTAGGGCTTTAAAGGTCAGCACCAACACTTTGAATTGTGCTCGGAAACATACTGGGAGCCAATGTAGGTCTTTCAAGACCGGTGTTATGTGGTCTCGGCGGCCGCCCCCAGTCACCAGTCTAGCTGCCGCAACCCTCACAGTTCCCCCCTGCATAGCACATTGTGGGTGAAATGGTTCTTGCATGTGTACATAGATACACAAATGAACCCCCACCTGTGTAAACCACCCATCCCTTCTTGGGAGGAGAAGGCTTGTACATAGGGAGCTGCATTATACCGAGTTACACCAGTATGGTATAATTCATAGAATCATAGAATCATAGAGTTGGAAGAGACCACAAGGGCCATCGAGTCCAACCCCCTGCCAAGTAGGAAACACCATCAGAGCACTCCTGACATATGGTTGTCAAGCCTCTGCTTAAAGACCTCCAAAGAAGGAGACTCCACCACACTCCTTGGCAGCAAATTCCACTGTCGAACAGCTCTTACTGTCAGGAAGTTCTTCCTAATGTTTAGGTGGAATCTTCTTTCTTGTAGTTTGGATCCATTGCTCCGTGTCCGCTTCTCTGGAGCAGCAGAAAACAACCTTTCTCCCTCCTCTATGTGACATCCTTTTATATATTTGAACATGGCTATCATATCACCCCTTAACCTCCTCTTCTCCAGGCTAAACATGCCCAGCTCCCTTAGCCGTTCCTCATAAGGCATCGTTTCCAGGCCTTTGACCATTTTGGTTGCCCTCCTCTGGACACGTTCCAGTTTGTCAGTGTCCTTCTTGAACTGTGGTGCCCAGAACTGGACACAGTACTCCAGGTGAGGTCTGACCAGAGCAGAATACAGTGGCACTATTACTTCCCTTGATCTAGATGCTATACTCCTATTGATGAGGCCCAGCATTGCATTGGCTTTTTAGCTGCCGCGTCACACTCTTGGCTCATGTCAAGTTTGTGGTCAACCAAGACTCCGAGATCCTTTTCACATGTACTGCTCTCAAGCCAGGTGTCACCCATCTTGTATTTGTGCCTCTCATTTTTTTGCCCAAGTGCAATACTTTACATTTCTCCCTGTTAAAATTCATCTTGTTTGTTTTGGCCCAGTTCTCTAATCTGTCAAGGTCGTTTTGAAGTGTGATCCTGTCCTCTGGGGTGTTAGCCACCCCTCCCAGTTTGGTGTCATCTGCAAATTTGATCAGGATGCCCTTGAGTCCATCATCCAAGTCGTTGATAAAGATGTTGAATAAGACCAGGCCCAAGACAGAACCCTGTGGCACCCCACTAGTCACTCTTCTCCAGGATGAAGAGGAACCATTGATGAGCACCCTTTGGGTTCGGTCAGTCAGCCAGTTACAAATCCACTGAGTGGTAGCATAGTCAAGACCGCATTTTACCAGCTTCTTTACAAGAATATCATGGGGCACCTTGTCAAATGCCTTGCTGAAATCAAGGTAGGCTACATCCACTGCGTTCCCTTCATCTACCAGGCTTGTAATTCTGTCAAAAACGAGATCAGGTTAGTCTGACATGACTTATTTTTCAGAAATCCATGCTGACTATTGGTGATCACAGCATTCCTTTCTAGGTGCTCACAGACTGTTTGCTTAATGATCTGCTCCAGAATCTTCCCTGGTATTGATGTCAGACTGACTGGGCGGTAATTATTCGGGTCCTCTCTTTTCCCCTTTTTGATAATAGGGACAACATTTGCCCTCCTCCAGTCTGCCGGGACTTCGCCTGTTCTCCAGGAATTCTCAAAGATGACTGCCAGTGGTTCTGAGATCACATCTGCCAGTTCTTTTAATACTCTTGGATGCAGTTCATCTGACCCTGGAGACTTGAATACATCTAAACTAGCCAAGTATTCTTGTACTATCTCCTTAGTTATTCTGGGCTGTGTTTCCTCTGCTGAATCATTTGCTCCAAATTCTTCAGGTTGGGCATTGCTTTATTGGAAGACTGAGGCAAAGAAGGCATTGAGGAGTTCAGCCCTTTCTGTGTCCCCTGTTTGCATTTCACCATCTTCTCCTCTGAGTGACCCCACTGTTTCTTTGTTCTTCCTTTTGCTATGAACATACCCATAAAAGCCTTTTTTGTTGCTTTTAACCTCTCTAGCAAGCCTGAGTTCATTCTGTGCTTTAGCTTTTCTGACTTTGTGTCTAACACGTGCTGGCTATTTGTTTGAATTCCTCTTTGGTGGTTTCCCCCCTTTTCCATTTTTTGTACACATCCTTTTTTAATCTTAACTCAGTTAAAAGTTCTTTAGATAGCCACCCTGGCTTCTTTAGGCACCTTCCATGTTTCCGTCAGCTTTCTTAAAGTCAAGAAATTGAGTCCTAGTATGCTTGGCTGCTCCTTTCCACTGTATAGTAAACTTCAGAAGAGCATGATCACTCGCGCCTAATGATCCTTCCACTTCTACCCCACTAACCAGGTCATCAACATTGGTTAGGACCAGATCTAAAAATGCTGTATTTGTCAGTGGGTTTTATGATTCCTTGCAGTCGTTCAGTTACATCTTGGATCTTAGCCCCGGGGAGACAGCACACTTCCCGAGACATCTTGTCAGGCCCACAGATCACTGCTTCTGTTCTCCTCAGTAGGGAATCCCCTATCACCACTACACGCCTCCTCTTAGGTTTGGTCGGGGTTCTTCCGTGAGCTGTCCGTTCCAAGGTCGCCTGCACATTCCCTGAGGACTGACTTTGCTGCTCGTCTTCATATACCTGATCGACTGTAATGAGGGCGAGATCCTCAAATGGAGTCTGCTCTTCGTCTTCCATGCTAGGGGAGAGGACCTCAAAGCGATTGTGTATTTCTAAACAATCAGAGCGAACCCTGGGCCTCCTACTTCTTTGAGTCACTTTCTCCATATATCTGGCTCCTGTGTTGGTGAACTAGCCTCCTTCTCAGGGGAGTCCCCTGTCTCCTCCTTGGTGGAGACGGTGTGCTCTGTTGCTTCCCAGAAGAGCTCCAGCTCTCTAATTCTTTGGAGCGTAGCTACACGTTCCTCCAGTTGCTGGACTTTGTCTTTTAAGAGGGCAATCAACATGCAATTGCTGCAGGTAAAGCTGCCTGCAACCTTTGGCAAGATGGCAAACATTGCGCAGGAACCGCAGGTGACTGCAGCTGTTCTCTGCCCCTCCATCTTGAGAACGTGTCGTTGGGGGTGGCTACAGCGGTCCTCCATCATAAAAAGCGTGAAGACGGACAAATAACTCCCCCCCCAAAAAAACCTAGGTCTCCCCCAACAAACGTTCGAGACTAGCTCCCCTAAATCTTGTCTACACCAGTGTACACTAAATGTTGTCTACACCAGTGGGGAGAACCTGCAGCTCTCTGGATATTGTTGGACTACAATTCCCCTCAGGTAGCATGGCCAACGGTCAGGGGGTGATGGGAGTTGTAGTCAGGCAACCTCAGGAGGGTTGTAGGTTCCTCATTCCTGGTCTACACTGACTGGCTGGGATTTCAGGCAAGGATCTTTCCCGGTTCTACCTGGAGCTGTCAGAGATTGAACCGTGGAACCTGCCTGCGACAGATCTACAGCCCTTCTCCTAGTAGCAGCCAGGGTGACCAGATACAAAAGCGGACAAGGCTCCTGCACCTGTAGCAGCTGTGCAGAAGGTTTGCCACCTGCCCACCCTGCTAACTAGTCACTCCCCTCTATGGCTCTTGATGGAGATTCACATTTACCTGCAGCATGCCAGGCCAGCTGCAGACCAGGAAAGGGGCTCTGAGGCAGGAGGGGGGGCGGGTCTAGAGAGAAGAGAGAGTGGCAAAAGCAAGGAACCCAACAAGCAAAAGGAACCAATCTTGGCTGGAGCAGCCAGATATGAATCGAGGTGGTCTCCTGCGCCTGCAATAACTGCGTTGAAGAGGGTGTCACTTGTCATGCAGAAGGGGCAAGTTGTTCATGTTAGAAGAGGGAATTTGAGCAGGTGTAGCTTGTCATGCAAGACAAGCTGGCGCTCTGTCATCTTTTGCATCTGGTACCCTACATTGAATACTAATGAGAGAAGACTGTTGCCATCAGGCCCTGGCTGTGGGCTTTCTGGAGTTACCTGGTTGGCTACCCTGGGAAGGAGATTGCTGTGTTATATAGGGATAGTCAGTGTGGTACCCTCCAGATGTTGTCAGCCTCCAGCACCCATCAGTCAATATGGCCAGTGGTCAGGGATGAGAATTAAAGTCCAGCAACATGTGGAGGGCATCAAATCGGCTACTCCTGCTGTATTAGATATAATAGTGGGGGCCATTCACACCAAAAGATGAAAGCGCTATGGTACCACTTTACAAGGTCATGGTGTCCACCAAAGAATTTTGGGAGCTGTAGTCTGTTAAAGGTGTTGAGGGTTGTTAGGCCCCTGTTCCCCTCACAGATATATCATTCTCAGAGTTGTTTACAACTAATCCCTTTTCACAGGGAACTCTGGGAACTGTTGCTCTGTGAGGGGAATAGGGGTCTCCTAACAGCTCTCTCCGCACCTTTAGCAAACCTGGAATTCTTCCAGACCCTCCAAGTGTCCTATTTTCTGAGATTTACAGAAGCCGTCCTGGTTTCTGATTTCATACCAGAAGGTCCTGCTTTTTCCTTAGGACGTCCCTATTTTCATTGGAGAAATGTTGGAGCTGATGTTCTTCCCTCTACAATTCTTTGGTGGAAGCCATGACTGTTTAAAGTGGTAGCATAGGACTTTCAGTGTATGGAGTGAATGTGGCCTTGGTCTTATCTAGAAGGGCTCATTTTCATGAGCAGCAAAATACAAGCAGGCTGGCATTTGAAAACCAAGCTGCCAGCTGGAAACCTTGGGCTCCTTCCACACAGGAGGCTTCTGCAGATTCTCTGCTACTCATGCAAGCAAAGGAGACTGTGCTGGCCAACATCTTAATTCAAGTAACAGAGAAGAGAACACCACGCAGTTGGCTAAACTTAAATATTTGCTGGCACACATATGTAGACAAAGTTCCGTGTTTTTTCAGTGCAGTCCTGTGCATGTCTACTCAGAAGTCAGCCTCACTGGGTTCAGTGAAACTTACTCCCAGGTAATATGTGTAAGGGGGTTGCAGCCTTCAGGGGTTACTCAGGTAATTCACTCCTCAACTGGGTAAATATATGGCTGCTCACTCATTGGACATGAGACCAAACCTTTGCTTCACTCTTACAGTGTGGATATAAGTGGACTTAAAGTGAGTTAAGGTCTGTAGGTCACACAGTTAATGGTACATATGTGACCCTAGTTTTTAGATGGATTGGATTGGATGCCAACCATTTTGGGCTAAGAGCAGTGTGAGAAATTTTGGGGTGTGGAGATACATGTATCTGCCCATACCTTCCAAGATTTCTCCAATGAAAATTGGGACATCCTATTTAACAACAACAACAACAACAACAACAACAAGATTTATACCCCACCCATCTGGCCCAACCACTCTTGGTTGTTTTCAACATATATAAAAAAATAATAAAACATTAAACATTCAGAAACTTCCCTTTACAGGGCTGCCTTCAGATGTCTTCTAAAAGGTGTATAGTTATTTATCTCCTTGGCTCGGGGGTGTGTGTGTCGCATAACTCCATACCATCCAACATTTCTCTGATGAAAATAGAGATGTCCTAAGGAAAAGCAGGACATTCTGGGATAAAATCAGAAAACGGACGGCTTCTGTAAATCCAGGACTGTCCCTGGAAAATAGGGACACTTGGGGGGGGTGTCTGTATGACCCTCTCCCTGAGAGCATGAGAGTTTTGTTGCTGTGATTACCAGCCTATCACCACTGAAACTTCCTTCTATTTATTTCAAGTATTATAAAGTACAAGGTAACTTGCTTGTTGCTATAACCTTGAGAATACCCACGTGGGAACTGCATTTGTCCTAGCCAAGCTAGATAAGGCACAAATGTATTAAATTCTCCTTCGAAATAACAGTAAGAACTTTGTACCATTATCTGTGCAAAGTCAACTAAGCCAAGAAAACTGTGGGAAGCTTTCCAGGACAGAGAGACAGAGACAGAGACAGAGGAGGAAGAGATAACACGAGGCACTTACTCCAGCTGGACCCTTTGCCTAGAAAGCCTTCCATTTATTTGTTTAGTTATTTGTTTAAGCTATTTTTATTCCCGCCCTGTGACACAAGAAGAGCTAATCAGAACGGCTGACAAATCCGAAGGTTCCTGTGTCATCTGTCGGCGCAGCAACGATGAATTAAATAAAATCACGAGCATTAGCAGGGATCAACCAACATGGACTAGCAGAAGCAGCCCCGTTAATGCATTGGGCGACTGGTTGGTGACAAGGGACTGTTTTGTATTTATATGTCATTTCAAATATTTATAGCCCATTTCCCATTTCAAGCTAACATTCCCAAAGCGGCTCACGCTAAAAACACAGAACAATCACTGTAAGGCAACATAATAAATAACATTATCATCGTAAAAAAAAAGAGCACGAGACAATCACCATAACAATAGATTTAGAAGCTTAAAAGAGAAATCATAAAAACGACAGAAGCAGCATAACAATGAGACACCCCAGATAAAACAGTGATTACAGGAATGCGATATGAATATCCCATCAGGTCCCTGCTCTGAAAATCCGTGTTCTGCCAATATGCCCATATGGAAGCACCCTAACTTAGCACCTAAACCTTAAGAAAGTGGGTGTAAGGGTGGGTCTACTTGGGGAGGCCATTCTAGCAAATGGGATGGGAGGTATTGCAGGGGTGGGGTGGGGCAGAGACTCTTTTCTGAGGTATCTGTTCTGGGATGCTCACTCTCGGAGTCATTTTTCAAAACTGAGCTTGCAATATGTCTTTTTGTTTATCTTGTTTATGAAAGTATCACCCTCTCGTAAGACATCAGGGAGGTGTACTGCAAAGAGGAAACTTAAAAAGCAATACCAAAAGATCGTTAAAACGAAATAAAACTTTTAAACAACTGCATAGACCTGTGGGCATTTTTTTTTTTTTTTAAAGCCTTCAAGAGACACCTGAAAGTGAAAAGCAAGGATGCCTGCTGAATCTCTGCTGGAAAAGTATGGGAATGGACAAACTTAAATGTCCGACTTCTGGCTGAGGCAAGCTGGGCTCTGCAAGATGGGGGTAGCATTATTGCTGTTGTTGTTTACATTTGTTGTTTTTGCAAAAAAGAAAATATCAAAGCAACTTAACAAGATACAGTAAAATATGATATTGTTGCTATGATGATGATTACTAATACTTTTATGCCTTCTCACACACTCTTCACCAGGAGATCCTAGGGCAGGTTACAACAATTTGACAACAACAGTACAGTGATTAGAAAACAGAGCATTAAAAGGTTTAAAACATCCGACAATCGAGATGCTAGGGTGGGTCCAAATCTATATAGCTCAGACGTCAACAGCCAGGGCAAATATTTGCATATTTAGCATTCAACAAAAACTACAATGGTACCTCGGGTTACAGATGCTTCAGGTTACAGACCTGGCTAACCCAGAAATAGTACCTCAGGTTAAAAACTTTGCTTCAGGATGAGAACAGAAATCGTGCCGTGGTGGTGCAGCGGCAGCGGGAAGCCCCATTAGCTAAAGTGGTACTTCAGGTTAAGAACAGTTTCAGCTTAAGAACGGACCTCCAGAACGAATTAAGTTCTTAACCTGATGTACCACTGTACATAACTAAGGTGGCAGATTCACCTTTGTGGGCAGGGAATTCTGCAGCTGAGGGGCTACCACAAAGAAAGCCCTCTCCTGGGCCTGCCACCCCCTGAACGTCTGAGGGCGGCAAAACTGCCCAGGGACCCTCACCCCTCACCTCTGACAATCATAACACCCAAGAGTGTCTGTAGAGAAAGAGGCTGTTTTTCAAGTATTTGGGGCTGATGTCGGTTTTTTTAGGGCCTCAGACATGAATATGGGCACCTTTATAGTAAAACAGCAGTGGTCATAGGCCTGTGTGAGGTGTTTTCCTCTGCTCTGAACTATTAGAGTCAACACTGAAAGAGGTGAGCCGCAACATCCGTTTCAGAGTGGTTTTGTGTCATGAGAATCCTTGGGTTTGTGCACACTATAAGGAAATAACCACTCAGGATATCCCCTGGCTACCCACAAACAGCAAGAAGGAAACTGACCGCTTAAGAGGGAAAGGAGAAGCTGGGTCCATCCATCACCACCTTCACATGGAGGCACTGGTTTGTTGCACCCCAAGTGGGCTGGGCAGCTGCTGATTCCGTCCTTTCCTTAGAAATCTATGAGTCCCAATGACATCACAGAGCAGGGTGGGCGGGGCAAAGGCTGGTTGGGTTGGATGCTGAAGCATTGGCTCAGGAAGTCTTTGGTGGCACGGGGACCCTCATACCCGCCAACATTTCTGCAATGAAAACAGGGACATCCTATTCCATAATAATGATAAGCATAATAATTTTATTATTTATGGCCATCTGTCTAGGTTGCCCCAGCCACTTTGGGTGGATTCCAACATACAGTGGTACCTCGGGTTACATACGCTTCAGGTTACAGACTCCGCTAACCCAGAAATAGTATCTCAGGTTAAGAACTTTGCTTCAGGATGAGAACAGAAATCGTGCTCCGGTGGTACAGCAGCAGCAGGAGGCCCCATTAGCTAAAGTGGTGCTTTAGGTTAAGAACAGTTTCAGGTTAAGAACGGACCTCCAGCATGAATTAAGTACTTAACCGGAGGTACCACTGTATATAAAAACAAACATTTGGGGCTGCCTTCAGATGTCTTCTAAAAGTAGTGTAGTTACATATCTCCTTGGCTCGGGGATCACATAGCTCCATACCCGCCAACATTTCTCCAATGAAAATAGGGATGCCGTAAATAGGGACATTCTGGGATCAAATCAGAAACTGGGACTGGAAGTAAATAAAACTCAAATACAGGCCCTTTGGAGATGTCGCACGCTGCTCACAGAGTAATGTTTTAACGATAAAACCAGGTGTCCCAGAAGCTAATTACCTGGGCCTTTGTCCCAGAATTGGCACCCGATCCCTTGGCGATGTGCCAATTCAGTTTCAGGGGCTTTGCACCTCGACATTTGTGGTTATTATAAAGCTTCGAGAGCCCCACTGTAAACACACAACTGGGAGAGTCTTGGCCATTGCTGTGGAATAATAAGCAACAATTGGATGAGTGGCAGAGAGATTGCCAATGTTTGGTTTTTTTAAAAAATGCTGCCCCTCTTCCTATGCCGTTAACCGCAGCTTGTCGTGCATCAGTTAAGGGAGGAAAGGCAGTTCCTTATCTTTTCATGCCAGTTAAAGGCACAAGAGCAGAGGAAGCAAAGCAACAAATTAAAGCGCAACGGGAAGCGCAAAATGGCACCTTTAATTACTCGGCAGGAACCAGGAGCACAATTAGATCTGCCACCACATTTCAAAGCAAATCTGGAGAGTCCCATTGAAGCAAAACATCTGTGAGGATTTTGAGAGAAGTTAAAAGAATGCCATTAAGACAAACAACATTTTTTCAGGCGGCTGGCAGGGGAGGCTTCTACATCATTCTAGCTGGGAGAGCCTGGGACACAATTTTTTATTATAATTATTTTTAAAAAATGCACTGGTAATTATATAATAAGCAATTAACTTGCTTGTCTTGGTCGGAACATATGCCTTTGAAATATTTTGATAAATATTAGGCTATCCAAGTAGAATTCAATGTTGCTCTCTTACAAATTCTCTGCCTGCACATGCAATTCATCTTGCCAGATGGCAAGATCCTCCCTCTCATCCCTCCACACTCTGTTCAGGGAGTTTTTCCCAAAAAAAACCCACCCCCAGCCAACCTCAGGGGGCGCAGGGAAGAAGAAGGGGGAAAGATCCATCGTGCAAGAGAAGTCTTTGCACTGGGTTTGTTAGGTAAATCCGGCCCCAAAAAAATTAGTGTTTGAAATTGGGTTTCAGTTCCCTACTCAGCTTCCCTTTTTCTTGGAAGCACATGTCCATCAAGTGGGTAGGTTAGGAAGTTGCCTTGGGCTGAGTCAGACTGTTAAGTTGTGGGTGAACATATCAGACGACACAGTGATTCTTCAAACAGCTCTTGTTTATTCACAGGCCAGAACAGAACTGAACTGAAGGGTTCAGCCAGCCTGCTTATGTAGAGCTCCACTACAACGCAACAGTAACAACTTTCTGTAACTATCCAATCACTGAACGTCACTTTCAATTCCTTATTTGCATATGTGGACCTGAGTGAAAACTATCTACAGTATCCCCCTGCTGGCTCAGGGTGAGAACTTCAGTACATAACACAGACCATTGGTCCAGCTATTTCAGTACCGCCTACACTGACTGGCAGTGGCTGTTTGGGTTTCAGATGGGGTCATAGAATAATAGAATGGTATGGTTCTAGGCACAGTGCATCAACACATACGGGAGTCCAGCACGGAACCCCCATGCAAAATGAAAATTGCCTGTACAATAATCTTATAAATTATGTGGCACTGTGGTCTAAACTACTGAGCCTCTTGGGCTTGCCAATCGGAAGGTTGGTGGTTCGAATCCCCGCAATGGAGTTAGCTCCCTTGCTCTGTCCCAACTCCTGCCAACCTAGCAGTTCGAAAGCACGCCAGTGCAAGTAGATAAATAGGTACTGCAGCGGCAGGAAGGTAAACAGTGTTTCCATGCACTCTGGTTTCTGTCATGGTGTTCTGTTGTGCCAGAAGCAGTTTAGTCATGCTGGCCACATGACCCGGAAAGCTGTCTGTGGACAAACGCTGGCTCCCTCGGCCTGAAAACGAGATGAGCTCCGCAATCCCATATTTGCCTTTGACTGGACATAACCGTTCAGGGGTCCTTTACCTTTTAACAATAATATACAACATTATTATACAGTAATAATGATAGGGGATCCATGTGTTGCCTTTCGGTTAGATCTGCTATTTTCTGTGCACGAAGCTGGGCAAAGGATTTTGAGTGCTCCAATACCTTAATTTGGATTGACCCGAGTTGTGCTTTCCACGAAGTTCGATTGCACGTAACAGAACCTGCACACCAATCTCTAGAAACAGAAGCACTTGTTTTCAGCATTCCTAAATGCCTAGCTTTGGAACATACAGAAGATCCCCACCGTCAGGGACGGAGGAAGGGCGGTGCGGTGGGGGTGGACCGCTCCAGGTGTCTTCGCTAAGAGGGGGTGACATTTGGCACACTGCCCGCCCTCAACTCCCAAGCCTACCCCGACCTGTTGGGGGAAGTGGGGAGCTGCGCTGCTTTGCCGGTTGCATTCCCCCCTTCCCCCTTCGTTTTGACAGCTTGGGGGAGGCTTGGGAGTTGTGGGTGGGCGGTGCGCCAAATGTCCGCCATTGGCGGCTCGTTCCACCCCTGGTTGCAGGGCACGCACGCCACTCCATGCACCCAAGTGGCTATCCCGCAGGAGGGGCCACTAGGGGCACATCGGAAGATGGCTGACAATAACATCTCTCTGACCCACACGAGGTAATTAGGAGGCTGTGATGGGAGTAAATAGCCTCCCTGCCCCCCCAAGGGTGGGGGGGGACTGCCCTTGCCTGCTGTGCCCTATACCACCCCCCGAATTTGTGGGGATGGGGGCACTAGGCAGAAAGCCCTCCTGTGGATCTCGGCGCTCCTGGATGCTGTCTCTGATCCGCGCCCCTAGCTGCAGCAACTTCAAAAGAAACAATTAGGAGGAAGCGAATGCACATATTTCAAGGAAGAAGGGGGAGTAAAGATTGCTAACTGAAGAGATCTCTGATAAACAAGACGGGTCGGAGGAACAAGAATAAATCATGAGAAGACACACCGAGGCTCGGTATGGCAAAGGGACTGGATGGGGGAGGGGGAAAAAACTTTCCTTTCTTTTCTCTATGTGATTAACCAAGAATCCCCCCCCCCAAGTCACAAGTTAGTAATGCCGTGTAAATGACTTAAGCTGTGGATTTATGACTGTGTGGAGATAATTTTCTAACCAAAGCATGTTTCAAGAAGATCGTGGAAAGTATAAGAGCTTTGGAATGACGCAGTAAAAAATACCGTCGCCATGTTGGCAAGTTCTGTCGGAAGACTTAAGTCTGGGAGGAGGAACAGAGCTGTTTTTATATTGTGGGAGAGACTCCTCAGAGGGACTTAAGAGCGACAGTTTTGTGAGATTAATGATGGAAAGAGTGATGTTATTTATGAAAGCGATGATATATGGAAACCATCGTGATATGAGGACTGGACGAACGGAAAATTCACACAGGATTATAATTGGTGTTTATCTGCTTAAGGAGATTATCAGAAGAGATCATAAAGGAAAAAAAGAAAAAATATACGAATAAGATGAGATGTGGAAACAGCAAGATAAGACTGGATAGAATTATGAACATTATTTGGACTGATTTGTGGATATTAACGCAGTAGCAAGAAGATGATCGGAATCCCCCTTCGGAACTTGAAATATGGGTCCCCTCAACAAAAATTTAAAATTCGGCTTTGTAATTCGGCATTTATGTGATGTGATTTGATTTGATTTGATTGGTCGGTTAATAAAAATTATTTTTTTAAAAAGTGGCTATCTCGCACCTGGGGGGGCACCATCTGTGCCCCCCGCCCCCCTTGGGAGTGTGTCCGCCCTGGGTAGCATGGGCATAAGCTCTGCCCCACTTTCTTGTTCTTTCTGTACATCTTCTCTGGAGTGGCCCCAGGAGCCAATCCCCAGTGGCTAACTCACCTCCTTTCACTCTGATTGGCTCTGATCAGATGATGAGAATACCACTTCTTCAGTGGCTAAAAATGCTCCCCTTTCATGATGATTGGGTGACTCTAGGATGCTGGAGGCAGGGACCATGCTGCAGATGCTGGACCACTGTAGCTCTTGAGTGTGAGTCTGGGCTCATCACAGTCTTTTAGCCTAACCTACCTTGCAATATTGTTCTGAAAATGAAGCACATTTAAAACCCCAACCAGTTAATGTATGTTTGTAACAGTTCCATCATCCCATTGTTTTGGAAGAAGCTGGATCTTGTACGTCAGAAAAACCCATTTGCGGTGAAAGGTGAACGATAGTGCGTTTGACACAACACTAGCAGTATGCAGAGTATGGCTCTGCCATTAACACCAATCCATAGATTATAATGGATCTACTCTGAGTAGCGCTGAGTTGGATGCCACACGCTGTCAGCAGTGTGAAATCTTAGCTGGTCCCTAACAGCCTCTTGGGCAACATCAGCAGGAAAAGGCTGGAGATGCAATTCAAATTGTTTGAAGATTAAACTTCCCTGAGTCCTTCGGAATCCCCTCCCACGCCTTCTGCCTGCTTCATAGCAGAAATGTGAGTGGCCCATAGAAAACAATGAAAAGAAATCCAGGATCTGAGCACAAGCTGTGTTCGAGCTTCCGAGTATTCTTTGCCTCTTCCAAAACAAAACAAAAGTAGAATAAACCGAAACGCTTCAAAAAGACAGAATACAGAAATGTGAGCTTATGCTGGCAGGTATGATTTAAAGAAAGTTCTTAAGCAATTATCATCATCATCATTATTATTATTATTATCTGCTGTTCACCAGAAGGTCCTAGGGCAGGTTACAGCAATATAAAATGCAGCATTAAAAGAGGTGTTTTTTTGTGTTTTTTTAAAATGACAGTCAGAACTAGAACAGATCCTAAAAATGTATAATCTTAAGTGTCAAAGGCCAGGAGAAAGGCCTGTATCTTCAGGATACATCAAAAGCTGTACAATGAAGGTGCTGATAGACTTATTAGTCACTTGCTATTCTAGTCCATTTCCCCCACGATGCAGGTTAAAAAAGAAACTTGAGGCCAATAGCCCCACATGATGCGCCCTCTGTCTCTGCAGTGATTTGAATTTGGGGTCTAGCACTGATTCTGCCTTAGGTGCTGCTTACACTGGCCGATGCAGAGACCCAATTCTTACACACTGTAGTTTCACAAGCATGTATTTTTAAAGCAACAAAACAAAGAGTCTTCTGGCTGGGCTATAAGTAATAAAGTTGTTGTTGCTGTATCTGTGGCGCAATGAATCAGTGTGTCTGGCTGCCAACCAGAAGGTTGGTACTGTAGTTTGAGCCTGCTCAGGGATGGCTGTGGGCAGGATTCCCTCACTGCAGGAGGTTGAACTAGATGACCCTCTGGGTCCCTTCCAATTCTATGATTTTCTGAGTGTGCAATAATAGTGGGGTCAAATGGCCATGCCGAGTGAACTGCGGCAGTTCAATTAAACCTTAAATATTTGCAAAATAAACACAGTGACCATTCACAACAGCAGTGCTTGGTTGTTCTTGATTTGCCGTGTTAATTAATCTCTAATGGGATACAAAGCCATCGCCTCTATTCAAGCCCAAACAGATAGAATAAAACTCTGTGCTACATTCTAATTCGGCTCTTTTGCACTGGAATGTTTCCCTTTAAAATTCCTCCGGCAGACAAGGGCAATGTTCTAGTCTGCTGTGGAATGTCTTCTTGGGAAACTGAAATGCTCCCCCACTGATTTCTAAATGTAGACATTCCTTGTATCATTTTTGTGCCTGCCTGTCCTTTTTTGCACAGAGAGACCAACATGTTTTGTCATGAGCATTGCTGGCAGGTGACAGAGGAAGATGAGCAGCTGGACGAGTCCTTGATGTCATGGCTTTAGTTGCTGGGTCTTGTAATCATGCTACCCAATATGGGGGGGGGGGGGACGGCAAGGCAGGCTCCAGTTAGTTGAATCTTCCATGATTGCGTTTCTGTTGTTGCTGATAAGTAGCTGTTTTTGATTAGGACAAAATCTGTAGACAAGTACAGATCTCCTAATCCCTCTCCAGTCTCCACCACAAGGCCTATAAGAGAGAATTATTGTTGAGGGTGGGCAAAGATGTCCACTGGAATGCATTTAACTGGGATGTGGACTTAAGAACAAATGATGTTTTGTCACACCCCCACAAAGCCCCATCTGCACTTTACGCTTCAAGTACAGTGGTACCTCGGGTTAAATACTTAATTCGTTCCAGAGGTCCATTCTTAACCTGAAACTGTTCTTAACCTGAAGCACCACTTTAGCTAATGGGGCCTCCTGCTGCTGCCACGCTGCCGGAGCACGATTTCTGTTCTCATCCTGAAGCAAAGTTCTTAACCTGAGGTACTATTTCTGGGTTAGCGGAGTCTGTAACCTGAAACATATGTAACCTGAAGCATATGTAACCCGAGGTACCACTGTTTCATACCACTTTAAACCGTCACAGCTCCCCCCCCAAAGAATCCTGGGGACCATAGTTTTTTTTAAGGGGGCTGAGAGTTAGTTAGGAGACTCCCCACCCCTCACAGACTACCATTCCCAGATTTCCCTGGAAAGAGGGACTGAATAATAGAGCTGGAAGTGACCACAAGTCCAGCACTCTGCAATGCAGAAATCTTTCACGCAATGTGGAACTCGAACCCTGGACCCTGAGATTAAGAGTCTCGTGCTCTACTGAGCTATCCCTCAAGGGGATTGTCAAACCACTCTGGAATTTATAACAGGGATGGCAATACACTGGTCTCCTAACAACGCCCTTAACAAATTTCAGTTCCCGAGATTAATTGGGGAACAGCTATGATTATTTATAGTAATATAATACTACTTCGTCGGTATAGTGCATATGGGATCACAAAGCCGGTTCCTGGTACTTTTCATGTTATGTTATAAAATAATACCCTTTTCTGATTATAGGGCAGCTGAGAATTGTTAGGAGACCCTTTATCCCCGCACAGAGCTATAGTACCCACAGTTTCCTAAGAAGACGAAGTGATTGTTAAACCGCTCCGATAGCTAGTAAATTAGCACATGCGAAGTGTATGCAAATTCCAGCCCCGGGCCTGTGCCCCTCCTCCCTCCCAGCCCTTGAAGGACCTAGGACTAGGTAAAGAAGGAGCTGCTTGGATCTTAACCTTACACCGAAAAGTGAAAAGCGCGCTGGAGAAAACTCCCCGGGCGGACCTGGGTCAGCGCGAACTAAAGCGCCTGCTCGGGGCCGGAACTGTCAGCTCTGAACTCGGCTTGTTAAGAGATCAATGGCTTCGGCCGGCTCGCAGGCAAAGTGCCCGGGGAAGCGCGCAGGAGCTCCTTGGAGAGGCCGGGCGGGACAAGCGTGGACAAGACGGGATGAAAGCGCTGGAGACGCGGTGCAGGTGTGAGCGCGCGTCGGAGAGCCTTTTGCACGCACCGCTGGCTGTTCCTTTGGCACGGAGGCGCAAAGCTCTCCTGGCTGGGCTGGGGCAAGTCGTAACTCTGGGCCCGCGCGCGTCACTGGGTAGCCAATTTTAAGGCGTCCCTTTTCCTGTTCCTGGCGGAAAGGAGCGCTTCTAAAGAATGCTTTGCTTCTGTGTCGCATGGTTCAATTCTTCAAAGCGCTTCACAGCTCTTGTATAAATCATTCACCTCGGCTTTTTCTTCATCTTCTTTCATTAAAAAAACACAAAAACTCAAACGGATCCCTGGAAGACGGATGGGCTGGTGTCAATGGCAGATGGGTGCCAGTGAGAAACGAGAGTTCACGTGGAGGAGATGACGCAGAAGGGATGTGTGTTTGTGTGTGTGTGTGGTGCCCGTCACCCCGCACCCCATATGCAATTCAAAATAAAAACAATTCTAAACTGTAAAATAACTTTTTGTTTTTTGAAATGATGCAAAATTTAAAGATATGCTGATATTAATATAACTTCTTTCCGGATGTCTACTTGGATGCTTAGAAAATAATAATCAAGCGTCGTTCTTTTTTTATTAAAAAAAACCCTTTTTTGTGTACATGCCTTTTTTTTGTGTGTGTGTGTGTGTGTGTGTACATGCCTTTGCTTTCTGGGTGCCCTAAGCACGTGCTTCAACTGCCTACTGAGTAGTCCTGTTGGTGCTGATGTAGTGAAGGCCACCGATGACTTGGAAGGTGGAAAAGGCAAATTCAAGATGCAACATGCCTTCCTCCTCTAAAAAGGAATTATTTTGAGGCCCGAGTTTATCTGTGATGAGGAGGAATAGCCAAATTTCGGGGACTGTACTGCAAAAATTTTGCTCATTGCAAAAATGCTGCTATCGCTAAGAAGCAACCAGCTATATCACGGCCTCCTGCCCTCTCCCCGCCATCTGTTGTAATAAATGTCAGACATATCAATTAGGCACCCACAGCGTACATTTAAAGGACTCTTATACCGCTTTAAAAGTCATGGAGAGAATCCTGGGCATTGTAGTTTAAGGATACTTGGAACTGTAGGCGTGTAAGCTCAACACCAGGCTTCCTCAACTTGGCCCTCCAGATGTTTTGAGACTACAGTTCCCATCACCCCTGATCACTGGTCCTGCTAGCTAGGGATCATGGGAGTTGTAGGCCAAAAACATCCGGAAGGCTGAGTTTGAGGAAGCCTGCTCAACACCCTTCACAAACTGCATCTCCCAGGATTCTTTGGGGGGAAGTCAGGATTGTTAAAGTGTAGAAGAATGCTTTAAATGTATGGTGTAAATGTGGATTTATACCTAGCCGGATGGGTGGGGTATAAACAATAAATGTTGTTGTTGTTGTTGTTGTTGTATTTGCGCAGCAGGGGAGAGAGCGCAACTCCATGGAAAATAGGGGTGGGAAGTTGCTAAAAATAAAAGAAAAGACGAAATTCTCTTTCGCTTGTATATGTTAAAAATGTTAAAACTTAAAAAAACGTAATGGGGGGGGGGAGAGAAAGCATCGCTCGACATGTCAGAGCATGTGGGTGCTGCCCTCCCAGATCAGGGAACAAGATCTAGCTCAGGCTCTGTGACCCTAAATGATGTTGGAACTGCTGGTACCATCACCGCAGACCGGCATTGGCTCCCTGTGCCTGATCTAGCTCCTCCCGGTCCATCACTGGATCACCTTCCCCACCATCTAGCAGCTGGCTGGAACTCTGCGCAGTCCTGCAAAACCTTCCCTCCGCCCAGAGGACTCGCTCCAGTGAGACGTTGCATGAGCCCTGACAGTTTTAAAGTATCTGCAACACGAGAGAGACGCAGCAGCCCAAGCGGAAAGCTCCCATAGGTGGATTGCATTCCATGCCTCCGCTGGGGGGATAAAATAAAAATAAATCTGACTTCATTCAGTAGCAATCAGCAGCCCCACGTGACCCCCCAGGAAGATGACATCACCCTCATTCTAACCGCTCTCTCTCCCCACTTCCCCGTTATTTTAAAGGGGCAGCGGGAAATTGCGTCCTCCTCTCTGTTTACTTTAGGAGGTATTTTGCTGCTATTTCACGGGCTGGATTCAGTCACATACCGGCAAACTCCAGGCGAAGAACTACAGTGGATTTAGTGCTCCTGAGAAGCGAAGTCGCTTCCCTCCAACAGATCAGACTTTTTATTTTGGCGATAAGGAGTGCCATGAGAAAAATGCACTGGAAAGCGATGTCCTATTATAATATATAGTCTCCCTGAATGAATGTTTCAATAAACGTCGTCGGGACAGCGGGTGGCATCCAACTAAGCTCGCCTCAGAGTAGATCCATAATAATTAAGGTCCCATTTCAGACACAACCCCCGCCCCAGGCCACGCACCTGCCTACTGCAAGCCCCAACGCGCTTACCAGTGGTGCGCGCTGCCTCCCTTGAAGCGTAAAAGCAGCGCCATGCAGCCGCGCTCCCCCCACCGCCAAGGCTGGATTTCTCATTCAGCTGTCTTAATACACGAGCTCCCTCTCGTGGCTGCTGCCTGCCTGTTTTCTAACCCACCACGAGCCCCTTACTATCTCGATTTTTGCCCGCAAAACCCAGGCAGGAGAGCGTCTCACTAAGCACCCCCATTGCAAACCTCTAGCAAAAGGGACCAGAGAGGGTTCGTCGTCCTGCGCTTTTGACAAATATACCCGACTGGGAGAGCAATAAACAGGTGATGGAGGCGACCTGTGGCTTTCTGTTGATCTCCAACTCCCATTTCCCGCTGCCGATATGGACACCACAACCACCAGGGGCAATTACTTTGAATAATAGAAGTGACTTCACAGCAATTCTGGGGAGCTGAGAATGACAGGCCCCGCCTTCCACCCCCTTTCTTTTCTACATTGCTTTCCTCCCTCTCATGCAGACGTTGCAACTACAACTCCATCGTCCCTGGCTGTTGTCAGTGTTAGTTGGGGCTGATGGGAGTTGTAGGTCTAATAACACCTGGAAGGCTGCAGGTTTCTCATCCTTCAAATTGTTGCTAGATGCAGCCTCGAGGACTCCCGAGTTTCATACCGTTAAAAAAGCTGAGCGCCACCCGCACTCTCTGCCGAGTGGTAGCAAAAATCCCAGGTGGTTCCAGGGGTCTGTGCTCCTTCGGAGAACTGAAGATGCAGCGGAGGTGTCGTAGTTTTAAGAAATATGATTTATTCACGTATTTTGACTTTCAGTCTGCATGGAGGGAGCCTAGAACTTACAGCATGGTCGTCTCAAGAGGAGCTTGCAATGCAGGGATCTTTTGCCCAATGTGGTCAACACCTCCGTTGTCAGCTGGGCGGAGAGAACGCAGGATGGTTGGGATCACGGATGGGGAAAATCTGTGGTCCCTCCAGATGTTAAGGGGAGGAAAGCAACGTTGAAAGGAAAGTATCCTTAACAAATGAGGGAAGGCAGGCGACCTCTATTAGTGATGAATAGAGCGAACAACCTTGGAGGCGGGAAAGGAAGGAGATGGTCCTTAGGGTCTGTGGCCTCACTGGTATTCCTCGCGGTTGCAAAACGCTAAAGTAGCCCTGGCTGTCGACCCTCCAGGTGTTGTTGGACTACAACTCCCATCAGCCCCAGCAGGCGGTTGGTCAAAGCTCACGGATGATGGGATTGTAGATTGTAGATAAAACCACATGGGGCGGTTTGCAAAAAAGCTAAACCAATAAAATCATCACGCACAAAAAATTGCAAGCATAATTTAAAAACCGTACAGAAAGTTTAAAACCACAATAAAATTAGACCAAAACGAATGAAAACTCGTGCAATTTTTCTAAGCATCCGGGCACGCTTTATTAAATAAGAATATTTTCGGCATGCGCCGAAAAATGTGCAGTAGAGGAGCCTGCCTCCTATCAATGGGCAGGGAGTTCCAAAGTCCAGGTGCTTGGAGCCTTACCGCACATCTGGAGGGCTGGGTAAGGCTGCGCCAAGACAAGTAGGAAAGTTCACTTAGTCCTATGTAAGTAATCCTACATTGCCCATGGGCCATTGAATTTCATGGGGCCTTGAACCCGAGTGCGCACGTTCAGGGCTGCGCTGCAAAATCCACATTTATTTACTTATTTCTCCCTCCTTCCCCTTCCCCGCATCGAATGGGTTAATTACTATGCGCATGCGCAAGGCCTCCCCACGGCGCGGCAGCTGCCTTTCTTACGCAAGCGCGGCAACACGACTGGGAAAAGCCGCCCAGGCCGCGGCTTGCTAGACGGGCATGCGCGGCGCGCCGGCCACCGAGCCCCTTCTCCGTCACCCGCCCATGCGCAGAGCCCATGCGCAGAACCTTCGCTGTCGAGGCCCTAACGGCGCACGCGCAAGGGGGGACGAGCGCTGAGCGGGCAGGCCCCGCCTGCTTTCCCTGTCTGCGCTTGCGCAGCGAGGGTCCTGTGGCTAGAGGGGACCGGGCTGCCCCTCCCCAAATCCGGAGGAACCGGTGAGTGTTGGGTGTGCGTGTGTGCGCCCGCCCGGTGCATTATGGGAAAGGGGCAGATTTTTTTGTTTGTTTGCCTGCCCTCCCCCCATGGTCCTTAATACCCCCCACCCCACTAGTCGCAGTGCAGCATGGGATTGTGGGCTCCTCTTGAGGTCCATGAAGCCCCAGAGCATTATGGGGACTGAACTCAGCTCTGTTCCATACCTGGGGCGAGGGGCTGACCTCTGCTCTCCCAGAGCATTATGGGAGCGGTCCATACAGTGTCAGCCCCAGGGCATTGTGGGATGAAGTCTCCCCTTGATCCTCCACTCTTTTCCTCCTCCTCCTGTGCTCTCTGGGGGTCTCTCTTTCTCCCCACCCCACAAATCCCCCAGGCCCCCAGTGCCTCCATCCATGTTGCGAGCCGAGGAGCCTGTGCCAGACATTTATAACTAGTTCTGCTCCTCTTCCAGGTTTGGGCTGCTGGCGTTAAGGGGTGATGTCTGAAGTACCCAAGCATGTGGAAGCTGGGAGCTCAGAGGACATTGGCTTTGAGGAGGAGAAGGAGGAGGAGGGGACTTCGACCGGTGAGCAAAGTGTAGTGAGCTGCAAGGGAGAACTCCCGTTTGCTTTGAGGGGGTGGGAGGGTAGGGTATGGGGGTGCTTGAGTTTCCCTCCCTCCTGCCAGTAGGCCTGTGTGGTCAGGTAGAGGGCACCTTGGTTTGTACGTAGGTGCTAGACCCACTGCGCCAGGGGGATTGGGAGCATAATATAATTCTTCCCTGCCAACTCGCAGATCTGCTGGCCCGCCTAAGCAGAGCAACAGTTGATTTACGTCCAAGGGCTGCCCTGAGAGTAGTAAGTCTCCGTTCGCATGAGAGGGCTGGATGTTAGCATCCTGTAGAGCTAGGCTGCATAGGGTTTGGTGTTACCGTTAACTTTCCCACTGGCTGCAGTTGTTTCAGCAGGGCACTAGGGGGTGGTATCCTACAAGAAAGGGCGCAGGCAGCTGCAGAACCTTTAGGAGAACATTTGTCCCACTCTCCTAACCACGGTACTGCTGAGTACTAAGCATTGGTTTGTTTTCATCGTAGGTATGATCCACACACACGCACACCCCACCTGTTGTTAGTGGGCTATTCTTGGATTGGCTCCCAAGAGCTGAGTAGCACAGCTGTTTAAATAAGCCCATTGAAGCTACTAGTATTTTGTTAGTAATCTACTGGAGTGCTTTGTGTCTCCATTCTGGCTGTAGAGCAGAGGAGGTGCCTTCTTTTGCAGGCAGCATGGAAAGTGCAGAATAGTAGCTTCTTAGCAGACTGCGGGGCACGGGGGGGGGCTGCGGGGGAAAGAAAAGCCTTCTACCAAGTGGGTTCGTGGAGAAGGGGCAGAGTATAAGGCTGTCAGAGGTAGTATCCATCCCACTTGCAAGAAACCTTGGAAGGGGAGAGTGCTCTTGTGCTTGGATCCTTCTCCCTGGTTTCCCATAGCCATGTGGTAGGCCATTGTGAGAACAGGATATTGGGCTAGATGGGCTCTCTGTATATTATATTCTCTCAGTCTATAGACCTCTTGGCCTTGAAATCCCAGTTCCCAGTTGAAAGGTGACATTTGTGGAGCAGGAGTAGGCACTGAGGAGGAGATACTTGTCTTTATGGTGATCTCTTCTGGATGGCTGGCAGTGGTGCCATATGTTCATGGCAGTGCTCAATTTGTGGCCAGCCTCTATAGCATACAGATGTATGATTTGCTTGGTTCATTGTGAGCTCTCTTTGACCAAAATCATCATTTTGATTCATTATTTAGGCAAATTATATTACCATGGAGCTTAGGGTGGGCTTAGAAAAGAAATATATGCAATAACCCAACAACAAACTTGCAAAGGAAAGTGTAAGTGAATGAAGCTTCACAGATGATGAGGGTTTTGAATTTGGGTCTCTCTCTCTCTCTTCCCCCCTTCTCCTCCCAGTCTAAACACAGCAGTTGAGCCACACTGTCTGCTCATCCATCCTATGTCAGGGACCCAGTTCAGACACCTAGAACTTGTAAAAAGGCAGTTGCAGAATATACATTTTTCTCCTGGAAACTTGTGCAAGCCTGAGCATCATTCAGGAGTGGAAAACTCTTGTGAGACCTTTTGATGGGCTTTCATTTATGATGGCTAGCCTTTTAGTGGAATGAGAGTTCAGGCAAGGTTGTGTGTCTTTCTTAGTTCTGCACAAGCACATGGAAAGTGTGACAATGGGAACTAGATACAGATTTTAGTGTTCTCAGTCTTGGCTTTATTCTTTCCATTTTTAAAAAGAAGAAGAGGAACAAATATCTAGTCCCTTAGGTTGAGAACATGGCCTTGGAAGTGTCTTTTGTCCTGGGGAGCCCTGCCTTAAAATCTCAGCTCACAAAATGGTCTCAGCCTCAGTTTGCCACCTGCAAAATAGACATGGGTGTAGCCAGAGTTGATTCAAGGGCTGTTGAGTATCTTGACTACTTACTTATTTTGGTCAATATCCTACTTCATTGTAAAGGTGGGCAATGTGTTACACAAAGGAGCTGCATTTTTAAGAATATATTTTGAAGGTACAGCATTTCAAATGAGACCTTTGGTGGATAAAGGTGCATTATATCTATATAAATAGGTGCATGAAACATATTTGAGGTTTCAAAAGAGTAGTTATTCATGAGGGATGTGGAGCTATGTGTGTGGAAAGGGGAGGGAAGGTGGAGATAGAAAATCATTAATGGATTGGGATATTTGGGATGAGTCCTTACTTTTGAATGCATCTGTATTCAAGCCTCCTCCTCTGATGAACTAGCCTAGAGCTGTCTGAGGCTCTGCCAGTTATGGACTGTGATTCTTCTAGGTGTCTCTACCATGCACGAGGAAGAGGATGAATCTGAAGCTACATCCGTATCTTCTGGAGACAGCAGCCCCCCTACCCCATCAGCCCAAAGCCTTCCAGGTACAAGGACATGAAAACGTCATATCACAAAGCAAGCTTTCCCTGTAGCAAAATGGCTGAACTAGACTGTTAAAGGGGGGTCTTGTGTTGGAGCTGGGGCTCAATTTGACTCTGGATTTAGCCACCCATTCGCAGTGCCAGGGATTCAGCTCAGCAGCCTCATGCTAGTCATGAAGAAAGCACCTCTGAGCATTTCAGGAGTGCATTTCCAACACCGCTAACTGTAGCCCTTGCCATCCTTCCGCATTTTAGAGGAGTTAGCAGAATTTCTGGATTACAGGGTGCGGCTTTCAGGCTGCCTTTGAGCCCCAGAACTTCCCCAGCCCCAGGATTTGACTTCCCCCACCCGCTTTGAATGACAGAAGCTGATATGCAAAATAAATAAAATAAATATTAGGCAGATGGGAAGAACTTGCTGTAACTCCGAAACCTGGAGGTGGTGTTGTTGTTTGTACCTCACTGCATTTCCCCCCTTCCTCTGCCTCTTTTATTAGGCCCCCGGAGCAAAGAGCCGCAGGCGACAGTTGGGGAACTGGTGGACGATGGCGGAGAGGCTGGGCAGGATCAGCTGAGCTCCTCGCTGGCTCCCAGCCCTGAGTGGCATGAATGCCCCGAATGCGGCCGTGGCTTCGGCACTTCACGCGCCCTGAAGGTGCACCGCAGCTACCACGAGGGGCGCAAGCGGCCACACAGCGGCTCCTCTTCCTCCAAACAGCCACCGCCTCTGATCCTGCCCAGTAACCCCAACAACCCAGAAGGGCGAGCAGCCCCCACCTCTGGCCGGGGCCGAGTTTTTCACTACATATGTGCTGAGTGTGGCCTGGGCTTTGCCTCCCCGGCCACCCTGGAGGGTCATCGCTGCGAACACGGCTGGTGCTGGAGCCCCCCGCCCGCACCCCATAACAAGCTCCCCCCCTCCCCCACCCTGAGGGAGGCCAACGGGGACCAGGACACAGATGGGGCCGACGGACCGTACCACTGCACCGAGTGCCCGGGGGAGTTTGGCTTGGTGTCAGAACTTCACGAGCACTACATGCTCCATGCCCGAGGAGAGCTGTAGATCACATCTTTTCTGCCCCTCCCCAATCCCACTTCCTAATCTAATCAGTGGCGCCTGCCAGGACTCTGGGAGAGAAGTGAAGCCTCCTTCATTTTTTTATTTTTTGAGGTCCTCTTTTAGTTTCATTCTATTTTTCTAAAATGAATTTAGCAGGAGGGGAGGAGAGTTGGGAGGGTACGCGGTTGCTACGGAGCAATCCCTCCTGCATGCCCTGCCTCCTCAGAGTAAGTGTAGCAAACGCAGGAGCCCCCTGCCCACCTGCAGGGAAGGGAGCTGTTGCCTTCTCCCTGCCCCCAGAGAGAGGAGCTATCTACGGGTCTGGCGCCTGTAGGTCCTAGCTAATTATTCCCCAAAGGGAGCCCATGTCAATGGGCTTTTTGCAATGGAAGCACTAAGCAGTATTGGGCGTGTTGCTCATCTTTAAACAATTGAACCAGGAGAGATTTTATTCTAGGCCTATCTCAAGGTTGAGGGAGGAGGAAGGGGCTGGGTTAGAACGGCATGTCCTGTGCACAAGGGTCCTGCATCCCTGCTGCCCACCCTCTTACTGTGTAGACAGTCCCCTTCCCAATTTAGGTGCCCATCCTCTCGCTTGTCACCATCTTTGGCACCTGGGTGGTCCATGCTGAACCGAAGCTGTGTTCCGTCTGTCTCTGTGTGTGCGTGTGCGTGTGTTTGGCTTTTTAAAGAGAGCGGCTTCTAGAGACGGCATCCATTCAGCATCAATCATGAATATTAACAACCTCTCTTCGCAGTAGCTGGGAGAGTCGGTTTAATAAAAGTGATTCTGTATGTGTGACTTCTCACTGTGCCCATCTCTCTCTTCGTGAATGGGGGAAGCTCAATGGCACTGGATTTGGCTGGCTGCAGAGATGGATGAGGGGCTATTTCAGTTGCAGGGGAACTCTTTGACCCTCCGGGTGTTGGCTGAATGGCAACTCTCATCAGCCCCAGCAAGCATAGCCAGGGATGAAGATAGTTGTAATCATCCCTTTCCACTGGCCATTCTGGCTGGGGCTGATGGGAATTGGAGTCCAACACTATTTAGAGGTCCCCAGTCCCTGCTAGAGAAACAACTAGAGCACCATGCAGCCTTAACGTCCAGTTCCTGTTTGAAAGCTGCTTTTGGAGTAGCCAAAAGTACAGGGAGAAGACACAGAAGCAAAGGGAAGTTTACATACCACCAGTAAAAATGCTACCATCAATGCATGGAATCTAAGTGACAGAACACAAAAAGGAAAAGAGATGGGGACAGAAGAGGAACAATTTCAACTCACACACCAATTATTAAGTTAAATAGCTGGAATTGGGAACAGAAGAGCCAAATGGAACTGGTCTCCCAGCAGAGCTGATGGAGGAGCCCTCATTCCCTTTATTCCATCTGCTGCAGCCTGATGGCATAGCTGCTGGCAGGTGACAGTTGAGGGAGAAGCTAAATAGATCTGTAGTATAGCTTAGGAGCTACAGTTCTGCCATATGTGTGGTGGTTTAGCTCTGTTAGGAAAGATGAACACACTTGTCTCATGCACTTGAAGCACATATTAGGAAATAGCTGTGTTGCTTTGGCATAGCTCCCAGGTAGCTCTTGATACAGAATGAACGTACTCCTTTATTTTTAAGTTTTAAAAAAAGCACTGAAACTGTTGGGCAAACATTTCCTTCTGTCAGAATTTGTTAATTCAGATGCACATATTTACAGCTCTGTTGGGTGGCAAATCCCTTCACTAAATGCTATATCCTTAAATACTTGAATACTATATCCTATATACTTCCTGTCAAGCAAGTCCCAGTATGTGGGATTTCACAAGTAAATTTGCATAGCTAGGGATGATGGGAGTTGTAGGCTTTCCTCCTCCCTGCTCTATAGCTATACCTTGAAAGTTTGCAAGGCTGTCTCAAGAGTGATTTGTTTCTCCCGATTGCCCAGATTTTCATGAGACTTCCATCATTCCAGTTCCTTATTCTAGACAGCAACTTCAGTTTTCAGGATAGGTATGACAAACAAAATAGCACTCACAATATTAGTTTTTATTGTTTAAAAAACATTGCTTTTTGGAGCTGCCTCCAATTGTTTTTAACAAAGAACCAAACCGTGTGTTGTTAAACGTGAACCAAAACGGATTTAAATCTGCTCAGTTCTACCTTCATTATAAAACATGTTCTGGTTTCACCCATTGCTGGGTAGAACAAACAGCTAGCTGCAGGCTTACATGAAGAGCCACGCGGTTGACCACAGTGAGAACAGGATGCTGGGCTCCGATGGACCATTTGCCTGATCCAGCAGAGCTCTTCTGTTAGGAAGTGGACTCTGGCTCCTGGAAGCTCATGCCACAATAAAAAAACACTTGTTGGTCTTTTAAGGCACAAGAAGACTTGTTGATTTTGGTGCCAACAGTCCTAACACATCTAACCCCTCTGGAAATTGTTTACCATGTAAGAAGGGGTATAATGATGAGGACGACTATTAAATACTTTTCTACTCGCTCCCGAAACGAGCAATCATGCAATTTGTGGAAAGTATGAGAACCCTCATCATGATCTCACGGTCCGCCCCCTGTGTGTGTGTGTGTGTGAATGAAAACAAGGAAAACGGGGGCTAAAATAAGAGAAAGTTGCATGGTAGAGCTTGCCCTGGCTTTGGCACGGCAGTAGGAACAACCAGGCAGAATTTCAGCCGGTGAAGATTTCCTTCCTATCCGCAGCTTTGGGCAAAGCTTCACCTGCTGAACATCTTCGCGTTATGCTTGCTATTAAAAGCGCAGAGCTGGCCTCGGCTGATCAAGCCAGCGCATGCGCCCCGCCATCTCAGCCCTCCACTTCGCGGCTGGGATCGGAAGCAGGAAAGAGCATGCGCATAAGCCCCCTTTTTCAACAAAGCGACGAAATCTATGGTCGTCACCATAGACTGTCTTAGACGAATCGGAGGCGACCTCATTGAGGAGGCTGCGCTTGCCCCATAACTCTATGGTAAAAGAGCCTTTCCACCTATCGTCAACGTCTTATTTGGACGCATCGCGCCCCTTACGTCACATCAGGGCTGCCTAAAATATTGCCTGAAAAAATAATCACGGAGTGTGCCCGTCTAGGGACCACAGAGGGGTAAACGCTTGAAGACTCCCCAGTCCCAGTCTATTCCTGTATCTATGCTACGAATAAAAAGCTGCGGCGGCAACGAGATAAAAGTATGCGCATGGATATTAGTCAGGCGGATGTGTAGACATCACTCTACAGGAAATTGGCGAGGAGGAGGAAGGTCCCACACAGTGTGTGTGGGGGGGAAATGTAGAGAAAGGTGACGGTTGAGATGTGTATTTTTATTTTTTCGCGTTGACAGGGATTGACAGGGGAGCCGAGCGTGCGTTTTCGAGAAAGGCTTTTCGTTGTTTCTTAAGGGCCGGGAGTGGAGAGATGGCAGAGGGAAGTGCCTGAGGAGGAGCTGGAACAGTCGAGGGACTGGCGAGAGGCGAAGGTGGGAGACCTGACCGCGGGCGGAGGGAGGAAGAGAGGCTGCTCTAGGCCGAGCCGCCGCGTAGGTGGGGAGGGGGCGCCGCTAGCCTAGAGGAGGGGCTCGGAGCCTATGGTTCCCACAGCAGGCCATTCGGGGACTCTAGCTCCCGGCGGCGGCAGCCAGCGGGACCCATGGCTGGGGATTGTGGGAGTTGTAGTCCCACGAGGGCTCTCCCCCTCCCGGCTTGGTGGAGGTGATATTGTGGGGCTAGAGGTGAGGTGGGCGGGAGGGAGGAGGCTCTTCTTAGGAAACGGTCAGCGAGGAGGAAATGTTGGGGGGCGGGCCCAGATGTATAGCACTTTATTAGTTAAAACAACCTTTCAAGCCACGTTGGGTGGTGGTTGTTGTGTTTATTAGCATGTTATATATTTTCACATTTTCGGTTCGTAAAGCACCATGTGATCCTTGGATGAAGTATGTTATAGAAATATAATAAATAATACAATGGTGATGATGATTACCAAAAATCTGGTAAGCTGGTCCATAAAACAAGTGGTAATAGCCTCTTAGAATGTCCGCATATACTTTTGCTAGCACAACAGCGGTCTTAAAAAAGCAACAACTGTATGCTTGTGCATGTATTTTTCCTTGGAAGACAACACTTTGAGTAACGTTTGCACAGAAACAGCAACAACAAGAGTCCTCCTGTCTTCTGGTTTACAGGTGCCTCTTCACTTGGTTGACCTGAAACAGTATGTTGAAAAAAGCTGCTTCGCTAACTGCTCTTTACATTTCCTGGAAGCAGAAGCTATGAGGAGCATCTCCTTTAAAAAGGAGTGCATCACACATGGGCATAACCTGAGTTGTGTATGAGGAAGGGAGCCAAGCGGGATTGGGGTTTTTGCTCACAACTTGGTTTCATTCTTACAGGTAGCAATGGCTGACTCTTCTGCAGTCGGTACGCCACTGTTGACTGAGCATCTTCTTACAAAGGTGTCGGACTGCAATGGGCTTGATGTTTCAATAGCCCAGGAGCATCCAACAATCTGTAAGCCAGAGCCTATCTGTGTAGAGGAGGTGAGCTCCACAATGCTGCCCCCTGTCTGCCCAGGCACAAATGACAGAGAAAAAGGACCCCCTAGCAATAGTACAATCTGTGAGTACTGTGGTTTTGTTCTTGCTTTTAGAATTTAAACAATTCTCCAGCTGGTGAAAGAGAGTTTCTAGCACCCTGTTATAAACAATTATTAAAAAATTGCATTAGAAGTCATAATCTTCTTCCTTTTATCATGTTTCTCTGCCAGCATTCTGAAATATGAACAAGGATGTGACTGCATGGCATCATGAGACACAGGTTTTCTGCATGGCACCATTTGCAGTGCAGACAGCCAGCTCTAGGTCTATGCATGCAACCCAATGTGTTGCCCAGGTTCTGCAGTTTCCTAGCTTTCATTAAAAAACGAGGGGAAAGCTTCTAGCTCTCATGACTGTAGAGGAAAATCTTAAAAACTGCTACTTAATTTAATGCTCACTTTCAGGTAAGTAACCACCGCCTCTAGGTGAGGAATGCCTGTCCACTTTTATTGCCTATGTCACTTGCATCCTGATAGTTTGCATGCGAGTCCCTTCTCCTAATCAACTTTTCATTCTCCCTTTATCCCTGCCGGGGAACAGCCAAAGTGTTCCACAGTGATTACTTGACTGGAGAAACACAACAGTGTGTGAAGGCAGCTGCTGCTTGGTATCTCCCCTCTCCCCACTTCTGCTATCAGATGTCACACTTCATCAACAGCTGATGAAGGAGAGTGTAGCTTATGCAACCACCTCCTCAGTAGTTTGTGTACAATGCTGACTTAAGCCCACATAGCTTGTGTAGTCCAAAGGTTGTGAGAATGAATAGTGTCCTGCTGATGAAAAACTGATTGCCAGGAAGGCAGACTTTTCATGGCATTCTCTCCACCTGTTTCTCCTTCTCTTCAGGGAGGTTCTGCAAAGTAAGCTGCAGGTTCTGCCAGGCCCTGCTTGATTCCCTCTGTTTCTCTTCATCTCCAGACAGCCTGGGTGCCAATCAGTGTTTTCACTGCCTGATCACCTTCCCAGATGAGAAGTTCAAGGAGCGGCACATGAAGCGGGAACACCCGGAGGACTTCGTTCAGGCCAATCTGCGTGATGCTCTTTTTGTCTGCTTCATATGTAACAAGGCCTTTGAGAGTTCACGTGCGCTCATCTGCCACCAGCGGGGCCATGCGCCAGCCCCGCCCTCCGACCCTACTGACTCCTTGCGCCCTACCTTTGACTGCCATGATTGTGGCCGCCGCTTCAGCCAGTTGGCCAACTACCAGCGTCACCGCCTGGGCCATGCCGCGGGCCACAGCTTGCCTCACCAGTGTCCGGACTGTGGCAAGAGCTTCCGACAGCTTTCAAACTTGCGTCGGCACCAGGCTTTCCACCAGCAGACCCAGGAGTTGCTGCCCTCCCTCCCCTATTCCTGCATGGACTGTGGGGAGAGCTTTAACCAGGAGGCTGGGCTGCATGAACACTACATCCGCCATGCCCGCGGGGAGCTCTAATATAAGCTGTAGCTTCGTATCTATTCCCTGGATCCAGATGGAGGCAGGAAGATGACAGGCATTGCAGTGTGAGATGCAGAGCCAGAATGAGACAAGGAACAGGATTAATGGGTCCTTTCTGGTTCAGAAACAGAAGGGGGAAGCCGCTATTTTCAGGAGGTGTCACATCTGGTTTTGCTTCAGTCAGGAAGAATAGTTGGTACAGGGATATATGCAAAGCTGTATTTTCCTTAGAGGAAGTGCTGTCTCCACAGAGTGAGGATAACTGAAGGACCGAGGATGGGAATAGTCTCTTTTAGGAGATGCTGACTTCCACCTAGTTCATGGCAAGATTTGCTACTGGTCAAAGGGGAGGGAAGCTTCCATCAGTATTTTGCCTTTTCTAGATGCTCGGCTGTCATGAAGGGCACACTTTTTGCACTCCCACCTGCCCAAGCTTGGAATTTCTGGGTAGCCTTGCAGAGAACCTGCTTGCTTCCTGCAGAAGGTTGGGAAAAGTTAAATGTTTGAGGGTGCAGAGTAGAAGTTAAGTCAGCTGATTAAACCCTACAAGTGCTTTTTTATAGGGAAAGGAGAATTCAAGTGAGAATATTCTCTTGCTTTTTAAACATGAACTATACACAGCTTTGGATTTGAGCCAACCCCTTCAGCTGTGAGTATCCTGATTGGATTCTCTACTTGTGAGAGTAAGGCTGATTGGGAGGCAGAATACCAGTGCTTTTCTTCTCTGGGGGGTACTTGAGGGTACACAGTACCGGCACCTTTTCTTTTCCTAGAAGAAAAGCAGTGGTTAAAAACATGGCACTTACTGTAACAACTTCATGGTGAATACTGACACCTTAAGAGGAAAAGCACTGCAGAAGACAATATAAATTACGTTCCACAGCTCTGTGTACAATGCCAGAAGCACCTCTTAGGCTCTCAATAGGCCATCAGTGGAGAATCTTTTTCCTGTTGATGGCTGCATTCCCTTGAGGGAGGGAGGCAGAGTCAAAAGTGGGCAGGGCCACCTCTCTTCTCTCCTTCCTTTTCCTTCCCCACCCAGCAGGCTGCTGGGGGAAGTACATTGTGCTTCCCAGAGATCTGAGCCAGTGTCTTGCAGAGTCTCTCTGCTACCTCCATCCATTTCAGCCTTCCTTGTGTATTTTCCCCCTTCCTGCCCTCTTTCCCCAGACATTAGGCTGCATGATACTCTGCTGAAGTCCGCCGATTACCCACTCTGGCAGGAAGGTAAACGGCGTTTCTGTGCGCTGCTCGGGTTCACCAGAAGCGGCTTAGTCATGCTGGCCACATGACCCGGAAGCTGTACGCTGGTTCCCTTGGCCAGTAAAGCAAGATGAGCGCCGCAACCCCAGAGTCATCCGTGACTGGACCTAATGGTCAGAGGTCCCTTTACCTTTTACCCTTTCTCCATCCCCCTCCTTGTCCCTTGTTACAGACTCCGCTAACCCAGAAATAGTACCTCGGGTTAAGAACTTTGCTTCAGGATGAGAACAGAAATCATGCTCCGGCGGCACGGCAGCAGCGGGAGGCCCCATTAGCTAAAGTGGTGCTTCAGGTTAAGAACAGTTTCAGGTTAAGAACGGACCTCCGGAACGAATTAAGTACTTAACCCGAGTTACCACTGTAGTTCTTACACTCCAGTTTGTTTGCTACTCAAGCATGGAACAGATTACGCTGGCTCTTCTGGCCAGTGCGATGTGCTAGAAATGTGACATCCCTATGCTGTCCACTTGGTGGCACTGCCAGCTAGAAATTGAAAGCATAGTCTCCATTCCAAGGCACCTAACACTAACAAATAAATCTACTTTGTACTGAGTCACTATATATACTGAGTCATTGGTCTGCTTGGTCCAGTACTGTTTTTGCCACCTGACATTTGAGAACATTCTCAAATCCCAGATCCTTTTAAACTGGTGATGTTGCAGATGGAACATGAGACCTTGCGTTCTCCCAAAACTGAGCTGTGAACACTGCTAAACCATGCTGGATCACATGGAATGGCTTTTGCTTGCCCAAATAGGCACTTAGGCTCCTCCTGCACTACAACCTGCTGTGTTATACAGCTTTAAATTGTCATGGCTTTACCCCAAAGGATCCTGGGAACTGTTGTTTGTTATGGGTGCTGTGAGTTGTCAGGAGATCTCTAATCCCGTCACAGAGCTACATTTCCTAGAGTTGACTAGGGAAAGGGATTGATTGTTAAACCACTCTGGGAACTATAGCTTTGTGAAGGGAATAGGGGTCTCCTCACAGCTCTCAGAATCCTTAACCAAGTAGGATGTTTTGGAGAAGAGCTATGACGGTTTATAGTAGTATAATACTGCTTATGGCACCTCAGATTCAGCTCCTGGCCCTTTTCATTTTATAATTTCCACCCTGGATAATAAAAGCAGCCCATGATTTCTTTCTTTCCTCACTAATGCAACTCTAGTAGTAGTAGTAGTAATAGTAGTAGTTAAAAATGGCTCTTCCCATTAAAATTAATTGTGTGGGTGTCTTGAGAGAGCTGTATCCCCATTTACAGCTTGTCATTGTCATTATTCATATATTGCTATAGGGCTATACAAGTACTCCTGTGCTAGAGGAGCACAGCAGAAAGCTCAGCATCTGAATTCACAAAATAAAACTGAAAAACGTTAACAATGATTTGCGTTCACATGTCTAATGTGGGATAATGAGTTGTTGCTCTTTACTCATTGATAACACAGGCACTAGCCAATAGGTGCCTGCCATACTCGCTCAGCCACATTCCACCCAGCACACAATGGATATTTTAGCGGGAGGAGGAAAATTGCTTAGCAATGAAATGTGTCTTAAAAGCAGGGAAGTATGCTGTGCCCATAAATGCTAGGGCTACTAGAAGTGTCTGGGTGCATGTCCCAGGTTCTGTCTTCATCCATGTTCAGGTAGGGCTTGGTGAAAGCCCTGTCTGAAATCCTGGAAAGCTGTTTCCCATCCATCTAGGCAAGACTTAACCGAGATGGACCATTGGTTCTGACTCTGTAGAAGGCAGCTTCCTATGCTCTCCATATTTGCCTGCGTGGGACTGTTTTGTTCTCCTTCCGCATGAACGAACAAGCCAGGAAGTCACAGTTAGAGACACACACACACACACACATTCCTTTCCAGATCAAAGCACACACAACCTGTTTTTTAACGTGCTTTCTTGATGGCACGCATAGCTAATCACAAGTACTTAAATAGAACCTAGATCTTCTCTGGAAATAAATAATTTATGTTCGCCAACAAGAAAATAATGTTTGGATTTGTGTTGTGTCACATTAGTGTTGTAGGAAAAGAAGAGTCTAGCATGCTTTGGGAGGGAGATGGATGGGTAGAAAGTCACCAGTATCCTGCTCCTATCTGAGCCAAGAGTTACAGTAAGTTTCCGCAAAGTCTTATGGCAATATTGTGAACTTTTAAATAATAGTGGCTTCTGAGATGTATAAATATAGCTACTGGTTTTTTTAAGTTAAGGGGGCAGGAACATTACTCAGGACAACAATGGATTTGTTCTGGAAGTAATCCAAAGTTGACCGGGGGTGGGGGGGCGTCCCTTCCAATTCTACAATTTGCTATCTCAATACAGTGGTACCTCTAGTTGTGGACACGATCAGTTTATGGGTGCCATTCGCATCCCGAAAAGTCCACAACTAGAGTGGAGTTTCTGTGCAAGCACGGAGCGCGATAGAGTGCTTCTGCGCATGCAAGTATACACTTCCGGGTTTGCTGCGTTCACAAGCTGAAAAGACACAACATGAACCTAACGCAACACAAGGTATAACTGTACAGCAATAAAAATGTTGCCCGGATTGGTCAGCAAGGCAGGGATGGGGAACCTGGGACTAGACTACATCTCCCATAATTACACACCAGTGGCCATGGCAGGTCAAAGGTAGATACCACCCTGTATATAGTAGGTGGAGAACAAGGTTTCCCAAACTTGGGTCTCTAGCTATTTTTGGACTACAACTACATCCCTAGCTAGCAGGACCAGTGGTTAGGGATGATGGGAATTGCCATCCAAAAACAGCTGGAGACCCAAGTTTGGGGAACCCTGGTGTAAAATTAATAACCAAGTAAAGATTTCAATCTCACCTTCATATAACATCAACATTTCCCACCATTTCACAACTTTATTTATCATATAGGTAACAGCAAGCGACGCCACATAAACAACACTTCTTGCATTGAGCTGAGCAAGTGCCGGATGAGAGACTCGCGAATAAACAGCTGTTTGGGCTCCACCCCAGCATCAGCATCCTATTACTGAGCAAGCAATTAATAAGGAATGGCAGGCCGTTCTAGCAGCATCTTGCAGCATGACTTAACAAATACATAACATGCCATAGATAATGAGTGGCTGACTAGTAACTCTTCCTTGTGCCCATCAACAACTTGTGTTTGCCTTTAAAAAAAACCAGTTAGTTTGAACAACACAAAGCCTCTGAGGCTCCATTCCCAATACAGGCACAGTGGCTCTTCTGTTCCTTGAAAGAACAAATACTTCTGAAAAGGAAGAGCACATGTCAATCCCTCTGGGTGCATAGATCAGGGTCCCAGAAGAAAAGAAAAGATGCACACCTAGTTTTGTGCAAACAAAGAGGCTTTGCACTTTCATTCTCCCTCCCACCTCCACTCCCTGTCTGCCATTCAAAGCCAAGCAAGGGTTGGGCTGTGATTTAAGGTATTTGTTTCTTTCTAAACCAAGGGTTTCTAAACCAAGGCCAAGCAGTGCTCCTAAGGCAACTTGCTTTTTGCATGTTGAAAGTTACTCTCAATCAGAACAATTAGTCAAAAGTTGCTCTAGGGAGGGTTCTTGAATTCACAAGTAAGTTGTGGCTGATGGTGCCCACTGGGGATGGAAGGCAGCGAGACCAGCAGTAGATGGAGCCTGAGCCAATGAGCACCAAATAAAATTGTCTTCCTCCTCCTCCCTTTGTTGAGTTACGCAAAGCCAACACTGAAACTGAGGAGAAGGAAGCTGGCAGCCATGGACCGCTTGAAAAGGAGGTGGCAGGCAGGTGGGTGCACTCAACGTTGGTGAGGCAGTGTTCCCACCTGTGCCAGCCTCCACTGTAATAAGATTATTGAAACAAGATCACACAATAAGCAACCAAAGACAAGGAAATACAAGGAGAGGTGGAAGGGAGGGAGCAGGAACCCAGCTGGCTCTGCCCTGTGGCTGAGGCTAATATGTGCAACATTTCTGCCTACTTGGTTTGAACTGGGCAGCAAGGAGCGTTTAGACAATCTTCCCCTCTTCCATTCATTACAGTCCTAAAACGAGAACCGGCACCCTTTCAGGGGGACATTTTCAAGGCAAGACCAGTGTGAGCCCAATGGATTGGTAAGCACTGCAAAAGGGCAATGACTGACTCTCACAGGCAATGCTTAACAATGCATGAGCTGAGTTCAAAAAGGATTTGTTTTGATCTGGCTCCATTAAAAAAATATCATGTAAGATGGTAAAGTTGTCCTTGTGCTAGGCTTGCCATATGTCAAGAACATTCCAGACATGTCCTGGTTTTCAGGTGTAAAAGTGGCAAAAATGTTGAATCTGCAAAATGTCAGGGGAAACCCGGATGTATGGCAATGCAATGCAATGCAATGCAATGCAATGCAATGCAATGCAATGCAATGCAATGCAATGCAATGCAATGCAATGCAATGCAATGCAATGCAATGCAATAAACAGCAAAAACAGCTCCAAAAGCATAAAATCGCTATTTTCGGGGGAGGTTTCCCCAAAGAAGCTCAACAATTCTGGGGTCTCAACAACTTCGTGCATACTATACCACTGGGGGCTTACAGAATTGACTTTTCATCCCCTCCCCTAACCAAAAAAAGCTCCCTCCCAACAGAAGGCTGGTGTTGTCAAGAAATTAGCATAGCTGCCTCAGCAGATAGTTGCGGTGAATCGTGTGACACCCCTGTCTTCCCTGGCTAAAGTGATGCAACCCAGTGTGTCGCTTCTCATCTCAGCGACAAATAGACCCCCCCCCCTTCTCATAGCCAAGTTCTGCCACAAGTCTTGGTCTCAGATGGTCATGATGGTATATAACCAAGACAGTTGGACGCTTTACTTTTTAAAATCCATCATAATGCCACTCTCCTTGGAGAGCCTTGGTCTTGTTCCATCTCGTCCTCCTTATGCTCTACGTTGATAGGTTATATTGTTAAGGGCGGTGTTCAGCATCGCACCCTCTAAATCAGTTCCTACCCAGTTCTATTTCTCTGTGTAGGCCAGTAGCAGCACCGCCTCTGCATTCTCAGACAGTTCCACCACAGCTCGCCTCAACATCTGGTAGGTGGACTCAAAGGAGATTTCGGGCTCCACCTTGACACCCCGCCCCAAATAGGGCACATAGCTCCATGCCCAGCTGGTCAGGGAGGTCGGCTTGGTGATGAGGCTGAGCACGTACGCAGGGTCCAGTGGTTTAGCAAAGGGGCTTTGGATCACTGCCTGAAGCAGCCGGCGGGTTGTGCCGGTAGCCTGGACAGTGTACTCTAAGGAGGCCTCATCCAGGCCAAACTCTATGCAGAAGCTGGCAATGGTGGTGGTGAGGCTGTCGACCACGTCTGGCTGGGGATGCTCCACCCAGAAGAGGCAGCTCTGAAGGGCCTTCCCCCACACATCTTTCATCAACACTTTGGCCTTCCGCCTAACCACTCGGGACAGGACGGTTGGCAGGGCTTTCCTCAGAGCTTTCTTCTTCAAGTCCGGAGCGTTGCTGCTGAGGGCTCCCAGGAGGAGCGGCAAGTCGAAGGCATCTGGCTTGAGGCAGGAGACCAGGAAGACCTGTGGGGAGTCCACGCCGTCCTTCTTCAGAGCTTCCTCGCAGCTCTTCCGCACCTGACTCTGCACTTCCTCTTTGGCGACAGGTTGGCTCCCAGGCCGGGTCTCCACATCCACATCTATCTTGCTCCTCACAAAGAAGAACTGCTTCCCTGCTGAGGTGATGGCTCTGGCCAGGCAGCTGTGGGTGTGCTTATAGCGCTCAGAGGCCACCAGCAGGAAGAAGTCGTAGCGGCTGAGATCCAGGTGGCTCACGTCTTCCTCTGTCAGCCCCACTCCTGGCAAGTCCCAAAGGTAAAGGTTGGGGACAGCTGGGAGCAGGTAGGGCACGGCTTCCTTCGTCATCTCGGTCACCCCAGTGGGGGCCGCATCTGGTTCCCCACAGCCCACCCCCCTCAGAACATTAACCAGCGAGGACTTCCCTGAGCCAACTTCACCTATCACGGCGACGTCTAGTCGTATTTGTGTGGGGTCCGTCAAAACAGATGAGATCACAGTTGGGACTTCTGACAAGGTGCCGTCCTGGCAGATCGCATACAGCTCCTTGATCTTCTTCTGGCTCACTTTGTTCAAATCCTCCAGGCTTCCATCGTGAGTTCTAGAGAGGAGTGAGAACAGAATAATAAATATCCACAGTCTGGGGCTGCATTTCCTCAGGAGTTGCACGTTGGCAGTTGGCAAGGCCGAAGCCAGTGGTGCAGTGGTCTGGGGTCAGAGGGGATGGCCGACCCATTGGTATTTCTGCAGCAGAGTCCCAGCACTCTCCCTGTCTCCAGCTTCCTAGGGCCACCCAATGAGAAGGAAAGGGGAGCTTTTTAGCTACGGTATGCTCCAAAGCGAAGCACTTAGGAACACTGAAAAGGTAAGGTGCTCCCATTTCAAGAGAATGGGCTGCAAGTACAATGGGACTTTGAGGAAAACACAACTCCGAAAGAAGATATTGGAGGACTCCAAATCACTGCCCGTGTAAATAGTGGATCTAGCTAAAAGGCAACACATAGGAGTTCTGCATTGATTGTTGCAATGCATCCCTAATTATGATTATTATTGTAAAATAATTATAAGATGGGGGCATAGTCTTAGAAGAGAGCATGGCTGTGAGGGGCCATCTTCAAATATCTAATGGCTGTGACATACAAGAAGATGGAGCAAGCTTGTTTGGAGCAAGTTAAATAAAAAAAATCATTTTTTGAAAAAACCCATACTCGGTTGTTCTTGCACTCTTTTTATTTTAGCTGTTTTTGAGGATATCTTTGTAAATTGCTTTGGAGCGTAGATATTGGTGGCGACTCACAAATAAATAAGTGAATCAAGAGAGGCACCCTCTTCCCGACTCACCTCTTCAAATTGAGCACCTCTCCTTCCAGGCTGTCTTCAAAGCGTGCAAACTCATATCTGTCCGTCTCCAGCCCTGACACCAGGAATACCTTCTTGGGGTCCATCCCATGCTTGGTCAAAACACCTGCCAGTTCCTTCCGGATTAGCCCCAGCTGCTCGGACGGATTGTACCTGGATCTGAGCCGCCGCTCGGCTATGTGCAGGTCCAAGTCCACCTTGGTGCGTGCCAGGATGAGGCCTTTCCCCTTCTGCTTGATGGCCTTGAGGACTTGGAGGTGGCTGTCCCTCAAGCCTCCAGCCCCGACCACCACCACAAAGCAGCTGAATTTGCTCAGGTCGCCCAAGCGTTTGAGGTAGGCGGACGGCTTCTCCGACGCCTCAAAGCCCGGCAGGTCGTGCAGGGTGAGGTCGGGGTAGATGGGGTGAGCGTGGACAACCGGCTGCTTCGTGGTCTCAGGGGCCTCTCGGAGATAAGCCCATGGATCCGTCACCCGGCGGGGCTTGTTCAGGAGAGCCCCGACCAGAGTGCTCACCCCTGAGCCACGCTCTCCCAGGATCCCGACCTGGATCTTGAGGGTGTTCACACAGTCCACCAGAGCCTGGATTTGGGAAGCGGCACCGCTGGCGTTCTGGGCCTCATACTGGGCCTTCAGGATCTTCAGGTGCGATTCGTCCAGGACGGAGGAACCAGCCATGGCTGGAGCTGCAAAGAGGACGTGGGAGATTACAAGGGGTCAAAAAAAATGGATGTACCGTGCTATACTAGAAGCAAAAAACTTGTTTTGGTGAATTGGAAGAGCCGCAAAAAGATTCCTTTGAGCACACGGATTGATAATATGGACAGATTACCATATTTTTCGCTCTATAGGACACACCTTGTTTTGGGGGGTAGAATCAGAAAAAAAATTCTCCCCCCTCTGCTCAGCGCCCCTTCAGCGAAGCGGCAGGAGAAACGGAGCCCCTTCCATTTCTCCTCCTGCTTGGCTGAAGGGACGCTGCGCAGCTCTCCCTCTCTGCTGAAGCCAGGAGAGTCTTGCTCTCCCGGCTTCATCGAAAGGAACCTGAAGCCTGCGGAGCGCAGCGGGAACTCGCACTGTGCTCCGAAGGCTTCAGGCGGCTATCCTTGAAGCCTCCAGAGCGCAGAGGGGTCGGTGCACACCGACCCCTCTCGCTCTCCAGGCTTCAGCGAAAGCAACGCGAAGCCTCCAGAGCGCAGAGGGAGCGATCCCTCTGCGCTTCGGAGGCTTCGCGTTGCTATCGCTGAAGCCAAGGAGCCTGTATTCGCTCCATAGGACGTACACACATTTCCCCTTAATTTTTTGGAGGGGACAGAAGCTGCAAACATGAGTCTGACCAAACTGCGGGAGGCAGTGGAAGACAGGAGTGCCTGGCGTGCTCTGGTCCATGGGGTCACGAAGAGTCGGACACAACTAAACGACTAAACAACAAATAGAGCGAAAAATACAGTAGCTACATACGAACGAATTGCATGTCGACGCAAATTAAAAATGGATAAATATGAAGAAATCTGGAAGGAATATTTAAGCGATAAGGCGGATAGTGGTGGGAAGTAGGGGGAGGAGAGAGTGGTGGGAAAATATTGTTAAAAGGGTTTAGTCATAGATATATCAGTGTATTCAAATCTGAATTGTCAAATTGTGTTATTAGTATTATGGTTTTTGTTGTATGTGTCTTTTGCGGTTGTTGTTTGTATTGAAAAATGATTAATTTTTTTTTTAAAAAAAAGAGGATGGAGGGAAAAAAAGAGAATGCTAACTGCAGTTCTCAGATTGCTCTTTAGGGATGCATGGGCAGATGCTTATCTCTGCCTGCCTCCCTCCTTCCCTCTCTCACACATATATGTATTGACCATCCATACAGTGAGTTGAGGAAGTGGGGGGCCATCCATTTGTGATCTATCTCAAAGCCACTTCCTTGGTTACCTTAATGGCCCATGCTTTTAGGGCCATTACATCACCAGGAAGCTAGCCTGGGCTATTCCAGGAAATGAATGCCGTGCTGGATCCAGGAATTAGGAGGGCGCTCAAGCACATATCCTACCCTACGCCCCCAAAGGAAAAAAATCATAATATATGCTTATGTTTGTAGTATGGTTAGATTCCTCTTTGTAGAGTGCTCTCCCCAAGGAGGCTCACCTGGCACCTTCGTTCCATATCTTTAGGTGCCAAGCAAATAACGTTCCTGTACAAGGTAAAGGACTCCTGGATGGTTAAGTCCAGTCAAAGGCGGCTATGGGGTTGCGGTGCTCATCTTGCTTTCAGGCCGAGGGAGCCGGCGTTTGTCCACAGACAGTTTTCTGGGTCATGTGGCCAGCATGACTAAACTGCTTCTGGCACAACAGGACACCGTGACGGAAACCAGAGTGCATGGAAACGCCATTTACCTTCCCGCCACAGCAGTACCTATTTATCTACTTGCACCGGTGTGCTTTCGAACTGCTAGGTTGGCAAGAGGTGGGACAGAGCAACAGGAGCTCACACCATCACGGGGATTTGAACCGCCAACCTTCTGATCAGCAAGCCCTAGGCTCTGTGGTTTAGACCACAGCGCCACCTACGTCCCTGTACAACCAGGCCTTTGGCTAATTAAACAATCTATGGTCTTTAAAACTGTGAGGGGAATCTATTGTTTTTGCTTGTTGCTATGTTATGTATTTGTTGGTGTTTTCATATTGTAAGCTGCCCTGTAGTCCTCGGATGAAGGAGAGGAAGAAAGGCAAATTTATATAAGTGACAATGATAACAACAACAACAGAGAGTTGCTAGGCACTGTCTGCAGTTAAAAGCTCTGCCAGCAAGCTTATAATCTAATAGCAACCAGAGTCAAAAGGGAGGAAACTGGATAGTAAGGGATGCACCAGTCCCCAAACGACAGGGGAAAAGTGCCTAGAAAAAGAACCCAGTAAGTCAGCCTATATAAAGAAAGACGACTTTGGCTCCAGCATCAGACCACTAAAAATATGTCCCAGTCAGGAGTCCTGTTTCCAAAGCAAAGCCACCTCTGTCCACTTTAAACAAACAAAGCCAGCCCACGAGCCCAACAGAGAAAAATCAAATATTTGGTTTCTTTCTTCCTGTCAAAAACTAAGGGCTGCATCCAACCTCTACGCAGAGCAGTTCCGATGAAATCAGTGGGCCTCAGTTAGCCACATCCCATTAATTTCAATGGGTCTCCTTCTGAGCAAACCAGCACTGGATAGAACTCTAAATTTTGTTAAAGGAACACTCCTTAGCCCCTGGGGGAAACCTAGAGGTTGTAAGAGAAGAACTAAGAACTACTCTCCTGGATCAGACCATGAAAGGCCTACCTTGTCCAGAAGCCTGTTCCCACATTGGCCAACCAGACACCAAAGGGAAGTGTGCAAGGGTGAAGGGAGAGCAGTAAGAATGGGCCTTCTCAGTTGTGGCTCCCCAGTTATGGAACACTCTCCCCATCTTTACCTATATTTAGGCAACAGGCCACAAACCTTTCTTTTCTGCTTTTAATTATCCGATGCATATTATATATAATATGTACGTGTTTTCAGCTTAAAGGGGGTTAATCAAATTAATGGAGGAGAAAACTCTCAGTGGTCACAATAGTTATATGCAACTTTCAGGATCAGCAGCAGAATATCAGTTCTATGAGGGATTATTATTATTAATCCTTTATTTAGTTATCGAACTTATCGGTCACTTAAAAAACAAATGAAAAGCAACTCAAAAAGCGAGTTATACATTAAACCAAAACAGCCCCTAAAAGCCTGATTTCTTAACTAGTGCAAACAGAGTGTTATGTCACTTGGCACTTGCAAGAGTGCCAGTTCTGCAGATCAAAGCATTTATGGGATGAGGTTGATCCTGCAGGTAAACTGGCCCCAAGCAGTTAAGGGGCTTTATGTGCTAATAGTAACATGTCAAAACTAACCAGTAGCAAACTGGCCGCCAGTGCAGATCACAGAGCAGAGGAGCTATAGGCTGACAGGGTCTCGCTCCTGCCAGGAAACATGTCACAACTTTCTGAGATGGTGGCCAAATCACGCTCCGAGCTGTTGGTTCATAGCTCAGAAGCGCCTACACTGACTGGCAGCAGCTATCTAGAGGACATTCCCAGGCCTACCTGAAGATGTTGCCAGGCATTGAACCTAGGAATTTCTGCCTGCAAAGCAGATGCTCTACCAGCTGAGCTACAAGCCCTTCCCCGTGACAGCAAATGCCATAAGAACAGGTGTGTTTTGCTGGAGGCAGATCTGGGGAATTGCTAGACTTTCCCAAACATGGGGGTCAGCCAACGGCTTCTTTGTCACAGAATCCTGGTTGTAACCCAAGACCTTCAAAGAGACGTTTAATAATCAAAACAAGCCTGCCGGCCTCCATCTTGATAGATGCAGGCCTTTCTGAACACAACACACCGTCAATAATTGCCCTTGTTCTTTAACTGCTCTCTTTCCGTTTGTTTTTGAACATCAAGCCTGATGCGGAAGAACGCCGAAGAGCTCAAAAGCTTGCTCACTATTTTGTGATCTTTTGCGGGATTGGTCCTAATACAAATAAAGTAAAATCCAAGCGAGGATTTTGGATCCTGGAGAAACGTGGCTAAGATTTTTATATTTTAATTTATTTTTTTAAAAAACAGCTTTAATTAGGCGCTGTGTGCATAAATATGCTCTATTTTGCGTGTCCCGGATCCCCACCCCCGACTCCGGTTCTGGTCTTACAGGATAGGGAGAATGCCTGCTACAAAAGCAAAAACACCAACTTCTCCGTTTCCCCGTTTCCCTCCAACAAAAGGAACCCAGGAGTCCTGGATGGCTGCCAGCCAGCCAACCCCACCCGGCCGCCCCCCAAAATGAAAAGGGAGGCGTCCCAGGGGCAAGACCTACCCGTTCGTCTCCGCCTCTCCGGGTCTTCCGTGCGCGGCGAGGCTTGGATGCTGCTGCAGCCCTGCGCCCTGGCTCCAGATGACGCGCAAAGCAAAAGCTGGGAAATAGAAACCTATTGGAGGGGGCGGAGACGGCGGATCCTCCCGGCTGGCTGTGCTTGTCAGGCGGAAAGGCTCGTCTGACGTCTCTGGGATGCGCAGGGAAAACAGATCAGAGCAACGGCAGGCGGGTGGGAAGAGGAAGCAGCCAAAGGGGGACAACGCCAGGGAAGCCGAGCGAGCGGTCCCGGGGCGCAGCCTTGTAGCGGGTAAGCAAGCCCAGGCCGGCGGGTGTCTCCCCATCTTCTTCAGCTTCCAAAAAACGAAGTGTCAGACGGCGGGTCGTTCTGGCTGCCTGAAGATCTTCTCCCTGGCCTGATGGAAAAGGCAAAAATACTCTCCGGCCTCTTTCCGTATTAGTGCGCCACTGTGTCCGCCAGATCGCTTAATCAACCTATTTTCTTGCCTAAGAACCAGCAGCCCTCTTATGCCATAGGCTCAACCCTTACACCAAAACTAGGATAGGAGAAGGGTCGCGTCTTTTGCTGGCGGGGGGTGACCGACTTAAGGGGCTGGTGATTTCAAGGCTGGATTACTGCAATGCTCTTTTTGTGGGGCTTCTCTTGCAACTTGATCTGGAAGCTGCAGAATTCTCCAGGAGTGAGGCCCTGTTAGCATATAGCACTCCTGCTCAGAGATCTGCACCGGCTGCCCGTTTGGGGTGACACCGCGCCCCCCCCCCCCGCCAGCATATAACACCTTGCTGGCGGGGGTTGTACTGCTTGCCGATCTGCTACCCAGGTTCAAGATTATACCAGCTCATACCATTCAGGTCCAGGTTACCTGGGAGATAACACCATGGCTGTGGTCCTCAGCTTGAGGCCAGGCTCATTCCATTTTGGTGGTTTATGTGTGTGTGGACTTAAATTATATACAGCCAAGTTCCTTGTGTTTAATCACAGCCTCTGAGTAATGTTGTTTTTCTCTCTCCTTCCATCTCTCCCCTTTCCTTATGTTTCCACAGCATCCCTCAAGAAGCCCTGTTTCCCTGCACCCAACATGGCTCTAAAGACCCCCCAGGGCTCTGCGCTGAGCTCCCCAGAGCAAGGGGATGTCTCCGTGGTCCTTGTGGGAAAATCCGGCGTAGGAAAATCGGCCCTCCTCAATGCCTTGCGTGGGGTGACCGAAAACGATGTCGGATGTGCCCCGCTGGAGGCCCCGCCTAAATCCGGGGGGCCTGTCATGTACCCCGACCCATCCCACCCCAATTTACTGATATGGGAACTAGCTCTGGATTGTGAGGGGCAGGCCGACCGGTGGCTGAAGGAGGCTGACGTTTTTGTCGTGGCGACAGATGGCAAGTTTGACGAGACACATGCCCACCTGGCGGGGGAGGCCCGGGCGGCTGGCAAGAAGGTCTATTTTGCCCGCACCAAGGCTGATTTGGATCTTCATACCCTCAAGCGGTTGATGGGAGAGCGCTACAACCGACCCGAGGCCCTGCAGGCCCTGCGGGGTGTCTGTGCTGAGTCGCTGGGGGCCCACGGTCTCGGGGAGCCCTTTGTCTTCCTGATCTCTGCTTTTGAACCCTACGCTCTGGACTGCCCCCAGCTGCGAAAAGTGTTGCTGGAGGACGTCCACACATATGAGAGGTAAGTCAGGCAAACCAGCTTAAGTGAACCGTAGGAACATAGAATCATTATCAATAAATGAACATGACTAAGATTCATGACGATGATAATAATATTGCGGAGCTAGAAAAGGGTTGCCGAAGCGATCAAGGGGACGAAGCCACTCCCCTATGAGGGTCAGGGCTTTTCAGTTTAGAAAAAAAGGTGATTAAAAGGAGAGGACATGATAGAGGTGAGTAAAATTAAGTGTGACACAGATAAAGTGGATAGTCATAATACAGTCGTATCTTGGTTATCAAACGCCTTGGTACTCGGACGTTTTGGCTCCCGAATGCCGCAAGTGTTCCATTTTGCGAGCGTTTTTTGGAAGCCGAACGTCCGTTTCGACTTTTGGCATTGTTTCCGGGGCCAATCAGCCAATCGGATCCAGCAAGGCTCTTAGGTTCTTAAGTTTAATGGAAGAAGACCTACAGAGACTTCGTGAACAGAGTTTTGAGGCCAGGTGCCTGCGGGCATGGGCACGTCGCCCATAAGGACAAGGGCCTCTGGCTGATGTTCTTGTAGTGTGACAGGCAATGTAAATTACAGCCACAGGCCGATATTTATATCCTGGCGGCCTTTGCTTGAGTGTCATCAGGACTTTTGCTCGGAGCAAAGCAACCAGAGAAGTGGCCTTGTTGGTCTCTGTTTGTGCCTCCCCTGTGGAGAAAACAGTGTTTGTTTACAAGCAACAACCCCCACCCCCAAGATGCTCCTGTTACCCAGAGTTGTAATCGAACGAAGCTGTGCAAATCCGGTGTAGTGTAGTGTTAACTTTCTCGGAATTAGAAAGGCGTCCACTGGTCCAAAAAGGGTGACAACTTTTTACAAGTCCACCACATGTGAAATAACATTCCCTCTACCTTTTTGGACCTGTAAAATGGTAAAAGAGTATTGGGAAAGGATCCATAATGAATTTAAAAAAATGTTTCAAAGTATTTCCCCCCCCAACCCCCCCCCCCAATTATCCTGTCGGGGATAATTCAGACTGAAATTCCCAGATTTATTAAGGTTATTTATGGATGCAACAACTGCGGCCCATGTTTTGTTAGCTCCCAAGTGGAAAATGAGTGAGGTCCCAGCCAAAGAAGAATGGCAACTTAAGTTGGCAGAATATGCACAACTTGTGTAGCTGAAAATGCTGACAGCATTAAGATAAATTCAACAGTGTAAATAAGTTTCAATGGATGCAATAATGGAATACTGAATGGTATAGTTTTTGTAAAATATGCAGGGATTTATGATATGTAAAATGAACCAGGGAAGAAGGGAAGTCATTGATATCTTAAGGATGTAAAAATGAGTGTTTAAAATTGTAAAATGGAAAATTTAACAAAAATTATATACCCAAAACAAAAAGGGTGGCAACCTCTAATGAGCTTAGTTGCTGTGGAATTCCTGCTGACCAATGGGAAATGGAATGGAACACTCCACAATACAACATTAATTTCATATGATATTAATTCTAGTCATTGGATACTGATGATGTTAATATAATAGGAGATCAATTACAGTTAACAATATTAATCCCAGTTCTTCCTCCCTATCCCTTGCCGTGTCCTGTTTACCCCCACAGGGTCCTAAAGCCCACTCGCTTGGACTACGAGGTGATCAGCGAGCAGGAGATTGCAGAGATCCAGGAGGCCTATGAGCTGGGAGGCCTCTCGGAAGTGGTGACCCGCATTCAGTGCAGCCTGGAGACCCTCTGGAATGCCCAACTTGACATTGGCGTCACGGGGGAGTCGGGTGCTGGGAAATCCACCTTTGTCAACGCCTTGAGGGGTGTGGGCGATGAGGAGGAGGGAGCCGCGGAGACGGGCGTGACGGAGACCACAGCCCAGCCTACGCCATATCCTTACCCCGGCCACCCCAACGTCATCCTGTGGGATCTCCCTGGCATTGGCACGCCCAACTTCCAGGCTGAAAGCTACCTAGAAGCGGTGGAGTTTTCTCGCTACGACTTCTTCATCATCCTGGCCTCGGAGAGGTTTAAGGAGAACCACGTCCATTTGGCCAAGGCCATTGTCAAAGAAGGCAAGCGGTTCTATTTTGTGCGCACCAAGCTGGACAACGACCTGGAGTCCATGAAGAGGCGGAAGAACCCTCCAACTGAAGAGGAAGTCCTGGAGGAGATACGGACTGACTGCCGGGAGAAGCTCGCCAAGGCCGGGCTGGCAGACACCAAGGTTTTCTTGCTCAGCAGCTTCGAGATTGACAAGTTTGACTTCCAAGTCTTCGAGGAAACCCTGGAGCAAGAACTTCCGAGCCACAAGCGCCACGCCTTCCTGCTGTCGCTGCCCAATGTCTCCTCGGTCATCATTGATAAGAAGAGGCAGCTCCTTCACCAGGAGGTTTGGAAGGTAGCTCTGATCTCCAGCTTGGTGGCCGCCGTCCCTTTGCCAGGCCTGGCCTTCACCTGTGATGTCTCCATTTTGCTGAGGAAGCTGTCCACCTACCGCCAGGACTTTGGCCTCGACGCAGCATCCTTGACCCGTCTGGCTGAGCGGTCGGGGAAACCGCTGGAGGTCCTGAGGGCCGAAGTCCACAGCACTCTAGGCCGGAGCATCAACAGGGATGTGGTCATTGGGCTCCTGGGGAAGGCCACCGGGACAGGCTTGGTGGTGGCCAATTTCTTCATCCACCGGATCCCGATTTACGGAGCCCTGGCTTCCGGCGGGATTTCCTTCCACACCACTTACTACATGTTGAGCCAGTGCTTGGAAGAGCTGGCCAATGACTCCCAAAGGGTCCTCATGAAGGCCTTTGAAAGCGAAGTCTGAGGCAGCTGGAATAAGGCGGCAGTCCCTAGGCGCCTCTGTGACTCCTCTTCAGATGCCTTAGCACTGTTACGTTCCTGCTTTAGCTTCATCATGGCTGATCTACTTGTTGATGTTTATGGAGTCATGGGACCATGATCTTGTTTTGGAACCTGGTTTTGACGAATGGGAGTTGCATGAGGCCGCCATCCCTCATTGCAACGAGATCAAGATTTAGACGAGCAATTTCTGTGCAATGTCCCAGAAGGCTCCACAGTTCCCTGTTACTCAGGGGCGGCCAACCCTTCCAAATGTTGCTGAACCCATCACCGCTGCATGTAAGCCAGGGTTTCCCAAGCTTGGGCCTCCTGCTGTTTTTGGACTACAACACCCATCATCCCTTGCCAGCAGGACCAGTGGTCAGGCATAATGGGAATTGTAGTCCAACACTGCTGGAGACCCAGGTTTGGGAAACCCTGGTGTAAGCCATGATGACTTGGGCTGATAGGAGCTGTAACCCAACACCTGGAAGGCAATTGGTTCCCCGTCCTGTTTAAGATAATGTCATGTGACTAACCTGTGGCCTTCTGGATGCTGCTGAACCACAACTCCCATCTTCCCTTTCCATTGGGCATGTTGACTTGGGGTGATGTAAGTTATAGTCCTTTAACACTGTAGTCCACCAACATCTGGAGGACCAAAGACTTGACTGTTCTGTGCTGTTAAGCATTCAGTGGCAGGTTTAGTAACAGATGTGGTAGCTTCAGCTTTTGGAAACCATAGCTCACTTTGCCTCAGATACGTGACATAATTTGGAATGTTTCCTAGAGATATATCCATCAACATAGGTGGAGAAGGGTGTGTAGGAAAGGAAACTAATGTATTATCAAACTTTCTACACCTTCTCATGCAGCTGATGGAATCGGACTCTGGCCCTCACATGCATTTTTCCTGGCCACAATAAAACGTGTTAAGTGCTGTGATGCTGCTATGTTTTTAGCTATTCTTACTTTTGTCTGTAAGCTGCCTTGAGTCCCCGTCAGGGGAAAAGGTGGAGTATAAATAAACATACAACAAAAACGATACTTTTTGCAGGTTTCAAAAGCGGCAAACGTCACACTGCTAACGCTTTTGGGATTTTCCCACGCGGTTGTCCTTATAAATGCGCATGATTGAAACAGGGGCAGAAGTTAAGCCTTGGTGGAGTTGGAGGGATGCGGCCTGGCCCTTTAAGAACAAAGGGCTGGTGTCTTATGTTCTTTGCTTCCTTCAAAGCAGTGGAGTCAGAGCGCCACCTGGTGGAGGGGAGCTCCGTGGCACTTGAGACAATGTGGTGTATTTCAGCAGCCCAGTCCACTTGCTGGTGGAATCGAAAGAGCGGCTTGATGCAAGTATGGAACCTCATGAAGCCTGGTCAATTAGGGTGACTGGCACACTGCCCTGCTCACCTCAAATCAGCACCCTGCTGGTCACCTCCTTACTTATTCTTATTTATTTATTTATTAAATTTGTTCACCGTCGATCTCAGGGCAGTTCACAGCACTGAACTGCACAGCACAGGTGACGCTGGCTGTCAGCTGCCTCCCCTTTAGTTTTCAGGGGTTCTCTGGTGCAACTCAGCAGGGAGGTTGGTGTGGGTCAGACCTGGGATTAGTCGGCTCCACCTCATCTGGATAGCTCAGTTGGTTAGAGCGTGGTGCCGATAACACCGAGGTTGCAGGTTCTATTCCCCGTAAGGGACAGCTGCCTATTCCTTCATTGCAGGGGGATGGACCTTGGAGGTCCCTTTGAGCTCTGCGATTCTATGAAAATAAGCTGTACACATGTTTCTTCTTAGGAACCTGCTATAGGCTCCGGCTTTGCCTACTGTTGGGCTCCCTTCCTCCTGCCCTACCAATCCCAGTCACTACTGGATGGAGCACTCTGTCTCTCCTCCACCTGCCTGGTCACTCGATCTGCATGGAATTCCCGGTCACTTGCGGCGACCAGGCTAGCACTGAAGTATAAGGCTGGGCTAGAAGATCCTGGAAAGCGGAGCTTCCAGTGGCCTCTGTCTTAAGACCTTGCAAAGGAGCTACCCATTGGGGTAGCTAGTGGCCCATATGGTTGGAGTCCAGCTCTCATTATCCATGACCACTTAACTGGGATCGCAAGTCTAACAATGTACAGTGGTGCCCCGCAAGACGAATGCCTCGCAAGACGAAAAACTCGCTAGACGAAAGGGTTTTTCGTTTTTTGAGCTGCTTCGCAAGACAATTTTCCCTATGGGCTTGCTTCGCAAGACGGAAACGTCTTGCAAGTTTGTTTCCTTTTTCTTAACACCGTTAATACAGTTGCGACTTGACTTCGAGGAGCAACTCATAGAACGCGGTGTGGTAGCCTTTTTTGAGGTTTTTAAAGACTTTGGTGATTTTTGAAGCTTTTCCGAAACTTTCCCGACACCGTGCTTCGCAAGACGAAAAAAATCGCAAGACGACAAAACTCGCGGAATGAATTAATTTCGTCTTGCGAGGCACCACTGTAGTCATCTTAGCTCGGGTAGAGCATGCAACTCTTAACCTCGGGGCTGAGGGTTTGAGCCCCAAGTTGGGTGAAAGATTCCTGCATCGCAGTGGGTTGGACTAGATGATCCTGTTGATATTTCCATTCCACCTTAAGGAGCAGACGTGTGGCATTGTTGCGTGTCACATGTCTGTTTACATTCCAGCACAGCTTGCTGGGAACTTCCCTTGCGTATAGCTTTTGCTTTTTTCTCTGAGATGACGAGAGAGAGAGAGACGACATGTTTCTTTGTCCTGATCTATGATTAATAAATCTGTAGTTTTGTATGCTTCCACAAGCCTCACACCTATTCTGTTTTCGCAGTTCGATCTGCTGATAGTGTGCCCTGGCTCAGAAGCCCGGGTCGCTGATTTACGTCGGAGCAGAGGTGATGGTCTTCGCAGCAGGATGGCTGGAAGGAGATGGCCCAGCCGGGGCTTGCCAGCTGGCCTCCCCGCCCTCTGCATGCCGACAGATCCTCATGGTCCCTTCCAAATCTACCCTTATGATTCTATGATCTCGGTGGGCCCACAGACCGCTGGCTGCAAGTGATGGACATCGTCGGAAAGCAGTTCATTTTACAGTGTGCAAGGAGGTGAGGGAAAGGGAGGGCAAAATACTTACCTGGACCATGAGGGAAAATCCCATATGATCATTTCAGAATCCAATCCAAGGCATGGGCTGGAGGTTGGGGAGGAATGTTGTGCCTCTAACAGCAGTTTCCCCAGCGTGCCACTAGAGGGCAGGGCCATGCGGTTTCTGGAATAACACCTGCAAAATTTGCACTTGCAATCCTTTTGCTTCATTGGAAGGAGAGGGAAAGGGGAGAGTGTGTTTGTACGTGAGAAAATGCATGTTGAGGAAATTGCCAAATCAGGCAGTTTCTAATTACGTAGCTCCCCCTTCCCCATTTTCTCCCGTGGTGTAACACTCATATTTCCCTGCTACCATTAATAAAGTTGTTAAGGCATTATCTGTTGTCCTCATGCTTATTTGTGAAGTCTCTTGACTATTTCTTTGGAGCTGTTTAGGTGTGCAAAGCTTTTCTAAAACCCTCAGTTACGAATAGCCATTTATAACCAAGCAACACACTTTAGCCTGTGAATAAGTCCGTGAAAGTTAGTAGCTGACAGCAAAACGTAATGCTTAGAATTGAGCCAGTTTGGGGTGTGCTGATTTCAAGGGGGGGGGGGGGGAAATCCAATGAGAATCACATCAGCCATAAACTGGGAGGGTTGCAGATCAGTGTGAAAATGTTCTCCTATTCAAAGTGTGGATAGAAAGCATGGCTTGCTCTTCTGATCTGATTTGGTGATGCTGTCATATTGCAAACCCTAATGGGTTACATGATTCCTGACTTAGTAAAGAAGAATTTTTCTTTTAAAAAATGTACACAAAGCAATTACTGAGAGAGGCAGCCAAACGAGTGAAAATGAAATAAATGCAGGACTTTTTTTGTTGTTCAGGGAGAGCATTCAAGGTTCCTGTAACACCCTATTCTGGCATTGAAAACGCCCCTGGAAACTTGGCTAGGCTCCAGTTATTTACCTGCCTATGCTGAATCAGTGGCCTCAAAGAATCACCTACAATTTCCATAGTTCCCTTCATGGAGGAATTCATGGTTAAACCGCTTGGGGCATGGGAAACGGGTATCTCCTGTCAACTCTCGGCACTCATAACAAACTACAAGTCCCATGATTCTTTGGGGAAAGCCATGTCTGCTTAAAAGTAGTATGATAATGCTTTAACTGCAAGATGTGGATGTGGGCTGAGATTCAACTGCCAGCCCACTCTGCTTTTGTCTGAGGAATTCAGGCAAGGCACTGAATTCCTTCACCTCAGATACCAAATAGTTCCGCAAAGGCCCTGTTCATCACAGATGAGCTAAACACACTACTTTTTGCTGTAATTTATTTGTAGATGACGTAGGACACACAAACCAAAAGTTATTAAGAACGTCTTTCACAAATTGATTTATTGGTGTTACGTGATCTGCGCTACTTGCACCAGGGGCCTCCTTCCCAGCTTACATTTTTTGGGGACTTCTGCCTCTGCTTTAGTACCGTCGGCACTGACGACGCCCTAATTTTAGACACAATTAACCACTAGAGCAAAAACTGATGGTGACACAAGCACTTATATGGCCACCTTGCCCCGATTTCCTCGCTCTGAGGACCCCATTGGTCCTACCTAGAGCAGGGGAGGAGCTGGAGGTGGAGGGCCTCACCTCTGGATTAAATTTTCTGTTTTTCAATTTCAAATACTCATTTTACATCCTTAAGATATCAATGGCATCGCTTCTTTTCGTTCCATGGTTCATTTTACATATCTTAAATCCTTGCATAATTTACAAACACTATACCAATCAGTTTTCCATTATTGCATCCATCAAAACTTATTTACACTGTTTAATTTATCTTAATGCTGTCAGCATTTTCAGCTGTACACAATTATTTTCCATATATTCAATAAATTTTTTCAATCTTCTCTAAACGCATGTTCCTCTTGTTCTCTTATTCTATATGTTAAGTCTGCAAGTTGTGCATATTCTGTCAACTTAAGTTGCCATTCTTCTTTGGTTGGGACCTCACTCGTTTTCCACTTTGGGGCTAACAAACACAGGCCACAGTTGTTGCATCCATAAATAACCTTTTTTGACACCTGGGGGATTTTAGTCTGAATTATCCCCAAAGTATTTTTTTTTGGGGGGGGGGGGGAAAGTACTTTTAAACATTTTCCCCAATTCATTATAGATCATTTCCCAATACTCTTTTACCCTTTTACATGTCCACCCCACTGCCTGAGGTCTTTGGCTCAGTCTGCCTAATAGAAGGGCCGGCTAGCTTCTGTAATCCTGCAACACCATGAGGGCCAAACTGGGCCCCTGACCTGGGTTTACATTTTAAGGCTGCTAGAAAGAGAGTTGGATAATTAGTGACTGTTGGTCTGTGGCTGCTAAACAGAAACTGTTCTGATGAGGTTTTTCAAGATTGCCCAGACTTCCCAATCTTCTTGTGTTGGCCAAGTGGCGGCACATGTCGCAACAATCCAGTTCCTCAGAAATGACATGTTCCAACTTGGTGCAGTGAACTCGGTCGTATTTGGATATGATAAACGTTCTCGATTCATGGAAGTGCAGGAGTGGCATTGATGACGGGGAGGAAGGTGTGTGGGCCAGATGGCCAGGCCCCTGTGTGGATGGGAGGCAGAAGATAAGGCACGGAGATGGGTTTGGGATAAGCACTTAACAGCATATGAACCACAAGGTAATGAGACTGACCTGCAGGGAGATCCATTTGTGCCTCTGCAAAAATCAACCTATCAAACTGGTAAGTGTTGGGGTGGAGCTGATCAGCGATTAAGTCATTTTCAGTAGCATTGGGTGGTATCCTGTTGAGTTTTACTCAGAGCAGACCACTGAAATTAATTTGCATGATTATATTAAGCCCATTAATTTCAATGGGTCTGTTCTGGATAAAACTTAGAAGAAATCACCTTCTTCATTTAATTTAAACTGTGTAAGTGGGGATAGGCAAGCTGGCCAATTACAGTTTCCCGTTTCCCCACTCTTAAATTCAGTTCTCCGTATTTCTACAACAGTCTGCAATTAGAAAACCCAGCAGCATTTTAGTATGTTAGCTTCACTAATAAGCGCATTAGTGAATGTACACTTTAGCATATGCATTGTAAAATTAGAATGTGGAAGGGTGATTGGTTTTTGGAATGCATATTGTTTCAAAGTGCGTGATTAGTTTTGCCTTCAGATGCAAACTGAATCCAATTTTCCCCTCTTCCCGAAGTCTTAAGTGAACAGGTACCACCTGAGTCTGAAACGGAAGGTGTTGCTCAATGTCTCTTATATGAGATAGCAACTGCTGGGAACTTTCTCTACCCCAAGTTCTGTAAGGAGGGTGAGGAAAATTAGCTGGGAAACTGGATTTCCCTGTTGGGGGTGCTGTTAGAGGGTGACCCCCTGGGTCACTTCCATGGACCCTCCCTGTTGTAAAATGTAAAAAATAGAAAGCTTTATTTTGCTTACAGAGTGTCTGGGGGCACTGCAGATATGCAAGACCTCAGCAATCCGGCACCTTAATTTGCCCAGATGCATCTATGCATCTAAAAGGCCCTTTACAGTGGTGGTTCCTCAGTTGTGGAATGACCCCCCTAGTGCAGTGTACCTTGTCTCCATTATTACTGACTTCCAGGAGGAATCTGAAAACAGTCCTGTTTACCCAGGCATTTGGTGGCTGAAGAATACTATACTTGGCAACCTCGAGATCATTGATTGGAAGCATGTTTTTAATTGTAACTGCTTTGAGATATTTTTAACTGCAATTGTTTTTAGAATGTCACCCACTGTTCTAAAATGTTTTTTGCATTGTTTTTAAATTGTATATCTGTTTGCCACCCTGGGCTCCTTGGATTGGAAGAGCAGGATATAATTGCACTCAATAAATCGGTGCTTGAATGCAAATTTGTATCATTCGCTTACGGACAGAGTCATCTGTGCATGTTTGCAGCGCTCTTCCTTCCCACAATAAAAGACCTAAAGTGCCGGTTTCCCCCTGTTCTTTCCAGCTCTTCCCTTCATCATCTCCTGTTCTGAAGGTTTCAAACACATCCTTGCCCAAGCTTCATTCTATGTTTCTGAAGTGAGCTCCCTGACAAGCCCTCACCTCTGAAGCAAGCCAGGTTTGCTCCTCCTCATCTGAACATCAAAGCTGCCATGAAGTTTCAGGTGTCCCTTGTGATCTTCATATTCTGCCTTGGCGCAGGTAAGTCTCAGATGCATCTGGCTGCATGTGCACATTGTGTGATGTGGGAACTGAGTGGGTTGATCTATTGATCTATTGGGCCAAGCCCTGCTAACTTCAGCCAGGCTTGCATAGAGGGCAATTCAGGTGGATGTGGACTAAAATGTCTGAAAGATAATGCAGCTATGCAATATATTGCAATTAATTCTCTAGCCCTCTAGAAGTGGACTTTTGTGGTACTTAGATTACAAGGGAAGGGGCAGAATAGCTTCATCCGCCTTACCTTTTGTGTTGTCTCGCTTAGGTTGAAATCCTATATACACTGAAATGAGCGTATGTCCCATTGAACTCAATAGGACTTCCTGTGTCACCAGCTATAGGAGGCGGTCATAAATATGGCTAAAACTTATGGGCTGGAGAAAGGGGCCATTGGATTTTATTAAGGGCTCCTCTATTCCGGCTCTCCCCACCCCCCACAAAATTTGATCTTTCAACTTTAGTTTGCAAAAGCCACAGTAAATTTGTTTGACCGCTATATAGCTAACTTTACAATGCAATCATATGCATGTTACTTTTTTCTTTTCCAGAAGCAGCACTTACAGTGCTTACTCTCAGATGGTGCATAAGACTGAAGCCGCCATTGAGCCCAGATCCCACCAAGATCAGAGGGGCGGGGTTGAAACATTAGCCAAAGCAGAAGTGGTGGTTGGTTTGCATTGGACTGGTAGGGCAGAAGGCAAGGAGCCCAACAGTAGGTGGCGCTAGAGCCCAATACAGGAAGACTCAGAGGCAATGACAGGCAGGGGCAACTAAGCCAGCTTTTGCCCATACCTTTCTTCTTTCTTAGAGGAATTTGAGACTAAGGAGGAAGAAACTGACAAGCAGTTCTTACCCAGAGGCCTGAAACTGTCCTCCCTTCCTCCTTATATCCCATTCCTCCAAATGCCACTTTTAACCCAATTCCACCTGCTTCTTCCCCAGTTCCTCCCTTCGCTTTCCCCCCTGTCCACAGAAGACTACAACTGTCACACACGCAGGGACCTTTCTTCCTCTCCAAGTCACTTAATACAGATATGGATCCCCCTACTTTTTCTTCCTGCCCCTCTTTCTTTCCCCCACCTTTAGAACCTTGGGAGACAGCCCATGAAAACAGGGTGAAGACAGACCGGTGCAAATATAGTATAAAGAGAAATATGTCTGTTCAGATGGCACAAGCTTATTCTGCGATGAAATCAGTTAACTATATAAACAAGCTACTACTAGCTGTTCTTATGACTTAGCATCTCAAAAGCTGGAAGTGGCCTCTCTGGGCCCCTGAGAGGGCCTGTGCATCCCCAGCGCAGGTTAACGTAGCATGGAAAAAGCAGACATTATCTTTGTGTCTTTCTCCAGCTGACAGCTTGACATGCCAGAAGTGCTTGAGCAAGAATGGGAAGTGTGCTAAGAACGAAGTGGAGGTTTGCGACCAGTCTCAAGACGCTTGCTTCATTGAGACCAAGGACTACGCTGGTTGTAAGTGCATACTCTCCAACATTCCTCCGATGAAAATAGGGATGTCCCATTCCATAATAATAATAATAATAATAAAAATATTTATACCCCACCCACCTGACTGGGTTGCTCCAGCAGCTCTGAGCAACTTTCAATATATAAACATAATATAACGTTAAACATTTAAAAAAACCTACCCTAGACAGGGCTGCCTTCTAAAGGTTGTATAAAAGAGTTTGGATTTGATATCCTGCTTTATACCCAAAGGAGTCTCAAAGCGGCTAACATTCTCCTTTCCCTTCCTTCCCCACAAAAAACACTCTGTGAGGTGAGTGGGGCTGAGAAACTTCAGAGAAGTGTGACCAGCCCAAGGTCACCCAGCAGCTGCATGTGGAGGAGCGGAGACGCAAACCCGGTTCCCCAGATTACGAGTCCACCACTCTTAACCACTACACCACACTGGCTCTTGGCTTGCGGATTGCATAACCCCATATCCTCCATCATTTCTCCGATGAAAATATTTACATCCTAAGAAAAAGAGGGACATTCGGGCACCAAATCAGAAACCGGGATGGCTTCTATAAATCTAGGACTGTCCCTGGAAAATAGGGACAGGTGGACACTGTTATTCAGACAGTGGCAGGAGATCAGAAGTACATTAGCGACCATTTGATTGGGGCTCATGCCTCTCTATGGACATTCCTCAAAATTTAACAAGAGGCAGCAGCTGGCCAACGTCTGGTGAGGAAATGGGGTTGGGCAAGATGCTCTGCATTGCTCCAGGATCATTGATGGTTGGAAGCAGCAGGCCTCTGAGCATCTGTCATGGAAGGCTATAGAGCAGCAGTAGGGAATCTCAGCCCCAGGAGGTGAATGTGAGTCTCCTACTCTCTCTTTGGCTCTTGCAACTGTTCTCAGGCCACAGCCCTTCCAGACTATGCTTGAGTGTGTCTGCCTTGCTGGAATGTGTCCTTGAACCCTGATAATGCTTCCTTGGGTGGAGGACAACGAAGGGTGTGTGAATGCATGCAGAAACTTGCCTACTGTACAAAGGTGAAAGTTGCCTTTGCTTCTGCACTCACTTTTGCCTTTCGCCCAATCCACCGCTGGCATGTGACCTGTGGAAGGTTACCCAGAATGTGGTCCTCTGGCTGAGACAGCTTAGTCCCGTAATTCAAACATTTCCCATAATTTTAATACTTGCTATAACGTAAAAAATCCCTGTACAGTGGTACCTCAGGTTAAGAACTTAATTCGTTCTGGAGGTCCGTTCTTAACCCGAAACTGTTCTTAACCTGAGGTACCACTTTAGCTAATGGGGCTTCCTGCTGCTGCCGTTCCGCCACCGTGCAATTTCTGTCCTCATCCTGAAGCAAAGTTCTTAACCCAAGGTACTATTTCTGGGTTAGCGGAGTCTGTCACCTGAATCGTCTGTAACCTGAAGCGTCTGTAACCCGAGGTACCACTGTACTTTAATTAAATTACATCTCACCACAGAGGTGAAAACAGACCAGAGGACTTGTGTACCTGTCAGTCTGCTCACTAGCAGTGGGGAAGTTCAAGGCCCCATTTCTTCTTCTTTGAGTTTATTTACAAAATTATTTACACTGGACCTGGACCAGACATAACATCCTTTGCAAATCAAAAATGACGCTTCCAATAATGCCCTACGTTGGCAGTGGGTTAACTCCTTTGTTTGATCTTCTGTTTGCAGTGGATGCAGGAACGGTGAAACTGGGCTGCGGTGACTCGAATTTGTGCCGCCGCTATCAGAAAGGGAACAGGGGATCTTTAAGCTGGTCGATGTTTTGTTGCTCCTTCGATCTATGCCAGCCTCTGACACGTGATGGTATGTGGTACAGAAATGGTGCATGTCCATGTTGATGTGCTCTGAATTTAGCTGTGAGGCTATGTTGGGGGCAGTGATAAACACTTTCATGAAAACATCACTTCAGTGCTTTGCCAGTAATAAATAATAATAATAATAATAATAATAATAATAATAATAATAAGCCTATTCAACTAATGAATGAATGAATTTATTATTTCGGTCACAGACCAGTTCCAGCCCACATACAATATCAAGGAAGTCATAAAACATGATAGGGATACATTTGAATTTGCAATTAGGTATAACAGGGACAATACAGATATAGCAACAGTTAAAACTGTTGTTGTTGTTTAGTTGTGTCTGACTCTTCGTGACCCCATGGACCAGAGCACGCCAGGCAGTCCTGTCTTCCACTGCCTCCCGCAGTTTGGTCAAACTCATGCTGACAGCTTCGATAACACTGTCCAACCATCTCGTCCTCTGTTGTCCGCTTCTCCTTGTGCCCTCAATCTTTCCCAACATCAGAGTCTTTTCCAGGGAGTCTTCTCTTCTCATGAGGTGGCCAAAGTATTGGAGCCTCAGCTTCAGGATCTGTCCTTCCAGTGAGCACTCAGGGCTGATTTCCTTTAGAATGGATAGGTTTGATCTTCTTGCAATCCATGGGACTCTCAAGAGTCTCCTCCAGCACCATAATTCAAAAGCATCAATTCTTCGGCGATCAGTCTTCTTTATGGTCCAGCTCTCACTTCCATACATCACTACTGGAAAAACCATAGCTTTAACTATACAGACCTTTGTTGGCAAGGTGATGTCTCCGCTTTTTAAAAAGTATATATATATATATATATATATATATATATATATATATATACTTAGTCACCTATTCAACTAATTAGTCCCACTAGTGGATGTCCATGCAAGGACTTCTGCTAGCAGAGTGGGGCTTGCCCCTCCCTTCCCTTGATGCGCTTCCTGAAATTGGCTTGCAATCTGTGGGGGGTACAATAGTATTCAGGGGCAGGAGAGGGAATAATGTTCTGTCAGAGCAAGCTGGAATACTTGCGCCGATGGAACATTTTCCTTAATGAATTCCTAATAATAAAACAACTTCTTCTTCTTCTTCTTCTTCTTCTTCTTCTTCTTCTTCTTCTTCTTCGGCATGTTCTCCTCTTTGCACAAGTGTCTCAAAGTGACAGAGTAAAGCAAGCTATACAGAACATGAAAAACAAAACAATTGAAAGCCAAAACCTATTGCGTTGCATCCAAAGCCAGTCCTACTCTGAGTAGACATGCTAAAATCAATGGAGAACTTGCGACCCAACCCCTCCATCCCCCTAACGTAGGTCTGGCCACCACAGAACAGCTCCCCAAGGAAAAAGAAACCAGTCACCAACTGCTGCAAAGAAAAAGGTTAACACTGAAAAGTTATCAGTGTTGGTGCCCAGCAAGCCTTCATGGAGATAGTATTCCACATACTACAGAAAAGGCCCATTTTCTCATCCTCATACATCATCTGCCAGAGGGAAAACACAGAGAAGGGCCTCCAATTGGGGGATGTGACAGAGCCGGCCTGCCCATGAGGTAGGGTGAAGAGTCCACCTCAGGTGGCAGAAGTGCAAGAGGCGGCATTCTGCCCGCCCCACCTCTTCTGCTGCCAAGAGGGAGGTGTTACAGCGCACAGTGTTGCTGCTTATCTTCCCCAGGTGGAAGGCTTGGAGGAGCACCCTGGCTCCTGCTGAGTTTGGTGACAGCCAGGGTGTTCCTGCATGCCATGTTTCTGATCAGGTGACCCCTGCCTGGGGCGGGGAGGGAGGAGCCGAATGGCAATGCTCTGAGGAGTGCTCTGGCTTTTGCCAAATTTGCTGAGAGCTGGGAGGAGGCGGCAGAAATGGCAGGCATGTGGGTGAGAGTGGGGTGGTAGGTGGCAATTTCCATTTTGCCTCAGGTGGCGAAATGGGCTGGAATCTGATTATCTCTGTCTCTCCCCCTGCTGCTCACTGTTGCTTCCAACAGTTCACGGAAACGGATCAAAAAATGGTGTGCAGTGTCAAACCTGCATCGGGAGCGCAGCTGAATGTGGCCACAATGCGCCCACAGAGCCATGCTATGGGAGTGAAGACCAGTGCGTGCAGATCTCCCAGCGCCTCCTGCCAGGTATTGCCAAGTGGGTACCAAAGCATTCAAAGCGCACAGACACAGGGATAGGAGAGGCTAAGGCATCGCTAAGGATGTGATGGTCACTAGCCAATAGGTGCAGGGAAACCTCTGCAACCGCAACCTGCTGAGTAATCACCATTGCAAATGATGCACATGGTGTTGGAAAAACATATTTCAAGGTTTTCTGAGTTGCTGTCCTATGTTTTTAAGACTGTGTGTGTTTTGCAATAAAATGCAATTGCAGAGCTTGTCTTTCTAGGCTGGACAGGCAAAGCACTACGAAAACCTTTAGAGGCAACTGTTCCTTTAATTAAATGCTTTCTGTTTTTTTGTTCTCACCATTTTACTTCTTCCTGCTGGATTCATGATAAATTGCCCCTTGTTAGAGGGCTTCTGTTTCCTGCTTGGTGTGTCAGTAGTTTAATTACCAATTTATTTGCATATTTTTATACTCCTTTTATAGTGAAAGAGAGCTATTTAGCCATAAAAGAAAGGAAAGAAAAAACAGGAAGCAAATAATTTGTACTCTCCTCTGCTACAGTGAGGAACGGAAACTGACAAATATGGGGCAATTAAGGGGCAATGCACCACCAACCCATATCCGTGCAATGAAATGAGTGGAGCCAGCTAACTGGAAACTTCAAATTACAAGAGACCATCGCTGAAAGGGGCTTACTTTTGAGTAGACATAGATGGATCTTGGTCATTGGCATTGCTGGATAATATAGAACTATATCAAGTTCTGTGTGAAATCTGTTTTTATTGCACTTCCAGCTAATTGCAAAAAAGGAACAGTGCCTCAGTGCAGTGGATACTGTGGAAGCTGTTCCACGGAACAGCAAAATAACACCCACCATGCAAATTTAAACATACGCAGTATATGGAGAAGCTTATTCGTGAGATAATAGATGGAGTTAAAAGTGGAGTGTCCATTGGAAAACAATCTACTAGCTGCATTTCTTAAATCCAAAAATGGTCCTGTTCTGTGTGGACATCACCTGATGATTGCTTCTGCAGGTGAAGAAACAGAACCCATCATAAAGGGATGTGGAGGCAGTTCCTTTAAGGACACACTGGTGGCGTACCAGATCGGGAGAGATTTTGCCTTTGTTGAGCAAAAGGTCTGCAGCAGTTCCAACTGCAACAACAGGAGCTTCCCAGGTAAATGACAGTTGCCGTGCTCTGATAACCTTCTGTCAGGTAGGTACCGCCTGGGTGTAGGATCCTGCCTATATGCCAAATAATAACAATCTAGGACACAGTCTGCAGGAAAGTCCCCCAGCACAAGCCCCATGGCAATGAACAGGAGAGTTGCAGGAGAGTTGCGGCGCCTCTTCCAAATTAATATTTTGAAAAATAGGAAATCCACGGAATGTTTAATTTAGGTAAAAATTGTACTCATTTTCCAGAAGATAGAGGTGCTGTCTTGCGCCCAAGATTGAGGGAGTCCAGCACATATCACACACTGGTGCGCATTGCATGCACTATTCTGTAAGGGATGCTTTAGATGAGATTCCTGCATTGCAGGGGGTTGGGCTAGATGACCCATGGCGTCCTTTCCAACTCTACGATTCTGTGACTTCATATGTATGATGTTGCATCATCGGGGGGGGGGGGTTGAGTGTTGAGCCCAGCGCAAAGGAGGGGGCCAGCAGAACCCCGCTGGTGCAGCATTACATAAAATCCATCATTTCTGTAAGTCGCCTTGAGGCACTTTGGAGAAAGGTTATTTAAGAAATTGAATAGATCATCACTAAAGTTCCCCCCCCCTTTTTACTCTACAGTCATAACTTCCGGACAGCCCAATGGGCTGCAATGCTATACCTGCCAGGAGTCCGGGCATGGGGAGTGTGCTCAGGACAGACTGCAAGTTTTAAATTGCACAGGAGTCATGGATCAATGTGTACGCGTCATCGACAGAGGTAAGAAAGCGGCAAGGGTGCGTATACAGAGGACTGGGAAGCATGCCATCATGGTTGCCATCAATTTGATTTGAATTAATTTTACAATGAAATGATTTTAGAATGTTGTATTATTTTATTGTTGTTAGCCGCCCTGAGCCTGCTGGGGAGGGCGGGATATAAATAAAATTTTATTATTATTATTATTATTATTATTATTATTATTATTATGCCTGTTGGCCTGATCAGATGCTAAAGAGGGGGCAGCTCCTTATCTCAAAGAGTTAAAGAGAAGCATGGATCAGAAAAACTGCTGCTACAGGAATCCATCCTTTGGGATACACTGCTTGAGGGCCATGTGAAATTACCTTAAACAAGGAGAGTCTCCATACACAGAGGAGGTTATTTGTTACATCTTTGTTCCGGCTCTGATCCCTCCCAATCAGTATCTACAGTGGTACCTCGGTTTTTGATCGTCTCGGAAGCTGAACGTTTTGGTTTTGAACGCCGAAAACCCAAAAACCCAGAAGTAAATGCTTCCGTTTTCGAACATGCCTCGGAAGTCGAACGGCTTCTGCTGAGCTTTTTTCTCCATTGAATTTGCAGAATGCCCTTTGTGCCTCGGTTTTCAAACGCTTTGGAAGTCAAACGGTCTTCCGGAATGGATTACGTTCGAAAACCGAGGTAACACTGTGCCAGGAGCAATTAATTCTGCAACACCTCTCCATCAGGTAGGAAATAACTCCTGACAGAGAGGATACAGCCAAGTGACCTGTTCTCAGGGGAGGTGCCCCATCGCTTCTCTGTGTGAGTCACTGTTCTTGGTGTCCCTTCTTTTATCCACATCTGAACTGGTTATTCATGCAGAGACACAAGGAGCCGGGTTCCTTTGAGGACAGGAGATTCTTGCTTTTGTACCATCCACGCCATGGATTTAAAAGTGGTTTTAACAACCAACCCTTTTACTCGGGCCACTCTGGGAATTGTAGTCGTGTGAGGGTGATTGGAGGGGGTGTCCTAAAAATTCTCAGTACCCTTAACAAACTACAGTTCCCTGGATTCTCGGCGGGCGAGGGGGAAACCTTGACAGTTAAAGTGTTATAAAAGTGTGGGTAAACAAACATTCTGGAGTCTTCCTTTTTGGATGGATTTGGTGTGCCTCTCCAACATCAGAAGTGTAGAAAGCACCAAAGCAAAGGGTTTAGGTCGCCCTGATCCCAAATAAGCCTTCCACAGTGAAGCATGGTCAATTCTGGTCAATTTCACGGCCCCTGAAGACATCCTTTTAATTGTACCTCCGTATTGATTTGTGCTCCTGATGCTATCAAGGCGTTTGCACACGTTATTCCATTTTCGAAAGATTGAGCATGTATCTGTTTTGGGGACACCACACTGCTTCACTTCCAATGAGTGCCTATCTCTGTAACTATTTATGCCACAAACGTTCTGGTTTATTTTTGTCCTGCTTTGGTTGAGTTTTAAAGCCCCTCCGGACGGCAAGGATATGGCAGCATTGGGGAGGCATCACAGAGCAAATCCACCACAGATTCACCATCCTTGTGTTAAGAACATGTTGCAGAATACACCTGCAATAAAACATCATTTCTTGGAGGGCCCCTCAATTTCTCACTCATTCTTTACTTGTAGGATATGTCTTAGTATAAGAGGACCATTTCGCCCTCTAGTGTCCATAGGTGGAATGTGATGCAGGTTTTACGCTGCTCTAAAAATCTCCAATTTAGGAGTGGGGAGCCACCAGGTACAGTTGTACCTTGGTTTTCAGACAGCTTAGTTCCTGAATGTTTTGGCTCCCGAACCTCGCAAACCCGGAAGTGACTGTTCTGGTTTGCGAACTATTTTTGGCAGTGCTTTTTTCCTAAAAAAATGTTTAGGGGTACTCTCCTTTTCCTACTCATATTGAAATACTTCTTAAGTTATAGATGTAAGAAGAATTTATCGAGATCTGATATAACATATATTACTGTTTTTACTTTTTGGATGAATTTTTGTTCGTTCTTTCTTTTTAATTTCAATAAAGCATTTAAAAGAGAAAGAAAGAAAGAAAGACAGCCCCTCAATGAGGCCAAAGTTAGATTCACAAAATGTTTAGGGGGATGCGTCCCCCCGCATCCCCCCAGAAAAAAGCACTGATTTTTGGGAGCCGAACATCCGTCGGGGCTTCCGAGGCTTCTGATTGGCTGCAGAAGATTCAGAAGCTGCACTTTGGTATTTGAATGTTTTGGAATTCGAACGGACTTCCAGAACGGATTCCGTTCGACTTCCAAGGTACGACTGTATCTCTATTTGGCCTTCATAGAATCATAGAATTGTAGAGATGGAAGGGACCACAAGGGTCATATAGTCCAACCCCACCGCAATGCAGAAATCTTTCTCCTTGTGGGACTCAAACCCACGACCCTGAGGTAAAGAGTTCATGCTCTACAGAACTCTCCATAGGCCACGTCTCTCTTTTTTTGCCTGTCCTTGAACTTCAATAATGGAGAGGGTTGTTTAAGTGTGGGTAGAAACTAGCCCATCCTACAAGGCGAAGCTTCCATTAGTTTCCCCGCCTGCTTCCCCTCTGGCTCCACCCACTGCTGCCATGCGGCCCTCAGAAGATTGCCCAGAAGGGAATATGGCCCTCAGAAAATCCAAAAAATCTGTCTTCCTTCTTTTCCAGAGAACAGAACTGTGACCTTTCAGAAAGGCTGTGCCACTGAGACCATGTGCAGCAGCTACGAGGATATCTATTCCAAACTGATGGGGCCGGATTCCTTTGTTGAGTGTTGCAAAACGTCCTTCTGCAACCAAGCTGGAGAGCATTCTGGTCCACAGATGCTACTGATGGTGGCTGCTTCTGCCTGGTGGCTGGCATGGATGGCTTGACCATAATGGCAGCTGTCTGGGTGAGCCTTCAAGAAAGGATTGGGCCAGTCTTTGAAAGTTGGTTGCATACATGGGAATAGGTGCTTGTCGTCTACTGGGGCTCCTTTATCTGCCTGGAAGGAGGTGGCACTGAAGCACTGCTCCCCTACTGTCTATATGCCATGCCAAGACTGGATTACTGCAATGTGCAGCATGCGGGGCTTTCCTTGTGCTTGATCCGGAAGCTGCAGTTAGTGCAGAATGCTGCGGCAAAAGATTAAGACCCCGGTCAACAGAGGACACCTTTGTCCAGAGGCCTGTAGTGGTTACCAATTTGTTGCTGGGCCAAGTTCAAAGAGTTACTATTGGTATATAAAGCCCTTAACAACTCGGGACCAGTTTACCTGCAAACTGTCTTACCCCACATATTGTATGCCTGCTTGACTGCTTTGATTACAGATGCCACAAAATATTCGTAAGAAATTGACCTTTTCCTATGGCAGCATCCCTGCCTATTGACATCAGCCAGCAGCCTTCATTGTACTCTTTTCAGTGCCTGCTAAGACCCTGTTTGCTTAGACAAGGCTACCCAGATATGTAGAATGTCAAAGCATGTTTTAATCTTTTTTTTAGCTCATTGTTGATTTTTTTTTTTTGGAATATTTTAAATAGCTGTTTTTACTGCTAATTTTGTTGTTTTATTATTATTTTTACAATCAAGTGGTATGGAAATTTTATGAACTAAATAAACAATAAACAAAACACACAATGTCGAAATAGGGTGCTTTTGGAGGGGCGGTTCCCACACCTACAGTTCACATGCAATGCCCTTTCTTGGCTAGAGTGGGCATTTGATTTTTAAGAGTCTCATCTTCTCACTGCCTGCATGAGGGACATCTGTGCAAGCTCACAAACACAAGTCTCAAACGTGGTTGTGTTAAGGGACACCTCAACAAAAAACAAATCCTATAGGTTGAGAAGACAAAATATTACCTTTCCCAGGTTCACAATCATTCTCATGATTTCTGTTGGATACTTCTACACTATGGAAAGGACGGTTTGCTTAACTCCGGATTATTAGAAATCTGGAAAGCTGCTATTCCACAGGCCAAAAGCAGAACAGCAGTGATTGTGTCATCCACATCTAGAAGCACCCACTGTCCAATATTGCCAACAATTAAGAGATTTAGATCCTGATAAAAAAAAAACCCCTTCAAGTTGTCAGAGAGGGCCATTCTGAGTGCAGCGTTGCTTGCCATCAAGTCCCGTTTTTGGAGAGGCTTCAACCATCCCCCCCCCTGAACTGAAGGCCACTTGAAAGAAGGATCACTGGTGGCAGTGTGTACTTTTGCCTCTTATTAAACGAGTTGCGTTAGTTTTTAATTTTGCAGCTCCAAAACCCTGCAAAACCAGTTTCGCCAGAGTGACAGCGAGCCTAAGGAATTATGCATATATATTATGGCAAGCGAAACCTGACGGAGACGCCAGCCCAAGAAATTAGTTCTGCAAGTGTTTCTGTGTATGAGGTAATATATAAGTGTGTGTGTGTGTGTGCTCGCACACACAGAGAGAGACAGGGGTGTGTGTAGAACATGAGAGGTTGCTTATGCCAAGAGACAAACCATTGACCCATCTAACTCAGTGTTTTCTATGGCTCTGACTGGCAGCAGTTATCTAGGGCTTCAGTTAAGTGACTTTCCCAGCTCCACCTGGAGATGCCAGGAATTGAATTTTGTATGCAAAGTGGATGCTCAGTCACTGAGCTGCAGCCCTTAAATTTCTTAAACATGTGCGTGTGTGTTCATGCACGCGCACACACACACAGAGGTCTGCACCCTCCCTACTAACATTTGGCAATGGAAAATAATTACGACTTGTTTGTGTTATGTTAGCAAGCCCAGAGAAGGCTGTGTTCCCATGGGATCCGATGCCAGCTTTTGCCAAAGACCTTCGGAAGTATGAATTTCAAAATAGGCTCACCTACAGCTACGAACGCACACCTTCCTCCTGTTTAGCATCTGCTTTGCATGCAGAAGGTCTCAGGTTCAGTCCTTGCCATTTCTCTGGAGGCCTGGGAGAGAATCTTGTCTGAGATCCCGGACAGCTGCTGCAGAATCATCAAGTTACAGAACTGCAGAGTTGGAAGGGACCACGAGGGTCATCTGGTCCAACCGCCTGCAATGCAGGAATCTTTTGCCCAACATGGGGCTTGAACCCACGACGCTGAGATTAAGAGTCTCATGCTCTACTGGCTGAGCTATTCCAACATACTAAGCTAGATGGATCAGGAACTTGACTCAATATAAAGCAGCTTCCTATACAGTCATACCTCAGGTTACAGACGCTTCAGGTTGCGTTTTTTTGGGTTGCGGACCGCCGAAACCTGGAAGTACTGGAGTGGGTTACTTACGGGTTTCGGCGGTCGCACATGTGCAGAAGTGCTAAATTGCAAAACCCAAAGCGCACAAGGACTCTCCTAAATCTCTGGCGAAGCTTTTTCACTCCCTTGTCTCTTGGGATCCTTTCTAGCTGGCCGGGAGAGAAGAATGATGGTGGGGAGAGAGACCCAAGGGCCAGAAAGAGAGACATGGCAGGTTGCATTCTACACACACCCTGGGCGTGAGGTTCTCCACCCCAGCAATAGGACATAAAGAGAGTTCTGCTGGATCAAACCAAAGGCCCATCTAACCTCACAGCGGCCAACCAGATGCCTATGGGAAGCCAAGAAGCTGGGTCTGAGCACAACTGCAATCTCCACACCCGTGCATCTCAGAAGCTGGCGTTCAGAGGCATACTGTGGGTGTAGAACAGTCACCTTTGCTAGCAGCCATTCTTAAAAGGGCGAGAGAAGTTGATTGGGAGGTCCTGCATAACAAACCCGCTTTGGGTTGTGCAAGAAGGAAAGTGATGGAAAGATGTGCTGGAAAGTGACTGACACTTCCTGTGATGCAAGGGCATCACACCTCCACACAGAAAGGATGCTCGTTAAGGAGCCAACACAGTCTCCAACCTCCCCATAAACAAATCAGGGTGGATGATTGACAAACAACTTCTCTGGAAGCACCCGGCATCTAACCATGGCGTAGTCTTTGCACAAGCAAGTCAGGAGGAGCCTTAATGCACCGTCTCCCACCCTCTGGAAGCTGCTCCTTCGCTTACGGATGTGAATTAAAACCATCAGGGCTGAGCTGTAGCCAAACAGCATGTTTCATAAAAAGGCTGTACCATCCCGTGATGCAAGGTAATTAGGATAATAATGAGGCACAGCAACCTGCTGGCTTTGGGGAGGGCCCTCGTGGACTCTGGAAGATGAAAAATGACTGTGGGAACCATGCCGAGAGCTTGGAATCGGAGTGGTGTTTTCTGGCAAAGCAGAGCGCAGTTGGCTCCGGAACAGTCGCTGGCATCTGCTTATTTTTAGGGCGGTTTCAGCCTTTCCTCCTCAAAGGAGGAAGGAACGCAGGGAAGTGGGAAACTGAGTCACTCCTGAAGAGAAGAGGATGGTATCTCCAGCCAGAAAGCCTTGCATCTCAAAGCAGAGTCCAAGGTAAGAGGGAGACCTTGGATAGGGAGGAACCTAGGGCGCTGCTTCCCCCAAAGAATTGTGGGAGCTGTAGTTCGTTAAGGGTTCCGAGAGCTGCTAGGAGGCCCTCTATTCCTCTCGCAGAGCTACAATTCCCAGAGTCCTCTGTGAAGATGGATTGTTAAACCACTCTGGGTATGGTCTCTTTGGGAGGGGAGCAGCTCTCAGTACCCTTAACTGACAACGGCTCCCAGAATGCTTTGAGGGAAGCTATGGTTATTTAAAGCTGTATCAAAGTACTTTAAATGTATGGTGGCTTGACAATCATATGTCAGGAGTGCTCTGATGGTGTTTCCTGCTTGGCAGGGGGTTGGACTTGATGGCCCTTGTGGTCTCTTCCAACTCTATGATTCTATGATTCTATGAATGTGACCCTTGTTTGCCCTTAACAAGGAACTACTGACAAGCTTATGAGGACCCCCCAACCCCAGTTCTGAGGAACAGACACAGAAAACTCTAAAGCATCAGGCTTCAAAGTCAAGATCCACCCATCAACCTGCAATATAGCAACTGCTTTAAATATTGTTATTCCATGTGCTGTTTTGGGCTTAACCGGTCACCTCCACCCCCCCTTCTCTCTGGGTGCTTCCAGATAGGTATCTACCATGGGCGCTCCTCATGTGTGCAACATTTTTTTAAAAACAGCATCTGCAGGGCATTGTTGGCAATTTAATCTGAATTTACCCTTTCCAGGAGAAATCAAGCAAGGGACCCTTGAGGCTGGCGTTTTACTGCAGATGCATTCTGCAACTCAGTCTTGACACAACAATAGTGCATTTGTGGTGAATTTATTATTGCTGTCCAAAAGGGCTATGGCACAACAAAAAGCAGAAGGAAAGCAAACCAGAACATTTGTGGTGTAAAAAGTTACGGGATTTCATTAGGAAATGAAATTTCCTAAGCAATAGGCACTGCTTAGAAAGGAAGCAGTATGATCACCCCAAAACCTTTGTGGGCAAAACTAGTGTTGAAAGCATGACTGCGTATGACCACCCTGATAGCAGCATGAGCGCAAATCGTCATGCATGTGCATGGATCTCCCGAGGCCCTCAGTTAAAAACAATCAAACTGTTGTCAACATCCCCCTTGCAATATGTGAATGGCCCTTTTACTGTAAGTTGTCTTAAGCCATTTTTAATTTTGCATGTTAAATTATTGCAAATCATCATCATCCCCTGCCTGGCAGTGACCTCTGCGCTCATCCAGATTTCTGCTTGTTGTGTCGCATTCCCCCACCCCCCGGGAAAAACCACCATTTACTGCTTGACATTTGATCTGATTCTGTGCTAAAGGGCTTTCCTGGGAAAGCAGCAGTGCAAACAGAAAACTGCTCAGATCCATGCCTATAAAGCACAGGACAATTGGAGAACTACTTGAACCCAAGCTTTTGAGGCATGGGACAAGCAGGAGTGTGGATGTGCCCTTAGTCAGCTTCCTCTCTGTATTTCTCCATTCATTTATGCAGTTATATTTTTCTCCTGTCCTCCCTCTATGGAGCACAGAGCACTGTTCATGGTCTACCTCCTGTTTTATCATTTCAGCAACCCTATGGGGTAGGCTGGATTGATAGGGAGAATCTGGCCCAACATCACCAGATTTGCTTTCAGGATGAGCAGGAATTTGAACCTGGATTGCCCTCGGACTCCCCAATCCGCCCCACTTTTCCTTTGTTCCAAAGATGCTTTTATGATGTACAGTCGTAACTTGGTTCGTGAACGCCTTGCGCATCAAACATTTTGGCTCCCAAATGCCGCAAACCCAGAAGTGAGTGTTCCGGTTTGTGAACGTTCTTTGGAACCTGAACACCCAACGTGGCTTCTGCGGCTTCCAATTGGCTGCAGGAGCTTCCTGCAGCCAATTGGAAGCCGCACCTTGGTTTCAGAACATTTTGGAAGTCGAACGGACTTCTGGAACAGATTCCATTCGACTTCTAAGGTACCACTGTATTGTGATGACCCATCTTCAGTCAGATTGCAGTTCATTTACCTGTGCAACCCCTCAACAGAATAATTCTAATTCTAATTCTAATTCTTTATTATTTCTACCCCGCCCATCTGGGGTTATAACGAATGTTATAAAGTTTTTTTTGGGTGTGTGTGTGGGGAGAAGCAGGGGGAAAATCCTCCAGGAAGAGTACAGTGATACCTCAGTTTACAAAAACCCTGGGTTACCAACACTTCAGGTTACAGACTCCGCTAACCCCAAAGTAGTACCTCAGGTTAAGAACTTTACCACAGGCTGAGAACAGAAATCGTGTGGCTGCGGTGCGGCGGCAGCAGGAGGCCCCATTAGCTAAAGTGGTACTTCAGGTTAAGAATGGTTTCAGGTTAAGAATGGACCTCCGGAACGAATTCAATTCGTAACCAGAGGTACCACTGTATATCGAAAGCCTTGCCTTCGATACTACAGGGTTGGAAATTGCAACCTGCTACAGTTGAAGATCGTTCTGCCAACAAACAGACCAGCCACTGGCGTGAAATCTGCAGAAATGAACTAGAAATTAATCTCCCTGGATCCGAGGCTGGAACTAACCCAGCTGCGCCACTGCTTTCCAAGCCATTTATTTGGTTTCCCGCCTGCTTATTCCCCCTCCCTCCCTCCCAACCTTCTGAGATGAGTTGAGAGAGGCAGCCGCTACAAAAAAAGGGAAATACAAAACATGATGTTAAAAGGCCTTTTCACACTCAAGGGGGTGTCTCAGGGGCCATGAGAGATGGCCTGGTTTTTCCATTATATAATCTTATTAAAGCTCCCGGAGCAAGTAATCCTGAGTGGCTTCACCGGACGTGGGTGGAAAGTTAAAGAAGCAAACAGCTTGCCCTCTTGCGGGCTGCGACCTTTTGAGTTGTTGTGGGAGGGTTGGCGAAGTTCAGTGAAACCTGGCAGGGCTAAGAAAGAGGGCCTTGTGGGTAGGAAGACTTCCAGAGGTCCTGCTCCCATTACGTTCCCAAAGAAAGACACACCTTGGTGACGCAGGTGGGGCACTGCCAGACCTGGGATAGAGGGCACCTGATCTACAGGAGTTTTGCATTTGGGATGGGGGCAGACGGGTGAAGAAGGCATTTGTGGTTCAGTTCAGGGCTATGAGCAGTGGGGCTGCCAGCAGGGCGAAGAGGATGCCCTCGCCTCTCCTTCCACCCTGGCCCGGCCCTCCGTTGCAGAAGGGGCCCTGGCAGCAGGTCACGTAGCTGACGGGAAGCTTGGGCAGCAGTGTTCCATAGAAGACCGTATCCTGGCAGAGCTGCTGGTTGGCGCAGCCAGCTCGGAGGGTGGCACCGCGGACATAATCTGCATTGGAAGAGAGGAGAGGAGGGAAGGGAGTTGCATATCTTCCCAGGACAAGGGATCAGATCATATGAGTAGGGATAGGAGCGTTGGTCAATTTCATTTCTCTCCATTACTCATTTCCCCAATCTTGAATTCAGCTCTTCATATTTCTGCTGCAAACACCCACACACACCCACACACACACGGAAATTCACCAGCATTTCTCCTAACAAAGACATAATTCCAGGTACTTTTGACTAATGTGACACATTTTTGGCAAGCGATTCCCTACAATCTAATGCATTTTTGTATCCAATGCATTTTATAGCTTCATTTCGATGCACACTCTTCCCTAATATCTGTACTCTTATGAACATTGCTTGATTGGAGAACTGCATTGAAAAATTCAGATAAGTGTGAATTTTGTAGGATCGCTGTGTTTCGGTTTGCGTATTGTTTCAGAAAGTGTGAATTTTATTGATTCGGCTTTAAATGCATCCTGAATCAAATTTCTCATCCATCCTTCGTCTGAATCCTAATCATGCATTCCTTGTGTTTGGGGCAAATCAACTTACTCATAGTTTCCTGTAACCAGAAGCTGGAAGGGCCAGGATGTGACAGGACTGTAAGGAAGGGCCATACCTCATCTGCTTTACTTGCAGAAGGTCTCAGGTTCAGTCTCTGACATCTTCAGGTAGAGCTGGGAATGTCTCCTGGCTGCCCTATGGGCTCTCCTGGGCTCTGCACCTGCCTGGCATGATTCAGAATGGGCCCTTTTCCCCACTGTGAAAGTCTTTGACTCCCACATCCCCCACTGGATAAGGCTGATTTGTCTCCCCGATTGCTCCTGATGTAGATCTTCACTCACACTTCCTTCCCTGGGCAGGGCGTGGGGGGTACCATTTTGTGGTTTGCTTCAGGTGCCAAAATGTCTTGGGCCGGCCCTGACTGTAGGATCATCAACATCATCATAATTTATTATTTATACCCTGCCCATCTGGCTGGGTTTCCCCAGCCGCTCTGGGTGGCTTCCAACAGAATATTAAAAACACACAAAAAATCAAACATTAAAAACTTCCTGATACAGGGCTACTTTCAGACGTCTTCTAAAAGTCAGATACAGTGGTGCCTCGCAAGACGAAATTAATTCGTTCCGCGAGTTTAGTCGTCTTGCGATTTTTTTCGTCTTGCGAAGCACGGTGTCGGGAAAGTTTTGGGAAAGCTTCAAAAATCACCAAAGTCTTTAAAAACCTCAAAAAAGGCTACCACACCACGTTCTATGAGTTGCTCCTCGAAGTCAAGTCACAACTGTATTAACGGTGTTAAGAAAAAGGAAACAAACTTGCAAGACGTTTCCGTCTTGCGAAGCAAGCCCATAGGGAAAATTGTCTTGCGAAGCAGCTCAAAAAACAAAAAACCCTTTTGTCTAGCGAGTTTTTTGTCTTGCGAGGCATTCGTCTTGTGAGGTACCACTGTAGTTGTTTATTTCCTTGACATCTGATGGGAGGGCATTCCACAGGGCGGGTACCACTACCGAGAAGGCCCTCTGCCTGGTTCTCTGTAAGCTCACATCTCGCAGTGAGGGAACTGCCAGAAGGCCCTCGGAGCTGGACCTCAGAGTCCAGGCTGAACGATGGGGGTGGAGACACTCCTTCAGGCCGTTTATTATCATGCTGTGTATTAATTGGTGTGCATGTATGCTTTGCGTTCTTAAACCATTTGGGCTTTCCAGTGCTGCAAGTAAGCCATCTGTAGGCCTTAGGAACAGGAACTGACCTTGGCTAGTACCGTGACTGGTACATGTGAGTTGGACCTAAGAAGGTATTTTAGGATCACAACAAAGAGGAAACCAGCCTGGCCCAATCAACTGGTGAGTGAAGGCACACCTGCTCTGATGCTTGCTTTCCTTTACCCTCCCCATTCCCTTTTCCTTTTGTATCATGCCTATCAGATTGTGTGCCTGTGGGCAGGGACAGCCCTATCTTTTAGTATAGGTACAACACTTAGAAAATGTTAGGCACTTTAAAATGGTAAGATAATAATCATTACTATCACCTGAGGAGGCACCGCCTATTCAAAAGCCTCCATCCACCTTTTGCCATAAATCTTGCACCATCTCTTACCTATGACATTCATGCAATGGTCCATGTTTCCCACGCAGTTCATGAGTTGCAGATTCCCTGTGCTGCACTCATCATTTCCTGTATCTAGGCAGCTGTAACACACCAGCCCGTTGAGTTCCCTCACAGAAAACTCTGAAAGGTAGGAGACAAAAGTCTTTTTCAGTAAGGGCCAAATTAGGTGTGACAATTACCATGCTTTTGTTTGTTTGTTCTGCAAACAGCAGCTGTTAGGAGAGCTGAGCAGCCTCTGGACTGTGGGAATGAGGAGTTTAACTCTTTCTCTTTCAGCCCCAACACAAACCTCATCTCCCCAAAGCTGCTATTTGCATTTTTTGAGGCCAGAATGACATGTGGGACAAAATTTGGAATCAGAAATTCCTGGATTCGATTTCTGACACAGTCATACAGAGACAGTGAGAGTGGAGGAGCTTTGATGTAATGCAGGACTTTAAAAAAGACGGGACAAATTCATGACTATTATTCAGGGATGACCATATACTATTTCCAAGATCAGAGATGTTGGGGAAATGAGAGCGAAAGCTATTGTGTTGGATTCTTGCCTGTGTGCCTACTTGTAGGAGGGTAGTTAACTCACATTTGGGGGAACTGCTTTGCCCCCCCTCAGTTTTCTGGCCCTTGTGGGATATAAATGTATTATTATTAAATATAATAATAAATATTGCCCAGTCTTGTTCACAGATATTTACTGCCTAATAATGCTGCTTTTTGTGGGTGGGATATTTTTATATGGGGGGGGGGACATGTGAGCCAAAAGGACTTTAAAAATACATCTATGCAATCCAGAGATATTTTTAAAAACCGGACTTCTGAGTTTTTGCAATTTTCAAATTTTGGTTTTCAAGTCCTCAGTGGGGACAAAATTTTAAACACAAAGCACCCAAAGTTTTATTTTAATTTTGGCATGCACATTTGAGTCGAAATTGGCTCAGGACTCCTGCTGTTCCAATTTGGGTCATCCCAAGAAACCTGCAACCCAGAGTTACCTGTGAAAGAGCTGTTGTTGCACCTGGAACCTTCACAGACACGAATGGCCACGTAGCTGATTTTGCCTCCTATGCTGTATGCCAAGAGTGTTTCCTCCTTGGGGTAATTCCCGCAGCCTTTGATGATGGGCTCCACCAGACCTGTTCCTGTAGAAACAGAGGAGGGTGTCAAAGATCCTTGCCAATGGTTGTTGGGGAATGTATTTGAGCGAAGGGCTGGACTATTCTGTATGCCAAGCACACTACAGAGGAGCTCAATGGCATTCGGGCTGCGTTCGCAGAGAGTAGACAACCATGTAGGACTCCTTGATCTTCTGTTGCAGTGCAATGTGTACTTATGTACAACCAGGCAGGGGATGCCTCCGCCTCTCAATGGCTCTGGCTCCACTTTCCATTGGTCTCCTCTCCCTCTGCTCCTCCAGTTCCAATGGGCATCAGGCACTACCAGCACAGTGCCAGTTCTCACGGGACACTGGAGAGGCCAGGCCATTGCCCCACATGAACTGAGAGTGCTCCCTAGAATCCAACATGTGACCTTTTGCAAGGCACACACGGCTTCTGCCACAAAAACCAGCAGGGGTTCCTCAGCAGATACACCTCTGTTTTTATCAGGGGTGGCTAATCATTTTTGGGGTCAACGGCTGTGGCCCGCTGTCCCCATGCCAAGGTGAGCAGGGGCAACATACCAAAGTGCAAAGTGAGTGTGGCTTTTCTTTTCTTTTACACTCTGGGGAGTTGGGGAATCTCAAAATCCTTTTGGCATCCCAGAACCTCAGCCTAGGATCTACAGAAGTGATTGGTAAAACACGTACACGCACACAACTTTTAAACTGTTTTTTTAAAGGGCAAATTCTGGGGTCCCCCCCCCAAAGCCTTTTGGCATCACAGTGGGAGCAGTTTAGTAATTATTATTATTATTACTATGGTGGAACCTTGGTTCTTGAATGTAATCCATTCCGGAAGTCCGTTCAACTCCCGAAACGTTTGAAAACCAAGGCACGGCTTCTGATTGGTGCAGGCGCCCTGGAAACAATAGCTGACAGCCGTATCGGACGTTCGACTTCTGAAAAACGTTCGAAAACCGGAACACTTCTTCCGGGTTTTCAGTGTCCGGGAGCCGATTTGTTCGTCAACTAAGCCGTTTGAGAACCAAGGTTCCACTGTATTATTATTTTAAATGGATTTTTTTTTCCCAGCAGGGCTTGCGGAGGTACAAAATGCCTTTTGACATCAAAGCGGGGGAACCATAGATGCAGTCATAGCTTTGGGGCAACTGTGCCAGGGGTGGGGTGGGGCCTGAATCTTGAAAGAAGTGACAAATTGGAAGGGCACAAAAACACTTCTCAGATAGATTACCTGGCAGCCACTGGCGAGAAATTTCCACGCAGCGGTTCTCTTTGCCTCTGCACTGGGCTGTGGGAATGCTGGTCCCATTACACTCCTCCAAACTGCCGATGCAACTGTAACACTCCACTCCATTGCGTTTGGTGCTGTACGTGACTGCGGGAAGGCAAGAAAAAAAAGGGCTCACCAATTCTGAGGCCCACGAGCACTGCTTGGGGAAGGCTTCAGTAAATAGCACCTCAAAAATCCACATTCTAAGAGGCCCTCTTGGTGGTTCCACCTCCCTCAGGAGCTTGGGTGGCAGCAGTAGTCCAGAAGGTGGTCAAGGAGCCCATGCCAATGTTTAAAGCCCTAAAAACAATGTAGACCCCAAATATCTAAAAGGCCACTTCCTTTTGCACAGACCCTCTTGGTGGTTCCACCTCCCATTTGGGGTGAGTGTGACCCGGTAGAGGGCATTCTCTGCAGCAGTCCCTAAGTTGTGGAATTCCCTCACCAGAGAGGTACGTCTGGTACCTTCATTATACATATTTTGGTAATTTGCAGAGGACACACCTGTTTGCATTGGCCTTTGACACTTGACAGATATATATATATTTGGGACCCACCCTACTCTTGCGATTGTAATTTCTTTCAAACTGTTTTCAGTGTTGTTGTTTTAAATGGTTGTGACCCATTTGGGGACTCCTGATCAAGGATGGGTAATAAAACAAAATAACAACAATAAATATTGTTTATCACTGTCAAATTTGACATCACTGAAATATTTGACATCACGTACAGAGAGCAGGAGATAGGCCACATTCACACCATAAATTTAAAGCATGATGATACCAGTTTAAGCAGTCAAGACTTCCCCCACAGAATTCTGGGAGTTGTCGTTTGTTAAGGGTGCTGAGAGTTGTTAGGAGACCCCTATTTCCCTCCCTGAGCTACAGTTCCCAAAGTTCCCTGTGAAGAGGGAATGATGGTAGCTCTGTGAGGGAAACAAGGGTCTCCTCTTGGCACTTTTAAATCACAGCTCCCAGAATTCTTTGGGGGAAGCCATGACAGCGTAGAGCAGTATCATAGTGCTTTAAATGTATGGTGTGAATGTGGCCATAGTTAGTGGCTCATGAAAGTAAGCAAGTCAGCTCTTTTTCCAGTGTGTCACACATGTCTCTGGAGAGCGTAGAGGCCTGATCATTTCCACTTCAGGGTTGACCATACTCCGGGGACTCTTACCATTGTAGGGGACATCGTTGCAAAGGTCTTCGGAACAGCAGTAGATGCTTCGTGATATGAAGCCCCTGCGAGTGGAGAAGTAGGACTGGCAGTACTGGGATGTGGTGCACCCTCTCTTCAGGGTCTCACTTATGGGGCCTAGAGAAGGGAAGGCACAGCAAGATGGTAGCTAAGGTGCATGATGAGGCTTACAAACAGCAAGTAACTCACTGATCACTAGGGAGGGGGGAGTAATTTGCTTCAGTTCATGTTTAAATGTGAGGTTATGAAATCCACACTTTAAAAAAAAGGAGACGAAACACAGCCATCCTTCAGAATTTGCAGTTATCCGAATTTTGCAATGCAGTTACCTAACGAAGCAATACTTATAAAAAGGCATATATTAGGTAGGGTTGCCATACATCCATTTTCCTCCAGACACGTCCAGGATTGCAATGGCAAAATTACCATCTGGGGGGAATTTTCAAAAATAGGCAAAATGTCTGGGTTTTTTGAAAACAGAACCAGGAAGTGTTTTGGGGCGATTTCCCCCAAACAACTTTTTGGGCGATTTCCCCCAAAAAACCCTCAACAACTTTTCGTGTCCAGATTTTTGCTTTTTGAAATACAGTTGTACCTCGGCTCCCGAATACCTTGGGAGTCGAATGTTCCGGCTCCTGAACGATTGAAAACCAGAAGTGACTGTTCTCGTCTTCGAATGTTCTTTTGGAAGCCGAATATCTGACGGGGCTTCCACAGCTTCCGATTGACTGCAGGAGCTTCCTGCAGCCAATCAGAAGCTGTGCTTTGGAACCCGAATGTTTTGGAAGTTGGACGGACTTCCAGAACAGATTCTGTTTGACTTCAAGGTACAACTGTATGGCAACCGTATATTAGGGGTAAGTATGCATAGCAGTAAGTCGCAAAACAAGATGTGCCACCCCAGCAGGGAATCCAACAATAGGCGAGGCCAGAGCCAATGGCAGGCAGAGCCAGCTGATTCTGGTTTTGAACCCATCTTCCTCCTCCCTGTTGAGTTCTGCAAAGAGAAAAGTTCCAAAAGGTAGTGAACTAGGCCTCTAGGCTTCTCAGAACTGACCTCTGTTTTCCTGCCCGATGTTAACCTACAGCAGCGCCTTCTCCTACTTAGTCATATGCTTCCTTTAAACAAACACATAAACCTCTGAAGCAGCAAATTGAATGTTAAATGCCAGGCCAGAAAGCCCTTAAACGGGCAGCTAATGACCCTCCTTGCCTGGAGACAAAGCTAACCAGCCAAGGTCACACATGGATTTTTTTTTTTAAGTGATAGAGATCTGAGATAAGGCTATTCCAAATCGGGCCTGCAGAAATTGTGACGCACCGGGCAAAACACAGCCCAAACACAGGCTTGACGAACCCGTTCATTAAGGCGAGTGGGGCACCTAGAGGGAATGATGACCAACTTTTCTTGTTGGGACAGCGAAGGGCTACTACCTTTTCAGTGTGTCACTGTGCCTGTGCAAAGGCTGGATTTATTTTGTATATTATTGCATTTATAAAGAGCTCTAGGTGGTGCACATGCCTCCTCCCCTTCTCCGCATTATCCTTACAACAGCCCTGTGTGAGGTACTTTAGTTAGGGTGAGAATTGGGGTGACTACTAGCTCAAGGTCACCCAGTGAGCTTCATGGCTGGGTGGGGATTTGAACTCAGGTCTCGCAGGTCCCAGTCCCACTCTCTGACCACTACATTGCAGGTAGGTGGTGATGCACAACTCTCTGCAAAATTGTTTCTTTTTTAAAGCATCAAATTCTGCAGGTCAGTGCCGTCTTAAGCATATGCGGCATTGGGGTGCAAAGATCTGTCTAGTGCCCCCCTCCAGGTTGCTCAGAGTTGTCAACCTTTTTTTAGGGTGGGCTGGAGAGGCATGTACGGCAGATCTGGCCTGGCCAGCCACCTCAGCAGCAACAGAGGAGCCTGAGGCAGTGGTGGCAGCGACTGAGCGAAGCCGGGCGCGCAGAAGGGTGGAGCCGGCCGGCTGCCTCAGCGCCTTGCTCGCCCGCAGCAGAAGAGCTGCAGTGCTCCAATGGGCTCTGCTCCACTCGGCAATGGCTGTTGGCTCTTCCCAATCCCCGGACTCCAAATCTCGGCCCTGGACTCTTGGCCTGGCACCCCTGAGAGCCCGGCGCCCGGGTGCCCCACACCCCTAGCGCCTATGGGTAAGATGGCCCTGCTGCAGATCAAGGGGCATGCGCAGGCCAGGTCAGTTGGCAACCCCTTCCCTGGGCCACATACCGTAGGTAGCTCGGGTTTCCTCCATGCAAAGGGTCTCGTTGCTGCCACAGAGTTGCTGCTGGTTCGTGCAATTCTCACGTGTCCCCAGGCACTTGTGGCAAGACAGGCCACAAGCTTCAGGAAGCAAAGCTGAAATGACATTTTGCAAAGGAGTCTTTCCCCATCAGGACATATTTCCCCATCAGAGTGCCTGGATAAGATGTCCCTGTGGAACTGGGCACCCCTTAAATCTGGCAATGGGGAACCTTCCTGGGGCAACATTGGAAGCGACCTCAGGGGCCATCTAGCCTAGCCCCCTGCAAAAGCAGGAATTGCAGCTGAAAAAATCCCTGATGGATGGGCACCTAACCCTTGATGAAAGCCCTTCTTCAGATCAGCTACCAGCCAAGAGGTTGCCTTTCTTTGGGATACTTTGCCTTCCCTTTTAGAAAATCAAAGATGACTATAAAAAACCCACATGCCAGTGGTGGGTGAGGCCAGAGGCAAAAGAGGGTGAAGCAATAAATGAAAAAAAAAATGCCTTTGTATAGAAGGTGGATTTGCACACACACAAACATACTCCCACCCCGCTCCCTCAAGCCAAGCAAGAAGTGTGATCAGAGTTCAAGGAGAGATTCCAACCAGAAAAAAATATTCAAGGAGGGTGTGAAGCAGGGACAGTGAGGGTGCGGCTGGGGAGGGAGGGAGGTTTGGAGAGTGTTGTGAGGGCCAGACCGAAAGTGCTTCAAGTGCCACATTTGGGACCCAGGCCTCAGTTCCCCCAGCTCTGCCTTAAATGTACAGGGGCCTTCTCAATGTCTGGACATGCCTACTATACAACATTTTTTTTAAAAAAAGGAACAAGGATTTCCTCATCTCTCTGTGTTTTATTGAGGGCAAGGATTAGGCTGTTTTTAAATTAATTTAAAAAAACACATTTGATTAACTTTTAAATTTTTATTTAAAAAGAGCATATGCTCCTCTTCATAGAAGAAGTTTCACAAAGGAGTTTGGAACGATACGCACCAGCAAATAAATCACAACTCAGTTTTAAAGCAAAAAGGGAAGGAAGGACTCCAAACAGCACCAAAAATGCTATTAGAACTAGTACCTAGTAGAATGATGGGACTGTAGCAAAAAAACCAAGCAATAACTGTGGAATAGGCACTTTGAGCAACAATAAAAAGCAAGTTGTTCTTTAACAGCATGATCCTAGCTATGTCCACTCAGAATTAAATTGGCTTTGCTGCCTGGCATGCGGGGGTCGTATTACAGCCTAAGGCCCACTGAAAAAGTGTTGATGGACTTTGTGGAAACCAAGAACCCATGTATATTAAATAAGCACCAAGCTGACCAATAAGCCCATTTCAGCCCAGGGCAGTGGAGGAACGGAGGAGGAAGAGTTAATTATCTTTCACTTCAAGTTTTCCCACTGACTTGTGTGGGTAGGTTGGTGTTTCTGAGGTTGTACGGCGATGTGTTCATATGCTGGTCTCTGCAGGGCAGGATGCAGGCTGAGATTCCTGAGTTGCCTCCCTGAAACCATTCGGCAAGAGAAGCGATTGGAGCAGGTAAAGCCAGGGATCCTGGATTTTAATTCCATGGTGGTACCATCTGAAAGTTTGGTGTGTGTGTTTGTGGCGGGGGGGGGGGGTGACTCTGTGGCAAGGCATCTGCAGGAAGTCCTGCAGAGGGTTTCTTTCCACCTGGTCTATTGTTGTGCGTTTGTATGTGTTCTGCAACACGTCGTTCATGCAACAATAACAGCTGCCTGAATGGTGGATTTATCCTGGACTGTCCGCACATCATTCTGCTTTAGACGTCGTCCAGTATTATTGCATTATTTCTATCTGGAGGGCTGCTTTTGCGGTGTAGAGCAACAAAAGTGGGATGGAGAAACAAATCAGAGCAATTACTGTACAAACGTACCTTGGAAGCTGAATGGAATCCATTCCAGAAGTCAATTTGACTTCTGAAAAGTTTGCACTTTCTGATTGCTCAGGCATACCGGAAGCAATAGTGGAAGCCACGCCAGACGTTCAGCTTCCAAAACAATGTTCGGAAACTGGAACACTCACTTCAGGAGCCAGAACATTCGACTCCCAAGGCATTCGGGAGCCAAGGTACGACTGTATGAAGAGTTTCAGGATAACAGAAGGAAGTTCTGGTACATGTCCTGGTTTGGAAGCCATGCTGCGTGTCTGCCCTGAAAACTCTGAAGGCACAACCTGTATTGAAAACTGCATGGAAAACTACATTGTTGATACCTTCATGAGCACAAATAATTTTGAATGCACAATGAATAGGATATCTGGAATAGGCAGGAGTGAAAATTCAGAATTTTCACACACCTATTTTGAATGCTCTATGTCAAAAGAGAGAATGTGAATGAAGATGGGGGTAGTGACCCTTTGCTAATTTTGGCACCCCTTGGCAAGTGCCTGACCTTACCAAGCTCCGGAGCTGGCCTTATTCCCCACCTGCTTTTGAGGGAAAGAACTGTGGGTCAGAACCAATTTGAGTCCACTTTCCACCTGGAGGAAAGGAGCAGTAGAATCAAATGGTGCGAACAGGTTCAATTACGGGTGTTGCTAAAAGCCAGGGATACACATTACTTTTTCCAGTTCGGAAAGGGACCGGTAGATAATTAGAAGATGAGCCTGTGGCTGGTCGGATTCCAGTACATGATTTGGGAGAGGAACCGTGTGGTTAAAATTGGAGGGATGGGAGCCACGGGTTGCTGTATTTCTAGTTGAGAATTAGGCGAAGGAATAAGTAAGGCACTGATACAAAGAAGGTCCCTTACTAAGGGTGGAACCATTAATATTGGAATGGAAGAGGGAATTTTGTGGGGGACAGCTTTTCTCCACTCTGTAGCACTGTGAGAGGACAAGCTAATGCCCACCGAAATTCCATCTTCAGTGCAATTGTTTTAGGTGCAGAAGCTGTTGTCCCTGTTGCTCTCAAGCTGCACATGTGCCATACTTTTAAAGCATACCTGCCCCAAAGAATCCTGGAAACTGTAGTTTGTTAAGGGTGCTGAGAAGAGGTAAGCTACAGTTCCCAGGATTCTTGGAAGGGGGGGAGGAGAGAATGCTTTAAGTCCGTGGTGTGTACGAAGCCTTGGTTACTCTACCTGAGGGAGCCGGGAGTCAGAACAACTGCCTTCTCTCTTGGGTGTAAGGGGAAGAAAGGTTATTCGCAGCAGCAGGGAGTTCCCCTGGTGGCAACCCACCTGTGGCCAACAAGGCAATCGGGATGGTGAGCTCTATGGCCGCCTTCATTGTCTTCCCCCCCTTTTTAATCACTTCTCCGGTCTGTCCTGTTCTCCGGCTTGGCTTGGCGAGGTGTACACTCCCAGCTCTCTGTCCTGATTGCCTCTGGTTGGGAAAGGCAGCTTGGTCCTAAAACCTGCTCGGCAGGGGAGAGGACAGGGTGATGCAACCCATCCATTCATCAACAAGATGCTGCCCTGGGAACCTTGGCCAGTTCCCTCTGGACCAGATGAAATCAGCACTCTCGGGGATGGGACAGAATGGACGAGCCGAAGTGTGAAAAGGGGGAAGAGCAGATCTCAAGATGGGCCGCAGGGCCCCTAGGGAAGAGGTTCGGAAGAGAGGGAAAGATGGAAGGTGCAGCCAGACCTCAGTGTTGGAGCATCTGCTTGGCATGGAGAAGGTCCCAGGTTTGATTCCCCACCCGCCATCTCCAGGGAACACCTGAAATCTTGGAGAGATGTTGAAAGCAGTGGAGGCTGGTCTACAGTGTCCCCTTAGCCAGCCCCACATCTGCCTACATATCTACTTACAACCTGGCCAGAAGATGGCCCTGGCTGTCAGTTGCCTCCTCCTCCTCCTCCTCTCCTCCTTCTTTAGTCTCCTTGTTGCCCTCGTAGGACTCAGCAGGGAGAAGGATGGCTCCAGAACTGGAGCCTGCCATTGGCTCTGGCTACCCTTACTGTTTGAGCTCCCAATGGGCAACAGCCAACACTGGTTGCCACTCAGTGTAAACAGTGTAGACCAGGGTTTCAGAAACTTGGGTCTCCAGCTGTTTCTGGACTACAACCCCCATCATCCCTGACTACTGGTCCTGCTAGCTAGGGATGATGGGAGTTGTAGTCCAAAAACAGCTGGAGACCCAAGTTTGGGAAACCCTGGAATGCTGAACTAGATGGTCCAATAGCTAAAAGTATTCTGACTTTCCAGGTTGGCGGCAGTGCAAGGGGCTTCTAAGGCCAGTGTTTAAAAAAAGAAGGCTGGAATCATAGTTCGTGAGCATAGGAAATCTGTAGCCATTGTATAATGCAATGCACTCCAGTTGCAGAATGATTTGTTTCCCCGTCACACAGTTGCAGAATTTTGGCTTCCCGGTGGCATGGATTGCAGTAGCAAATAACAACAACATAGCTCTTGGAAAACACCAGGCAGGTGGGTACAGCAATAGCAGCAAGCAGACTGAGTGGAAAATTTTGGTCACCGAAGGTTAGGGAGTGCAGCCTCAGTGTGGGAGCTGGCTGTTTTCCAACTGAAGCTTGTTAAAATTTATGAGGCATAACTTCAGAAATATACTGTGAAACACCTAAGGTAATGTCTCGCTTCATCACCCACATGGCTACCTCATAAATGGAGTGTTTTTCACCCCCTGGATGGCATTGCCCAATTTTGCTCAGGCTTCCAGGGAGGTGTGTTGTGTTGGGAGGCAGTTTTTTTAAAAAAAATTGCTACAAACAGTTATATTTGCTTTAATAGTTAATAACATATAGTCCAGTGGCCTATCTAGTCTAGCATCCTGTTCCCACAGTGGCTAACCTATTTGCTTGTGAGCTCACAAGCAGGACTAGAATGCAACACTTCCCCTACTAGTGAATCCCAGCAACTTTTATTCAGGGGCATATTTTCATTTTCCATTGTTGTTGTGTGCTAGCCTTAATAAACAGCCTCTTGTTCTGGGTCGACAAAGTGAGTAACCTTGCCATATCTATCTATATAATGAATTGTAAGGATGCCGTCACGCTGAGGACTGCATAGTTGCCGACTGGTGAATGAAGCAAGGACAGGTAGCAGCCCCTAGTATTAAATAAGAACTTAACAGGGAACTCTCCTTCCTTGGAAGAATTTAAGCAGAAATTGGATATCCATCTGTTGGGAGTTCAGGGGTGGGGAAACTTTTTCAACCTGGGGTCAGCCCTGGAGGTCTGGGAACCCTATGTTGTATCTTTGATGTGAGAATAGGGTGTTACAAACATGCTTCTGTTTTTGTTTTGTGAAATGTCGGAGGTCATGTGCTTGTGTGTACAGCAGTATTTCTTAAATGGGAGGCTGACCAACCCCAGAGGTGGAGCATGAGAGACCTTCATGGAAGGTCAGGTGTGAATAATTTTCAGTTGGACCGTCAGTGGCTGGGCAGCTGCAGTTTTCCTTGCCTGGGCGGCTAGCTTGGGGGTGTGCTGGCCTTCTTGGCTTGGGAGCAGAAGGAGAAGGGCAAAAAAGCTTTCTTTGTTGCAGCCTCCAGTGCGGTCTGGCAGCATTTCCATTTGCCCCCAGAGTCCAGTACTACAGATCTGATACTTTGATCCCAGCGAAAACCCATTCCAGAGCACTCTTTGGAGGACAGCAGTGGGAAGGGTGTCCCCAGAAGCCTCAGTGCACTGTGGTTCTCTGAACCCACTTTTTGACTTTTTCCCTATGGTTGGGTACCCAGAAATTAGACTGTGTTCAGAAGGGGCCAGCAAGTCAGGAGAACCGAAATCCTGAAGAGCAGCGGTGCGTTGCATGGAAAGTTAATGGGCTCAATGTGCCCCTTATGTTTCTGCCATATCTTGTCAGGGAGATTCACAACTGTAAGTTTTTTCTTATGCTTTCATTCATGTACGTTTTACCTAATTCCATTCAGGTTTGCATTAATTCCTTTTTTTATTTCATCCCATTTTTCTTTAACATTTTCATTTGAAATATCTTTGTTTAAAGGGACATGCTACGATCAGCCAGGGAACATTAGCACTTTAAGCTCATTTACATCACAGCCTGTTTGGGTCTGAGTTGACTTCCATTGATGTCACCTTTGTGTTACTTTTGCACTGTCAAAATCTTTTGCCCTGATGACTACATATACAGATATCTAAATCTTACATTTCTGTTGATTTTCCAGGGGATGAAAGGAGGCTGCTTGGGGAATATCTCTGGAGTCTGAAGTCCACAGAAATAACCCTTCTGTTTGCTATGCAGTTAAAAAACCCCCAAAAGTTGTGTTAAGCTGGAATCTCCAAACAAGCCTCCTGTTTGTACTCTGGAAATCAAATGGTGGTGAATTTCCCAAGAGAAACATACTGTATCTTGCACCTTGTCTTCTGCCAAACCCAGCCTCTTTGGCTTTTGGAGAGTGGGTTGCAGGAGTTCCCAGAAACCTCCAGCTGGCTTGAGGTTACAGGACGCATCTTCCGGTTAAACCTAGCCAGACGCGGCTGTTGCAAACACACTTTTCACTGGAAAGGGAAAACAGCCACTTGCCTAACCCACGAAGACGATGGGAGAACGGGAGATGTTCCGGCACAGGAGCCAGGCTGTGCTGGCGATAGCTACGGTCTTCTTCTCCATGTTGGCTGCAGGTAAGATCTATTCATTAAGTTGCTTAATGGTGGATTTTTGCTGTGGAATAAGGCAGAGCAAAGCAGGGCATGAGGGGGGAAAGGCTTCTATTCTTTTCCTCCCCCCTCTCCCACAGAATATTTCTTGCAGGAACACAGAAAGAGTTTTTATACTGAGTCAGACAAATGGTCCATCTATCTCAGGATTGCCTACACCAAAGGCTCTCCAAGGTTTCTGGGAGAAGGACATTCTTAGCCCTACCTGGAGAAGCCAAATAATTGAAACCAGGATATTCTGCCTCCATAGCAGATCCTCTTTGGCTGATCTGCCAGGCAACCCAACCCGCCCAGGACCAGTGCAAGCAATGAAAAATAATGCCATTGCCATTGTCTCCCTCCTGCATCTTGTACTGGGGGTGGAGGAAGGTTGTGTGGGGATTTTGATCTCCTCCACTCCGTTCTATAGGTGAACGGATGGAAGGAAAAACCTGTGCACCACCAGGCAATACCTTTGTTTTACTATTTTTGGTGTTTGCTAAAAACATTTTCGTTCCGGCAAGTCTATCCAGGCATACAGAAGTAGATGTGTGTTTTAAGCTCTTTTAAAGCTCAACTGCTGATTTGAATTACATTTTGAATTTTCCAAACACCTCTTTTTTAACTTTAATTGATAATTTTAATGTTTGTTTCATTATTTGCAAACCGCGTAAAGGTTCTGCTTACAATCAAAAGGTATATAAATGTTGTAAAAATGAACAAACAGATGACTTGCGCTCGCTGTGGTATCACGGTGGGTATATGCAATCCCACGCTCATTACTATTGGCTCCTGCAAAAGTTTCAGGGCGAGGCAATTAGTAAGGGGGAGTCAGAGCCAATGGCCGGCAAAGCCAATCAATTTTAGTTTTGGCCCCACCCTCCTTCCTGCCAAATTCTACCTAAGTTAGTCATGCCCATTAATTTCAATGAGTTTACTCTGGGCTGACCCACAATTCCTCTTGTTCTGCAGCTTTCCCTCGAGGGGAACCGCTCTTTAGTGCATAATCGAAGCAAATGTCAATGGATTTTCTCAGATTGACATTTGCTCCAATTTAGCACTAGAGAGCGGGTTTTCCCTGAGAAAGGAGTGGGGCAAGGGGAAAACTGCTTAGACTCGTGCTTTCCAGGCATGGGACAAGGGTGGATAAGCCCTCTGAGTTGAACTAGCATTGGACACAACCCCCATAGGCCACTCCTACAATGTAAATTCAAAATAAAAACAACAGTAAACCATAAAATAAAGTTTTAAAATACAAAAAAATAGATTTATTGCAGAACATAACAGGATCATTATTTCAATAAACATTAGTAGGACGCCCCTTGGTTAATTTGGGTAGGAGTAATAAAAAATGAGGAAAGAGTGTGAGGAAGTCTAACAAAGTTCTGATTTCTTCCCTATCATGGCTACTTTTAATGCTTTTTTAGATTAAAAAATGTCAAATGTAACCCCCCCTCCCATATCGTTTTTGTTAGCCCTAAGCACAAGCTTAGTCTGCCTGCTGAGTCATCCAGCGCTGAACACTGTTAAAACACTGGAATATAGAAAAGCAATTATAAATCTACAAGCAGTTTGAAAGCAACCAGCAACTGCTTCTCCCTCCCCAGAGAGGAAATAACATGGAAGTCTTGGGGTCACATCCTGTGTGCTGCCTTAGCAGTGGCAGAACCCCACCTTTCATACTATCAGTGTTCATGGTTTTTGTTTGGCTAATCTATTGTTTTCACCCTTTCAGCCAACAGCCTGCGGTGCTACCAGTGCGTGGGGATGTTCCATGAATGCGTACAGTCTGAGCAGCTCTGTACGCCCAGAGATCGCTCCTGCTTCTCATCCACCATCAAGCTCTTCTGTAAGAGAACAAAAAAGCACGGGTCTCCTCCCAGACCTAGAGTTCTCAGAGTCCTCTGTGAAGAGGGATTGACTGTTAAACCACTCTGGGAATTGTAGTTCTAGGAGGGGAACCAATGGTCTTCCTAACAGCTCTTAGCACCCATGACAAACTACAGTTCCCAGAATTCCTTGGGGGAGGACTGCTTAAGTGGTATAATAGTGCTTAAACTGTATAGTGCGAATGTGACCTACAGGCCCCATCATGCCTGGCCATTGGCCATGGTGTCTGGGACTGATGGGAGTTGGAGTCCAGGAAGTTATGGAGGGACATAGGTTCTCCATCTCTGGTGAAGACGTTGGGTTGCCCCCAAGATTGGGGGGGGCTGGCACATGAGGTGTACATGTGATGTCACACATGTTGCACATGTGTTATGATGCATGTGCAAGGTACGCTTGACACAGGAGGCTGAGTGCTCTGGAGGAGCCGACTGCTGTGCCTGTGACACATGTTGTGTGCCACGCATGTGGCGCATGCAGGGGCACCTTAAGACTGAGGGGGTTCGGTCCCCTCAAAACAAATATTGAGGGGGCCAAGGTGCCTTTGGCTCTCTAGAGTTGGCACGCCTGGTGTGAAACGTTCTGGTAGAACAAACGAAAGAAGCAACTCTGCCTCATTTGAGCCCCAGACCGCTTTACTGATCATCTGCCTCCCAATTGTCTTCCAGATACAAACAACTACTCTGGAGTTTTTATGCTGCCAGGTGAGTCACACTGTTTGCATGCTTGCTTGTTTACTTAATGAAAGACACCGAGGCTCAAACCTGAGTGTTGCCCTTTCCTGGCAGGATGTTTACACGACTGTTTAAAGTGGTATCATAGTGCTTCAAATGTTATCGTGCGGATGGGATACCTAAGTAAACATCCTGACATGGTGAGGAGCAGATGCTTCAAGAACTTTCATGCTATGGTGCCTTATTTCCTCCAGGGCTAATGGCTCTAAATGCACTGATCTGGCTGTTTCTCTCTGTATTTCCAATTCCATGCATTTTATGTCCCCAGACCTGGAAATAGCTGAATACGTCATGAAAGGCTGCTCTGGGGAGGGCGTGTCCAACCGCACAGCCAATGTGTACTCTGAAGATGACCGAGAGGTGCACAATACTTACTACTGTGACTCAGACCTCTGCAACATCCGTTTCACAGGCGGTGAGTGGGGAGAAGCAAAACCCTTTGGGGAGTTTTCTTGTGGGGGATAGCAGGTCCGGAACTCAGGACCGCAATACCTGGAGGACTGCCTCTCCCCATATAAACCAACCCAGACTCTGTGCTCATCACTTGAGGCCCTTCTTCATGTGCCTCCTCCATGTGAGGTCAAATATTGAGTCACAACGTCTGGGGTCGTATCCTGAAACATCTGGAGGTGTAGCCCCAAACATCTGGAGTCGAAACAACTCACATCCTCCTCAATGAGATCCACTGTTGTTATTGACCTCTAAACTGATGCAGTAGTGCTTGGATCTGAGAAAGTGAGGAAAATTGAATAATAGAGGGGAGGGAAATTTGTTTAAAGCATTCTGTTTTCACTTATAAGTGCTAGGAGACAGAATATCATGCAAAAAGAGACCCAAAGCATTAGCTTAGAGGTGATGAAATCATGGCTATTGAAGGAAATTGAGATTTTTTTTTAAAGACATGACATTCCAGCAAAAGTGGGGCTTACTTAGTCCAGGGCACAGATTTGAGTTTTATCTAGCTACAAATTTATTTCCTGATGTACAGAGTTAATTGGCTACTGTTGGGTTATTCACAGTGGTTTCATGAGAGAGAAACCCTACTAGGACTGGAACATGATTTATTTCTCAAGTAAGTTTCATTTGTACGATGTGCAACAACTTGCTTCCTGTGCCCTCGCTAAAAAATACGTACATTAAAAGCAGTCAGCTGTTTAGGGAAGTTTTTAATGTTTGATGTTTTATTGTGTTTTTAATATTCTGTTGGGAGCCGCCCAGAATGGCTGGGGAAACACAGCCAGATGGGTGGGGTATAAATAATAAAATTATTATTATTATTATTAATATTATGCTTTCATTTTAATTGGGTGTTTTACTTAAAGATATTGAAAACCGAGTTGCATTGTATGTTGGAATATGACCTGGGATTACAAATACAATACAATACAATACAAATCACACAGTAAACTCCCGCCCTTCTCTGCCTTTTCAGTTCCGGCCAGTTCTCCCCAGCTGCCCAATGGCATGGAGTGTTACAGCTGCTTCGATCGAGGCACTGGAGAGTGTGCTCTAGGGAATGCCACCCGGATCAAGTGTTTGGGGGACATGAACCAGTGCATGGATTTTACTGGTAAGCTGGGGCCTCTTTTGGAATATGTATATCGGAGGCTATTGAAAGGACAGAGTGTGAATGGGAGGCTGTTGGGGGTGGGGAGGAAAAAAGGAATGTGAAAGTGGTTTGGGAATCATAGAATCATAGAATAGAATCATAGAATCATAGAGTTGGAAGAGACCACAAGGGCCATCAAGTCCAACCCCCTGCCAAGCAGGAAACACCATCAGAGCACTCCTGACATATGGTTGTCAAGCCTCTGCTTAAAGACCTCCAAAGAAGGAGACTCCACCACACTCCTTGGCAGCAAATTCCACTGTCGAACAGCTCTTACTGTCAGGAAGTTCTTCCTAATGTTTAGGTGGAATCTTCTTTCTTGTAGTTCGGATCCATTGCTCCGTGTCCGCTTCTCTGGAGCAGCAGAAAACAACCCTTCTCCCTCCTCTATATGACATCCTTTTATATATTTGAACATGGCTATCATATCACCCCTTAACCTCCTCTTCTCCAGGCTAAACATGCCCAGCTCCCTTAGCCGTTCCTCATAAGGCATTGTTTCCAGGCCTTTGACCATTTTGGTTGCCCTCCTCTGGACACGTTCCAGTTTGTCAGTGTCCTTCTTGAACTGTGGTGCCCTGCTTACAATACATATTGAAAGTGCACCAAGTTGGCCAAATCCTGCTTACTCCCTGCACCTTGTAGATCTTTGCACAGATGTGTGCTGCCCCCGCTATATAGGAAACATGGGTGTATGTTTGTGTGTGCAGACTTTCAAAGTTTTGATATAGTGTTAAGGAATTAGCCCCCCCTCCTCAAAAAGGATGTTGCATTTGCTGGGAAGGAATTTATTAGCAGCAGGGGTTAAGGGATGCGCTTTGAGGATGTGGGGAGAATTTGTCATAGGGTGAGAGGATCATGAATATGCAAAACAGGAGTCCCACGACCTTTTGGTACCTGGTGATGGGGGCACATTTGTAACTCTGAGGAACTGTTGTGTGCACCACAAAATACACATTTTGCAGAAGCAAAATGGACAACACTCAAGAGCAAGGGCCTAGGAATGGCAATTGGCTATGCTGCTATGCTGTCACAGAAGGTATGTGGCTGGCAGACAGGTCTCTGGCCTCCACTAGCAGAGCTGCTCTGCACTGAAGACCTAGGCAGGTGAGGAAGGCGTTTGGGAAGCAAAGGTAGAAGCAGCTGGGCCCTAGGAAATGAAGAGGCAGTGGACTGAGGAGGAAGCAGCAGTGCCTAATAATAGAGGGATGGAAGAATGAGTGGTTCAGAGAAAGGAGGGGAAGAGGCAAAGGCTGGAGGGAGGAGGGGAAGTGAGAACTGGGGAAGATGATGGGCAAAAAAGGAAGAAACAAACCACACACAATGGCCAGGAGAGCCTTTGTCAGCCTGGTGTCCTCCTGATTTTTTTTGGACTATAACTCCCAGCAGGCTGGGGCTCTTGGGAGTTGTATGTAGTCCAAAGCATTTGGAGGTCACTTGGTTGGAGAAGGCAGGCCAAGAGCCTAAAGGAAGGCTGAAATTTGTACATTGGCTTGTAGCAGGCAGGTAATGAAGCCATAGCCAGTTCTGAGACCCCCTGTTCTAAGATGTTTGCAGGCTGCAATGTGCTATCCTTATAAATGAATGTTGCTTCCCAGTGACCGATGGTGCCTGGAAAATGACCTACCGGACGTGCGGCCTTGAGACACTGTGCCGCCGCCAGTACGTACTCCCGGAGCTCTCGGGAAGGCTGGACATCAGCTGCTGTTCCACCCCACTGTGTAATGATGGCCGGCCGGGACAGAAGAGCATCTGCAGCCACTTTTCAGAGCAAGGTAACATTTGTGCCTTTGCTGGATATATTGCAGATATTAACAGTGTGCAGCTTGAAGCAACTGGATACATAAAAACCAACCCCTTTTGAACATGAAGCATTGTCCAGACTCATTAGATATTAATCAAACCTTTCCTTGCCGAACTTTCTTCTAAACAGAACAGAAACACCAAACGATACATCCAAACAGTTCCATAAGGCGTATGTCTGTCCAAGGCATAGGCTCAGCACCTTCCAAAATATGACTAATTTCAACAGACCTAAAAGCTGAGGTCTGTCTCTCCCCGCAGCCTGCAGTTTGCTGGAGGCTGCTTACCTGGAAAGCTTCATTTGCACCCTTACTCTCGCAGAGCCTGAGAGCAAAATACTTCAGCCACCACCCTTCCAAGATGGCGAATTTGCAATTCAACACCTCTAGTGTGATCTTAGGTTAAACACTCACATGTTAGCTAGCAGAAAACAACAGTGGTTAATAATCCACTCATCAAGGCAGCAGAGAGCCCCTTTTGCTCTTAATTTAGCCTAGCATACTTCAATGGCATCTTCCACTTAACTTTTTCACCAATACACACAGCCATTCCCATTTCAGTGTGAATTAAATCAATTATACTTAACAGGATAGTGACAGCAAACTGGCTAGAACAGGAGGCTTGCTCTTTGCATCCATGCAGACTGGCCCTGCTGTCCTGAAATTGGCTTCTAGGATGGACTGGTGGTGGTGCTCAGACCTAGGTTTGGAGGGGTGGTCCTCAGGCACAGAGGCCCCGTAACTTGGAAGGAACTTAAGGACACAGGAACCTCTAGATATTGTTGGACTCCTACCGACCCCCACCAGCGTGGGATGATGGGAGTTGTAGTCCAACAACATTTGAATGGTCAATGAGTTCCCCTGCTCTAAGTCAAAACCCAGTTTCCTCTTTGTTTCCCAGGAGTCAAGCGGAAGCCTGAAAATGGCCTGGAATGCGCCAGCTGCTGTGACTCCGGACAAGGGGAATGTGCCACAGGGAACTGGACTCATGTCAAGTGCGTTGGGGACCAGAACATGTGTGTGAATGTCACAGGTGAGCTTTATGTGTGTGTAGGTACTAGGAAGCGGGTGGAATTGAGGTGATGCCATTAGAGATCTTATAGTTATGCAATAATAATACAGTGGAACCTCGGGTTACATACGCTTCAGGTTACAGACTCTGCTAACTCAGAAATAGTACCTCGGGTTAAGAACTTTGCTTCAGGATGAGAACAGAAATCGTACTCCGGCGGCATGGCGGCAGCAGGAGGCCCCATTAGCTAAAGTGGTGCTTCAGGTTAAGAACAGTTTCAGGTGAAGAACGGACCTCCGGAACAAATTAAGTACTTAACCCGAGGTACCACTGTAATAATAATCTGGGATGCACTGCAACAATCAGTGCAGGTTTCCTTTATGAGATTTTCATTAAAGTTTTTCATAATACAATAAAATAGTGGCTACAAAAAACTACAAATAGAATAAGTCAAATACAGAGTCCTCTCTTAAAAATAATTATTAGCCCTTACCACTCACAGAAGACAGTAGCTCATGACAGCTCTCACAGGGGATTTTTCCATTCTCCCCCTCTGCCTCTCATCCTGGGAGACCAACCTTTCCCTATCTCTCAGTCAAGGCCCTCCATCGGAGACCTACCACCCCCAGGAGTATGCTATCTCAGGACCTTAATAAGGGCCCCAGATGTACAGTAGGAATCAGTCCAGATTTCCATGCATTGCCTTTCTGATAGATCTACTATTTTTGGTGCACATAAATGGGCAAACGATTCAGAGGGCTGCTCTAATGTCTTCTTTCAGAGCAATCTTAAGTTGTGTTTTCCCTGAAGTTCCACTGTACGCAACGTAAATTCTCTTGAAACGGAAGCACCTTGTTTTTTTTCAATGTTCCTAAATGGTCAGCTTTGGTGCAGACAGTGGGTACAGAGCTTCCCCTTTGTGCTGTTTGGGTGGCGGCAGTCTGCTGGAGACTGGGACTCAGTTGCAGAAATAGCAATGGGTTTCCAACTCACCGCAAGTCCTGGGCTGCTACACCACTGACAGATTCCAGCCAGATAAAACCACTAGACGAGAGTTCAAGCAGGACCAGTGAGAGGTGTGGATTTTGCAAGTGGCATTGCCCTAGGGCCATATAGAGAGGCCCAGGGGGCCACAATCAACCTGTGGGCTTGAGGTTCTCCACCCCTGCAATAGAGGATCCTCATATAGACTTCCGGGGTGGCGCCACCGGCAATGGCGGACTCCCTCTGAACTGGAGGGACTAGCTCCGCGGGAAACGGGTCTTCTCAGCTACGGCGAAGCGGGGACCCTTTTAAAAATCACAGGCGGATGAAGCCTGTGACCATGGGACTCGGCGGGCACCATTAGCGCCCCCCCAACCCGCTAAGGAACCCACTAACGGGCTCCGAAGTGAAGAGGGGGAAGTGGCGCGGTGCTGTGAGTCAACTGCTATTTCCGTGGAGCGAAGCCGCATAGCCGTTGCCGGAGAGCGCTGCCTTTTCCTGGGACAATTTGGACTTTAAAATAAGCACCCGTGAGTACTTAGACTTTGAACAATTGGACATCAAATAAGGACTAGCGAGCAGAAAAGAATTGGATTTTAAAAACTTACTCTAATTTGGTACGGAACGGGAAGGTCTAAACAGGAAGTCAGCCTTCCGTTCTTTTGTAAACAGAATAAAGCAAAGACAATTTAAACTAGAGCTCAGAAAATCGTCTTTAAAGGATTGGATTTCACCATTTAAAATTGTGGAACCCCCCTTCGACAGCAGGAGAATCTTTTTGGACTGTTTAAAGTGACTTTAAAGTAAAGTAACTTTCCTCCGTCCTGATCCTGGAGCGGGGTGTCAGGACTGACGTTTGAAGTTCATTGACCAAAGACAAGTGTTTTTGACAGATAGCTAAAAGAAGAGAAACATAGTGATTCCACTGTTCCCCTTCGCATTTTAAAGGAATATATATTGACAAAGTATCTCAAAAAGGGAAACTTTGTTGCAAGAACAAATAGAAGTTTTCCCTCTAGGGGGAGTCTGTGAAACTGTAACCAACTCCAGGGAGCCGGCAGCTGTTACAGATTACAACCGTGGGAACAGGCATCTGACCTTGCAGGACAATGTATTCAGAAGCTTTGTTGTGTGCTCTCTATAAAACAAATGCCCTACTGGAACAATTACATGAGAAGGTGAATTGGATGGCGACTTCGACTAGAAATTTTGAACAGGCAGTGGGAAATTTTGAACAGACAGTGGGAAAATATGTGGAGCCCACTCAGGAATTAAATCAGGAGTGTGTCTTGACAGAACAGGCCCAACAGGAATATGAGTTTTCGGATTTGACAAATGAACTTGGAAAAGCCAGATTTGGAAAGGAAAAGTTTGGTTTGGCTTGGAAATGGGGGGCTGGATTGACCCCCCTATGCTGGGACGTTTGGACTTTTCAAATATGGCAATGGGCCGTGAGATGTTTGGGTTTGTGGGGGCTCTTAATTTTGGAGGGTCTTTGAAACATGCTTTTAAATACTACATGGAATTCAGTGTTGAATATGGAAAAGGGGCTGATCTGTCGAGAAGGGTTAAGAACATTGTCAAGCTGGAGTTACCACGAGCAGGAGACAAGGGAAAATACAGTTACAAATATGAAAAAGAGCTGCGGAAGGGACATGGAAGAGACTTGAGGGCCTCGGATATAAGGTTGCCAGGTTAATGGGCTAGATCGACGGGATAATAAGGACTGACAAAACCCGGAACCAGGAGGAAGGGACGTTGGATGAAGATTGGATTTGTTTGTATCTCTTTTCTCTACCATTAGAACTGTTTTATAAAATTGATGAATGTTAGAAAAATGTTGGAATGAAATTACTTGGCTTTAGCAAAGATGTTTAAAGAATTATGAAAGAATATTATGGTTATGAGAAGTTGGTAAGGATAAGATTTAAGTTTTAAGCTTTAAGGTTTATTTTATTATAGAAAGATAAGATTAAAACAGTTTAGGGTAATGTAATGACAGAATATTATGAAACATGGAAAGGATTTGCTGGGATAATTAATAACTAGGATACAAAGAAAGGGAGGAGGAGGAGGTCTAAGAAAGAAGGCAATGACAGTTAAGGATTTGAAAATAATGAATTTGTTTTTAAATGTTTTTAACGGTTTGTGATGTATTTTTGTATTTTTCTTTTTTTCTGTCACTTTTTTTTAATTTATTTTGAATTTTTACTCATATGGTGGGAAGGGTTTTTTTTCTACTTTGTCAACTATTTTTATTTGTACTTTCTTTTGCTTCTATTTTCTTTTTTCTTTTTTGTAACACTTTGAAAATTTCAATAAATATCTTTAAAAAAAAAAAATAGAGGATCCTCATATAACACCAATCCTGAAAGACCTACATTGGCTCCCAGTACATTTCTGAGCACAACTCAAAGTGTTGGTGCTGACCTTTAAAGTCCTAAACAGCCTCGGCTGTGTATACCTGAAGGAGCGACTCCATCCCCATCGTTCGGCCCAGACACTGAGGTCCAGCTCCGAGGGCCTTCTGGCGGTTCCCTCACTGTGAGAAGTAAGGTTACAGGGAGCCAGGCAGAGGGCCTTCTCAGTGGTGGTGCCCGCCCTGTGGAACGCCCTCCCAGCAGATGTCAATGACATAAACAACTACAGTGGTACCTTGGGTTAAGAACTTAATTTGTTCCGGAGGTTGGTTCTTAACCTGAAACTGTTCTTAACCTGAGACACCATTTTAGCTAATGGGGCCTCCCGCTGCTGCCGCTGAAGCAAAGCTCTTAACCCAAGGTACTATTTCTGGGTTAGCGGAGTCTGTAACCTGAAGCGTCTGTAACCTGAAGCATCTGTAACCCGTATCTGTAATCTGTATCTGACTTTTAGAAGACATCTGAAGGCAGCCCTGTTTAGGGAAGTTTTTAATGTTTGATGTTTGATTGTGTTTTTAATATTCTGTTGGGAGCTGTCCAGGGTGGCTGGGGAAACCCAGCTACATGGGCAGGGTATAACTTACTACTACTACTACATGATCTGCCAGTCCCTCTTGTGCCTCTATACTGGATGTCTCACCTGTGTTTGTTTCTAGAGGAAGGCCAGACGTTGCTGCGTGGCTGCAGCTTGGAGAAGCTTTGCTGGGAGAAGCCACAACTGCTGGGCCTGAGCCGGAACGCCTCCATCCGATGCTGCTCTGGCTCCCTCTGCAACCGCAGCACGGAGCTGACCTCGGGGACTATGCTGCTGCGCTTGCTGCTGCCCGCTCTCCTGATGACGATGATGCGGCTGCTCTGACGGACACCTAAGGATGTGTGGACTCCACCGAAAGGGCCAAAGACAGGAGAAGGGCAGAAAGCACTTGACCAGCACTGCATGCGCAGTTGCATTCTTGCAGCCAATGCGGCATTTTTGTCACCTGCAACGTTGCTCTGGTCTGCCATGCATCGCGGGTGCCTGCGCGTTGCGGCATCTGGTCCAAGAATGTGGCAGTGTTGCATGCAAGGCTGGATTCCACGGCACCCTCTGTGACTTCTGCTTCCTACTTCCCAGACTGGAACTTTCAGGGAAGGGTCAGTTTCCTTGCGAGGGAAGAGAGATCTGTTTACAAACGATGCCAGGATGGTGGCAATAGGTTGGCAGAGACAGCCAGACTCGTAGTACCAGTCCTGAAATAATGTCAGTCTTCCCCAAAGTGACCACACACCCTCGCAACTGCTTCTCGTCTGCCAACCTCAGAAGCCCTGGCTTCCTTCTCTCTCGCTGCCCTGATTGAAACTAGAGAACTGTTTCCTTCATTCCAGGTGTGGTGGCAGGACACAAACAACAGTGACTTGGCATGGCTACTGTCCATGGAAGACCTTTAAGCAGTCACCTCCATCTCTCGCCTGCTGCACCAAAGCCTAAGAAGAGTGGAGTGGTGGAGTGGTTATTGAGCACCTATCCTGATTTGCTTGCGCAAAGCTTAATGCAGAAGTTAGACTACGGGTGCCATACTCCCTGGGGATCTGGGTGCCTGAGCTCTCACAAAATTCCCCATGAAAGGGCTGGGCACCCACAAATTTCTGTGCCAGGGCCATGCACGCTGCATGGCACCCGCTGCCCCAGGTATCCACAGACACGGGGTCAAGTTGGCACTCCTGATGAGTGTGTTCACATTAGCGCCTTAGAGTGTGGTGAAGTTGTCCCCTGCAGTGTATTCAGCTGTTCTCTCCCACCAGGCATTGTCCACATCAGCATAGCTTCATTAATGTCAGATTCGTTTCTGTTTCTGTTTCTGTACACACCTGGGGGTATTGACAGGGCAAAGTTTGTCTTTACACTATGCAAAGGTGGTCCCACCTTGACTAGAGGTGAATAAGGACCAGATTAAGGACTCCAGTCGGCATGAAGCTCATTTGAGAAGTAACACATCACACAGTAGTGTTTTATTACAAAGTACAGGGTATGTATTTTGGACAAGGGAGTGTGAAATCCATTAAAAAAACCGGCCCTGGAAATGCAGCAAGTGCACAGTAAACTGGGGCGTCTTCATTGACCATTTGTTCTGATTTGCTCATGGGGAGCTGTTTGACAGTGGAATTTGCTGCCAAGGAGTGTGGTGGAGTCTCCTTCTTTGGAGGTCTTTAAGCAGAGGCTTGACAACCATATGTCAGGAGTGCTCTGATGGTGTTTCCTGCTTGGCAGGGGGTTGGACTCGATGGCCCTTCTGGTCTCTTCCAACTCTATGATTCTATGATTCTATGAGGTTAGACAACAAACAGCAATCTATCCTGATTTGCTTGGCTATGTGCCTTCTTATTTATCTTTTCCTCATGTCACGCTTGAAGTTTGCTTTTCCCGTCATATTCCTAACCACAGAAAGTGTTTTCATTTTTAATTGGATCTCGCTGCCCGAGGACAGCAGTGTTTTAATACTCACACAAACCTAAATGTCCTGTCTGGAATGCCTCCCACAAAATACCGACAGTCTGGAGGCGACCTTGCACCACCAAGCAGCATGCTTTTGCAGCCTCCTACGCATGACTGTTGTTGTGGATGTTATTTCACTCACTGCTTCGGGGTTGCGGGCATTGTTCCATGCCACTGCTGCTGCAATATTTCACCTGTGCAGCAGGATTCCATTGCACACCTGAGAGCACCAGCAGGGACTGATCAAGTTGCAGTGGAGGCTGCCCATAGCAGCAGCAGTGAAGAGGCATTGGGATTAATAATAGGGGATTAAAAGGGAAAACCCTCCACCTGGGTACTGGACTTCAATTTTGGGCAAACCGGGCTGGTGAAGCCTTTTGGCTCCAAAGCGTTGAATCTGATGGCTTCACAGTTTCACTTCAAACTGTTGTAAGCCAAAAATAGCATATCTCCTGAATTTATGCCAATAAAACTCAGCAACGTGAGGAGTTAGGAGTCCAACGTTGTTTATTGCAAACCAATGGGTTACAGTCGGATCGTTCCGACTATGTTCTAGTTTGGAGCTGTATCTTTGTGATTCACATATTAGCTGTATTTCTGCCCCAATGGGACGGCAACTTGCAAAACCACCAATTTAATAAGGTAACAGGCTACCATAACTTCTCTAATAGATGTATACTCAAGGATTCACAGGAATACACATTATCACATTTATTGTGGCCCTCTGCGCCACTGCCACAAAATGACAAGGGAGTTTTGACTCAACATTAGGAAGAAAATCGTGACAGTATTATGTGACACTGGAACCAGTTTCCCTAAGAAGGTGGTAGATTGGAGTTGCCACCTTTGGTCTGCCCAAATACAGGACAGGACTGGGTGGTGGATTGCACACCCCACAAGTGTCTTAGACTGGGACATCCCACATTTTAATCATGAGAGCATGGTGGTCATTTTAGTTGCCATGATCTCATGCAATTTTGCGGTGCATTTCACCCCCCGAAATAGGTTTTTTCTCAGGGCTGCAATTTCATGCAGTGCCCCCAAAACGCACATTTGTGGGCACCGTACATGAAAAGGCACTTTTTTGGGGAACGAAATTGCACATGATCATGGCAACCAAAATGGCCGGCATGCTCTCACCTAAAAAAACAGCAGAATGGCACCCCGGATTTTGGCTTCAAAGCGTTGGAGGCTATGAGGCGGAAAGAGAGAGAGAGAGAGGAAATACAGGACAAACTGCTTCCTATATTGAATCAATACAGGACATGGCATTTTATGTCGAAATACGGGACAATTCTGTATTATATGGGATGGGTGACAACTCTGTGGTGGATTCTCCTTTATTAGAAGTCTTTAATGTGGATGGCCACCTAGCAAGAATTCTGTAGTAGATTTCCTGCACCAGAAGAGGGTTGGTCTGGATGACCTTTGAGGCTTCCTTTTCCCCAGCTCTATGATTCTGATTTGCATCATGTATCCCCTTTGAAATTTGTTGCTTAAGGCTCCTGGACATGGGCTACTCTGATGGAACTTCTCTGCCCCCTTGTGGTGGGTAAGGTAAGTTGCTACAAGAGGAGAAAGAAGATTTTAAAATTCTGTCTCTCTTTCTTGCTATTGTCGCAGGACTAGCCTGCCACCTACACAACAGGAAGGATTCAGGTTTTACTTTTTTCTTATTTCTTTGGCTAAGGAAGGGAAATCCTGCTGAATCTGTAGGAAGAGCAATGCACAGGAATAGTTCCAAGCTGTAGGGAGTGTGTGTGTGTTTGCGTCATATTTAAGGAGTCAGAGGAGGATTCAGCAAAGAATTACGCAGAACATCAGACTCTACTCCTAAGCCATAACCAGAGAGCAGAGTGGGGAACTTCAGGCCTTGGCCCAAATGCAGCCCCCCAGGCCTCTCTGCCTGGCCATTGGGTCTCTCCCAGAGCCGGATTAAGACCTTTAGAGTCCCTAAACATTTAAAAGATTTTGCTGCCTCCATGTATATCTAATTCAAAATATAAAACAACAATAAACCTTAAAATAAAATTTTATTTTTTCAAAATGCAACAAAACCTACAGCATGATGGAAAATAATGTTTGTCTTGGTATACTTCCGTTTTCTTTATATTTGAATTTTTTCTCTCCTACTTTTTTCTAATCGCAAAGTCTTTGGTCAGATCCTCAAAGCTAATCTTACAAAACACACCTGCTTCTATACTGAGTAGAGATAAGGCACCAAGCCTGCCTTGCTGCATAGTTATTCTGTTAGGATTTTCTTTACATATACTTCAACTGAGAAAATGAACAATTTGTGACCATTGATGTTAAAAATCTGGCAATGGAAAATTTCTATGGCGCCTCCCCTTCCCTTGATGCCCTAAGCACAGGCTTCTTTTGCTTAATCATTAATCCAGCCCTGGTCTTTCCCCAGGCCACATCTCTCACTGGTTTAATTCACACCCTGCTTGAGTGCTTTTTTTACCTGGTCAGAGTATACTGTATTTTCTGTGTATAAGACTATGTTTTTTAATTCCAACATCATGTTCAAGATTAGGGTTTGTCTTATACATGGGTAGTGCATTGTGGGGCCATGGGATAGGTTACTGCCGCGAGTTGGAGATTGTTACTGGTGGCTGCTGCAAAGGCTGTTTTCTTTTTCTTTTTTTAATATACATTTTTATTAGTTTTTACATATATTTTCCAAACAGAACATCTCATCTCATCTCATTTCATCTTATACAACATTTTGGCTATTTTAGCCTGAGACTTCCATCAACCGCCTCTAATGATTTTCAAACCTCATCTCTTAATCTTACATTTATTATCCTATTACTTTTAATAATCCATAACTTAAAACCCATTCTCATAAATCTTTTCTGCAATATTTCATATAGTTCTCCTTACAAAACTTCTTGTAGTCCTCCAAGCGTAGTCAGTTGGTTACAATTGTCTTTCAAATAACTCGTATATTTACTCCAATCTTTCAAGAATTTCTGGTCCCGCTGGTTTCAAATTCTCTCTGTCATCTTATCCAATTCTGCATAGTCCATCAATTTAATCTGCCAGGGCTGTTTTTGATTTGCCCCCGCCCAAAAAAGCTCAACAACTGCTGGCAAAAAAAAGCTAAAAGCTCAACAATTCTGTGCAATCCTCCCCAAAAAAGCTCAACAACTTTGGGGAATCTCCTCCCCCCATTCTCTTTATTTTGAGTCCCCCAAAATCGTATGTGTGTGTATGATACACAGGCATATTATACACAGAAAAGTACGGTATCCTTGAACTTTTGCTTGCTTGGATGCAGGATAGAGAGGGGTGTTAGAAGGAAACTAGCCTAATGCAGGCACCCAAAGGCAACATTGCAGACACCCAAAGGTGTCATTGTCTCAGTGATCAAATGAGGG